ACTAACTCTTCTCTGTGAAACTGGAGAAAGGGAGATGGAGCGGTTCGGAGCAGAGCTATTTATGCTGTTTGATGGGATTCTGTTTCAAATAGCTAGACAGTGGCGCGAAATGGGTGACGTGGATCACAGACTGGTTAGTTGTTTGACGGCCCAACTCAGCCTTTGAGCCCAATTTAGAAGCCCAAGCTATTTCCTTTTTAGTCTCTTCCCTCCTGGTTAAACTTCAAACCAGCAAAAACCCTCGGGGACGAATTGCAGACGACGATGGCAATGGCGAAATGGTGGTGTGGCGCGCGATTAGAACGGCGGCGAAATTCCTCGGTAGGCCACCGGAAGTCGATTCGCGGAACGAGACAGGACTCGGTGTCGGAAGTAGGAACCTTCTCGATGAGAACTCTTGGGTCTAAATTCTCCGCCTGCAGGAAATCGCTGTCGGCGACGGAGAAGTAGCGAATTGAAGCCGTCCTTCATTTGGTGCAATCACCTTTCATCGGTGCGGCGGCTTGAACTCGGGAACGTTATTCCTTTAAGGCAAACCCCTTTTCCGCCCCTTTTTATACCTTTCTGTCACTGATTTTGAATAGCCTCATAGAAGCTTGAATTCGGTGCGTAGATACATGGAGACCAAGGGAACAGAGTTTCCCTTTGCGTGGTAGTTGTCATCAGAATTGGGAAGAAAAATGTGCTCTTCGTTCGTAATTTTGATTTAGGTTTGCCAGTGTCTGACATTCCTTTTTCTGGAAATGTTTCTCCTGCGGCTGTGGATTTGTGTTATTGCTGTTGTTTGAGTAGTCAGTGCCAGTGATTGGTGATAAACGCCTAATCACAGCATTTCACCAGCCTTTCATTCTGTTGGCCTGTTGGGCATTGGAACCTATTGAGCTTCGATTATAGTTCGTCTTAGCCTTCGCTCACTGTCGCTTGTCGTATTTAGTTTTTTGTCATTCTAATCACCTCCGTACCAATCCCATGTCGTCGTTAATTCATAGTAAGGTTCTAGGGGAGGAAACCGCAAGAAGACTGGAAGAAGGGACAATGCAGCTTCTGGGGAAGTATCTGATGGCTTATTGACCCTCGACAAATCCTTTGTCAGAGGTGACTACAATTGTTGCAATTCAAGTGGCCGAGTAAAGGATTCATGGATCTTTAAGATGCTTCCTTTCTTCTTATATTGGTTGTGGTTAGTTGTTCCTTGATGAGATATGTTATCAACAAGTCTCCTGACAAAAGAATGATCCAGAGGTACTGCATTTTTTCTGAATCATCTTATGGACTTCAGTAGCTAATTTACGCTGTTAGAAATTTATGCTATTTTGAACTATGTATCATATTAGGAACTTAACTTAATAGCTTTCCTGTCACTTATCGTGCCAATATAGGGTCATATACCCAACTTTGCTTTTACTAATTACATTTATCATTCAACGATTATTGCTGATTCCCTTTTGTTTCCATTGCAAATTCGGGCATTTGTTTATCTGAATTTCGAGCTATTATGACTCGTAGTATGATGCCTTGACTGGTAGTATGATACTGTCATGAGATAATTGACCTTTACTCTATAGATGACTTGAGGTTCATTCCTTCTGCACCATCGAATTTGATTTCTTTTAATAGTTTTTGTTGCTAATGTGGTCTCGGTTCTCACTTTCTCTTTCTTGGTGGTGTTTTGCAGTAGCAATATGGGATGAGTTGCAGCTGAGGTTGAGAGGAGGAGAGCTAATATTGTAGTTGTGAGAAGAGGAAGAGACGGTAATGTCACATCTTGGTCTTTTTTTCCTATAATGGAATTCCATTTAGTTCAGGCTTCCTTCTTGGTCATTTTCCTCCTTGCTATGTATTCCTTCCTCAAACCTAGAGATACAACGCATTTTCATTGCTCATGTAATTATGTTTGGATCTCAAGTGTCAGCCCCACCACCACATTTCGGCGAGCCTATGGAGAGAGGTTTATCAGTTAGTTCTTGGTACTGACCTCGTTTAACGCTCTTAGGATTGAGAATATGCTTCTCTTTAGTGTAAATTTATGCAAACTTAACAGATACTAGTTTTTTTTTTTTTTTTTTTTTTGTGGTTGTTGAAAAGAACAGATAATAGTTGGAGCTATAACGATGTCCAATGACTCTCATAATGTGTTCAGTATTAGCAGTGAACTTCTCGATATTTCCTATGGCTTGTCATTGTTACTCTATTTCTACTTGTTCAGTGGTTTCTCTGGGTTGATTCCTGCTGCAAATCTAACACGCAAAGCTGAATCTGCAGTATATTGCTCCAGATACTAATAGCTATGTACGCCTCCATCATGACTCATTACCATTTTGCTTGCTTCCCACAGTTTGTGAGCGAAGGTGGCACAGAGCGATACAAATAGGAGATCATGGAAGCTGGAAGTGGTCACAGTAAACAACTCTGAAAGGTTCAATGAACTGATGCTTTCGGACCTTGATGCCTCCAAGATGCTTTCGGCACCTTAGAACGAGAGTTTAGAGTAGTTTCTGCACACCCTCTCCTTCTTGGGATCTTTACACTTACATGGTGACACTCACCTTGGGTATTCAGATATATGATGTCCGATTCAGCTGTTAATAGTCGCTAACCTAATTAATTGTGATTCTTTAAATGTTCAGGTTTCCTGTTCGGTTCGAAGTTACAGGACTCCTCCGATGTATGCAAACTTCGAACTTGATGTTTAGAATGCTTCCTGTTCTGATTTCCCCCTTTTTGATGTTCATGATTAAAAGGCTGCTGCTGTAATTTGCTTTGTCATTACCCTCAAATTAGAGCAGTGATCTGTATCGTTTTAAATTGGTTCATGCGAATTCATCTCATGATGTAAACTCCGAGTTTGTTGTAGCATATGATTGAGAAAGCTTTTGCTGGGGAGCTGGGTACTTTTTGATCTTCGCGTCGTTATGATGAATCTCGCTTTGTAGTTGTTTTCAGAACCACTGGGATGAATTTGTTCAATGCATTATGAATAATCTCTCCAGAGCTTCGTTAGTGACATTAATATTCTTATTGGCATTCTTACATTTTCTATTGATTTCTATACTCAAGGTAGTTATTTTCTATACAAATGATGAAATCCAAACTTGGTACTTCGGAAACACTTGCAAATCTACTACACCAAGTCAGCAATCTGAAACCAGCAAAACATCTCTGTTTCTGTATGGATTTGAGTTGGAACTTTCGATTCCGCTCAGCAGAAAAAGCCCATTTACAGTTTACCTAAAAAAGTCCACTATGTTCACACAAAAAAAAAAAAAAAAAGCCTCATTCACTCATCTCTGCTCCGGACGCGTTTTCGCCGCCGGTAAAATCAGACGGCGGGGAAGGCGGCCCTAGGCGTAAATCGGTGGACGGCGGACGTCGGCGGGGGGAAGGGGGTCGGAGGCGCAACTCGGTGGAAGGCGGCGGCGAATCAGAAACGGGAATCATCTCGGCATCCCGAAGATTGCCGTCGTCGATGGCGGGAGCGGGGATGTGCACTCCGACGTTCACCGGCGGTGGAGGAATAAGCCCAGGCACATTAGTCGCCGCATGCCCAAAATGTGCAGGTAGCTGAGGCAGTGGGACCGCCAGCGCGGCTGCAGGAAATCCGAAATCCGGAACTACGAATGGATTGACGACGGCGCGGCCGCTCCATCGCTCTGCTATGTCTTGCATCGCCGACTCCGGTAATTTCAAATTCAGCGGCGGATAGCTCGGATTCCCAGTTGCTGTGAATTCCGGGACTGCAAGTGGATGAAGGGCGCGGCCGCTCCATTGCTCTGATATGTCCTGCATCCCGTTCTCAGATAAATTCAAGTTCAGCGGCAGATTTCCTTGATTCCCAGTCGGCTGCGTCGACAAATCCGCCGTCTTTATAGATTCTTCCAAGCAAATCAACGCCGGCGTCGGCAGGGGATTCGAAATTTGCAGCTGCTTTGCTTCTCCCATGGGATCTTCCCAGCTCTTGAAGACGAGATAATCGAGCTCGATGACGGGTTCTTCTTTCTCCTCTGTTTCCCGATTCTCTGTTTTTCCCTCCGGGAGTTCCCTATACCAAGATACTCTGATGATCGGTTCTTCTCCGCCTTCACTGGATGGTTCTTCGTCTTTACCGCTCGGTTCTTGGTATTCAGAAGATGGCTCATCGTCTCCGGCGGATGATTCTTCGTCTCCGGTGGCTGGCTTTTCGGGTCCATCGGTTGGGTCTTCGTCGGCGGTGGATGTTTCTTCGTGCCCAGTGGATGGTTTTCCATCAGAATCAGATGATCCTTGTTCTGCAATTTTCCGCGCCGCCGCTCCCGATAGTGCCGGCGGTGGACGTTTCTTCGGATCTTGTTGCTCAGTTGTATTCTGATTCCCAGTTATGACGACGCTGCCGCTCCGTCCCTCTGCTATATCCGGCATCGCCCGCTCCTCCGGTAGCTTCAAGAACTGACGCTCCGGATCTTGTTCCTCGTTGTTAGGATTCCCAATTGGCTGCTGTACTTGTCCTTCCAACGTATCGGCCGCCGTCATAGATCCTTCGACGCCGATCAATCCCTGGCCGGCAGAAACAGAGACCGAATCTTGAGGCTGCTCTATGGCGGATGGTTCTACCTCTTCCGTGGATGGCTCTTCGTCTTCGCTGTAAGCTTCTTCGACAGTATAGCGTGGCATTCTGTCTCCATCGGGTCTTTCTTCGTATTCGGTGTATGCTTCTCTGTAAACGTAGGATGGCACTTCGTCTCCTCCATCGGGTCTTTCTTCGTCGTCGTCGGGGTCTGGGTGTTCGACAAAATAGGGTTGCTCTCCATTGGATTCACCGGGGCTCAGCGGCTGTACGATAAAGAAATAGATGGCGATGAAGACTCCTATCACTGAAGCGCGGGAGAAGTACTGGAGCGGCTGATCGGAATCAAGAAAGTAATGGCGGAGAGAGGTTTTAGGAATCAGAGCGAGAAGAAAGAAAGAAAGAAAGAAACTCAACACAGCAAAACAGAATCGAAAAGAGAGCAATCAAGAAAGGCGTAATGGAGAATCACCGAGAAAGGCATTGTGAATTCTCGAGTCGGAAATTCACAGAGCGACGGCGGAAGACGGAATCCCAGAAAGCTAAACGAAAGAAAACGGCAGCTGTATCGTCTTCTCTGACTGCAGTAAGAAGCCGTGGAAGTTTTGGAGAGATAGGCTGAAGAAGACGACTATGGAGACTCCATTTTCCTCTCTCTCTCTCTACAGATTGCTAGTCTTCTTCTGTGAACTGGAGAAAGAGAGAGAGAGAGAGAGAGAGAGAGCAGAGCAGAGCAGAGCAATTTATGCTGCGATGGAATCTGTTTCAAATAGGTAGAGAATGGCGCGCACTGGGCGATATGGGTCGCAGATCGGTTAAGTGTTAGACGGCCCAATTCAGCCTTTGAGCCCAATTTGAAAGCCCAATCTATTTCCTTTCGTCTATTCCCTAATCCCTACGCCTTCACCCTCCTCAACGAATTACAGACGACGATGGCAATGGCGAAATGGTGGCGCGGCGAGGAATCAGAGCGGCGGCGAAATTCCATCCGCCGGTGTGTATTTATGCACTCCCTGATTTCTCCTCACCGCACGATCCAAGCGATTCCTCTCGATGCCACGGCGAGCCGAGTCGCCGAACGAGACAGGACAAAAAAGGTAGGATTCCGGCGATGGTTCTCTCCCGAGATCTGCTCGATCCTCCGCCTCCAGGAAGCGGTTGTTGACGACGGAGAAGAAGCAAAATGCAAGCCATCCTTGATTCGGTGGAATCACCTTTCGTTATTCAGATTGGAATTGCTGATCCAATTGCTGCAGTTGAAGCTCTCGATGCGTAAGTTTTTTCTCCCCAGTACTTCTAGTTTAGCAAACATTCATGATTCATCACTCAGGTAGTCAAATACAAAACTCTCATTTGTATGTGCTGTCATAGGTAACTTGCAAGAGTTGGATTCTCATGATGACAAAAAGAAGTGCATTGTCTGTAATCTTCCATGAACTTAAACTCTTTGGCCAGCAACACTAGGATTTCAGATCATTGATCTTCATCATCAACTTTTGGAAAATATCAGAACTGTTGGTCAAGGACTCAAAGCGTCGTCGATCTGATGACTTTAACAGCCAGCAGTTCTGGTAAGGCTGTGTGATTGGCAGTTATGTGGTTATCAAATGTTTCATGGTTGGTGGTTCTCGTGTCAAGGGTTTTCATGTGAAGGTGATACATCTCAGCTCCTGCTGAAGGGTGACACATCTGCTCCTGTTGGAATTGATGACGACGGGCTTCCAGCTCCTTATGTCAAATATTGTAGCTAATCTTGAGAACCATGAGAAAGCTGTCCTTTCTGTTGCGAATGCTCGTACCGGTGCGACCGACCTAGTGGCTAATCTCAGCAATTGTACCAACATTGGAGCTGTCATTGAACTGATAATGAGGTAACGATCTTAAGTTTTTTTTTTTTTTATCCATTCTTCATCTATAGTTTTGTTATTGAAACTTGTTGGTTCTTTTGGTGCAGATATGCTAAAACTATTGAGGAATTGAGGGGATGCCTTCAATCGGAGGCCATGTTGAATCACATGCCACCCATAGATCACGATTCGAAGTCCTCAACTGAACTACAGCTTAGTTAGTAGAACTTTATCCTTCCGGATTCGGGGCAGGAGGTCCTGCACTTGCATTACCAGGCAGTTCAACATCAGAAGCAGGAGTAGGAGCAGTTCCTATACCAACATTAACAGCTTGTCCACCAGGATTTCCTTCGTCATCATCAAGTCTAACCAACACATCAGCATGAACAGTTGGCGAGGGTGGTTCATACTGATGAAGTGCCCTCAGAGTATCCAAGGCTTCTGATGTTGAACTACCTGGTAATGCAAGTGCAGGACCTCCTGCCCCGAATCCGGAAGGATAAAGTTGTACTAACTAAGCTGTAGTTCAGTTGAGGACTTCGAATCGCGATCTATGGGTGGCATGTGATTCAGATGAAGGTGATACAGCTGCTCGTTTTGGAAATGACCTGCCCTGGACATGGAAGGATCAGTTCACGTTACTATGTTGTTTGATTCAGTTGAGGATATAGAATTTTGAACTTACGATGCATTTGATCATCTATCTTTGCCTCAGCTGGCATGTGATACTCGATACTGGTAACTGGAATTCCTATGGTAATGCGTAACCACTCGTGTTCGGTAATCTTTTAGTGGTTCTTGGATTCTAAAATGCAGTCATGCGTAATCTGTCATATTGTTTGGTAATCTTGTAGGGGTTGTTGGATAAAGTTTTTTTTAAAGGCCAGTTGTCTCGCTGAAATTACTGAAAAATGTCACATTTGTCACTAAAGTTAATTAGATTTCATTTGTAGTCACTTAAATTAATTTAGTAGTTTAAGTTTAGTCATTATCTATTAACTTTTTTTTTTTTGGTCGAACATTATCTATTAACTTTTGATGATGTGCCAGTCAATTTTCAAAATTGACGGTTAAGTTATGTGGTAAATAAAAAATTAATTAAAAACATGGAAATTAATCTGTTAAAAATTCCACATTAATCTGTTAAAAACTGGTATTTGCTATATACCGAATACCGTACCGAATTTGTCTATATTTGGTATTACCGAATACACGTATTATTTTGTGGGATTGGGATTGGGATTGAGTTTCAATTGTTATTCGGTATTAGGGATTACGGGATTGGGATCGGTATATACCGAAATACCGATCAATACCGAAATATAAGCTAGTGTGTATTTTATCCTCTCAACTAGACTCTCTCATTCACTACTACGCGACCCTCAACCACCAATAGTGTCAATTTAATTATACATAGATCATTACATCACTATTTCACACTAGTATTAGTCGTCTCTCAACCTCAAATTCATCAAATTAAAGATTACTAATTACAAAAACTTGAGATGTTAGCTCTAGGCAACTCAAGACTCTTTGTTTAGTCTCTTTTCCCTAAATTAAACAATAAAATCTAATTTATATATTTAATTATTAATGGCAAAGATAATTAATTTTGTATTTGATAATACCAATTGGGATACCGAGGTACCGATTGGGATACCGAAATATTTAGGGATTGGGATTGGGATACCGAAATTATTTAGGGATTGAGATTGAGATTGATTTCAGGGTGTAATTCGGTATTCGGGATTTCGGTATTTAGTATTGGGATACCGATAACGTACCGATTTCCATACTAGGGAAGACGACGGAACTTCCTTTTCAAACCTAACATAAGGAGTGTGCGTTCTGTTCTCCTCCATAGTAACCCGATCCATTAAATTCTCTATTTGTGTATAATATTAATTAATGAGAATATATTCCAACCACAGGTAGCATTTCGGGCTCAAGATAGGGTGCATAACTCATGGTTATGCACCCATCAATAACCAAATCTGGACCATTCATTTAGAAAATCCATATCTAAGGATGGAGAATTAAAGACTATTTTTATTTTCACTAGCTTTCTTAATTGACTCATATCTTTTTCGTTTTAACTCGGATTTTAATTTTTTTTGCACAGATGGAACAAGTTCACTGTGCTCTACAAAATGAGATCTATTTTTAATATTTTTTTAGGAAAAAAAAATTCTGGCCTCTCGATACCAACTGCATACCATATGGTATCTTCTTCATTTTTAATTCGTTTTTGAAAACGTTTGCACAGCAGAGATGAGTTCATCATGATCTACTGGATCTACAAATTTCTGGGTGAACAAATTACAGGACCAAAAAATACCACACAATACCATACAATACCACCATGGTACGGGGTGATATTGTATGGTATCTTCTTCGTTTTTAATTCGTTTTTGAAAACGTTTGCACAGAAGGGACGAGTTCATCATGATCTATTGGATCTACAAATTTCTGGGTGAACAAATTACAGGACCAAAAAATACCACACAATACCATACAATACCACCCTGGTACGAGGTGGTATTGTGTGGTATACAATGTTAAAAGTCGTAAATTACAATTAATATACTTCTACTATCATGTATTCAACCATCCTACAGTATTGGTTTGTTCATATCACCATGGTACGTTTTTCAAAACATAGGTATGCTTTTATTTCAATACTAGTCAATACCATATGGTATAGGCTGGTAAAAAATGGCTCAATTTTTTTTGTTCGGAAAATATAGTAAAGTGGATATCATTTTGAAGAGCACAATTAATCAGATCTAACTGTGCAAAAAAAATTAAATTTCAACTTAAAATGAGCGAGAAATCGTCCGTCAAAGATTAAAGAGGGAAAATTAAAGGCTTTCCATAAGAGAGAGGATGCTGATATCATGCTGATGTGGATGGGTTACTCATGGTTACTCACCATAAGGTTACTGACCTGATCCATTCCCAGCATTTCGCACACCCGTCCTCTTTTTATAATATAAAAATATAAATATTTTATTAAGAATTATTTAATAAAAATAATTATATCCAAATGATTCATTCATAGTTTGCAAATAATCAACTATACAATCATTATTTTCATAAACAACCACGAATGGATTTCATATAGTGAAAGAAACGTAAAAACATTCGTTGTCTACACTATTAATAAGTTTATTTCAATGTATATCACTAAACAAGCATTAGCAAACTGGTCGCTAAATCGACTTGGAAACTTGTTCTTAATATAACCCAAAGATGAAAATGCTTTTTCTACACTTGTATTTGTAATTGGTAGAATCAATACTAGCTAGTGGAATAGCCGCTCTCGTTAGACAATTTCAGGGTTGTTGGGGAAAAGATCTAATAGGCATAAGGAGAAAAGAGATTCAATTAGGTCTTTATTGCAATTGAAACTTCTATAATAGTATAATAAATTAATTTTATGTCAATTTATGAACAAGTAATGAGTTGTGTTGGAGTGACAAAATACTCTAATACTACATATAGATGTTGTGTTCCATCACCATATAAATATATATAGCGTATTTTTGGTTCCTCCTAAATTTACCCCTATCCAGGGACAAGGTCCAAAGAGCCTGCCTCCGCCTCCGCCTCCTCTGACCACTTCCCAACACTTAACGTTACGCGGTTACGCCCAACTAACTAATACGCAAACCTCAGTCTTGTGTCAATTTCGCTCCGCTTTAGAGTTAGTTATCCGTCCATTACAATTAGAAGAAAGTTACTTAAATGTGGCCCATATGATTTTAACCTTTTTATTCTTGATTTTAACCAACTCATGATTTATTATTGGTCGAACCAAAATCCAAATGTCAGGTTGTTACAACGCAACCCCCAATCGTTGGTAAAGGACTTCCTGGATCATTTAGCAGCTTATGAGGTTAACCAATGCATAAGGCACCTCCTAGCTTATTCGGCGAGAACTCTAGTCCCGAGTCGGGATGCCAAGTAGTGATCGTAGGACAAGTGATCCATGGATAAAGAGAAAGATCATGGACTCACTTATTTAGGTGCTCATCTTTTCTTTTTCTTTAAAGATGGTTGTAACCCCTTTTTTATTTTCTTGTTTTTTTCTTTTCTTTTGTGTGGGTTCCAACCGGCTATTTTCAGAAAACGGGGCTCCCACCTAGCAAAGGTTTTGCGGGATCCCAGCTCTTACCGGCCATGCGGGAGCATATGTCTCAAGCCTCGTGCGAGGGAAAGAAATTTAAGGGGGCTAGAGCCTGGAGGTAGTAGGTAGAAGATGGGAACGAATTCCGTCTCCCCTTACACACTTCCACCGATTTCCATACGGGAGACATTGTTTTAAAAGCATAGTTTAGAGCACCTTTCCAAAACATGATACAGAGTCCATGACAGGTAGAGAGTCCACAATACCACACGATTCAAGTATCATAAGATCACTAATTCACACAATCATCCAACACAACATGAAAAAGAAATGAGACTTCTTAAATGCATCAACATCCTCCATAGTGCTACACTACCTTCTTAGGTTGCATATTACTATAAAGACTGTCAATTCAAAGCATACTGAGCAGACAATTGCAAGGAACACGCACTTGGAGCCCTCAAATCGAAATTTGGACAATGTACTAGGCTCCAAGCACAAGACACATATAAGCAGTCAACTAGAAACACCCTCCACACTTAAGTTCGACATTGGCCTCAATGGAGAAGAGGAAGGATAAGGGAAATGATGTTATCGAGAAAAACATACTGCAGCGGGACTGGAGAGGGGACTAGTCAGCAAAGGACTAGAAGTGGGACCAGTCAGGGCAAGAACACGGGTTAGAACAAAAAACAATCACTCGAACACAAGTCGTTAGGAAGAGTTGTCAGCCCAATGGGGGCTCGACAAACACACAAACCGACTCAAAATATCAAAAATAAAAAAACAAAGAAAAGAAAATGCAAACCGTGGTGGGGTTGCCTCCCCACAAGCGCTTATTTACCGTCTTTTAGCTGGACACCTACGGTGGATGCTTAGGACAGTGGAAGAATAGGTGCCTCCAAGAGCGGATCCACCTCGCTCTTGAGGTACAACTTCAGATGTTGACAATGCACACGACAGTTGTGGCCATCAGCACATGTCAACTCGACCTGGCCATCCGGCAGGATGCAAGCAAGTGAATACTCGGATAGCCAGGGTGGTCGTGGCTTAGGAGCTGTGACCAGCTCATAGTGGTCTCCAGCTTTCTTTTTGGCAGGCTCGGCAGCCTACAGCTTCGGCCACCACTCCTCCTTGAGCTTTTCTTTTGGTAACGGGACAAACGGTAGTGGCAACGAAGGAATGAGTGGAGAATCCTGCAAAATGGAACGCACAGAATGATACACGACAGACTCGTACACCTGGTGAGATAAAGCATGCACAGGCGAGGTAACAGTCATATTATTAGCAATATAAAATGTTATCTGCTCCTCACCATCTCTCAAGACTAAGGTCCCATCATGCACATCAATAAGACGGTCGGTGATTAACGGTGAAACGATTTGTAAAGTTAATGAACAATAAAAAAAAAAATCAAGTGGCAAATGTAAAAGATTTGCAACATTTGAGTGACCAACTTGTAATTTAGGGGTCGTTTGGATGTGGAAATGTAATGCAGTAATCGGACTCAATTACCACATAATACAGTAATTGGGTTAAAAATCCACGTTTGGAGAGCAAAAAGGGTATGAGAATTGGACCATGGAAATTGGCTTCAATTACCACATTCATGGTAATTGAGAATACTACACCTCCCCCTAGTAATTTGACATTACCACGTTTTCTTACTTCTTTTTCCAAATTTCACACCATCAATTCCCACGTTAATTTTTTTCAATTTCCACAAGTTAATTCCTTGATTTTGTAAAACATAAAAATTCAGACAAATTCCAACTTTTTCAAATTTCCACGTCCAAACTACTCCTAGCCTTTTAATTTGTGATGCCAGGCCGTCTGTAGCCATGGCCCATGAGCGACATGTTATGTACCGTTTCTTGTGTCCTTCTAACTCTAAGCCCTTCTCCAACTAATGAATCAGATTATCAACAGTAAATTCTGGACCGGGCTTAGGTTTTTTTTTTTTTTTTTTTGACAACATGGCTTAGGCTCTCGTTTATAAGAGATTATCTACTCAATGGACCCAAAACCCGAACCCACGGGTACCCATCCGACCCAACACGGTTAACGCGGGTAAAATCCGTGTTGACGGGTTTTGGGTCGGGTTTGGGTTTAACCCGTTTACTATTTATCGGGTTGGGTTTGGGTTTAGGTAAACCCGACCCGTGGGTACCCGCCCACCCATATAATTAATTTTTTCGGTATATTTAATATTCTAAACAACTAATCTTATTTATGTTTGTGGAGACATGTCTAATTTTTCTTTTTAATTGTGTAGAATGAAGTTGATGTTATGGTGTGGAGAGTAAAGAAACTTAATTAAAAGAAAGAAACTTAATTAAAAGAAAGAAGCTTTCAATTAAACATGTTATTTATGGATAATTTGTGATTTGCTTCAATTTTCTTGAGTTTTCCAGATTGGTATTGAACAATTTGTATAGTTAATTTGTGATTTGCTTGAATTTTCTAGAATGGTGTTTTATATATGGATAATTTGTATTGAGAGATTGATATTTGACTTTAATTTTGATAAGAACTTGTAATTGTAAATTTTTTACGACAAAACCCGTGAGTACCCATGAACCCGCGGATGCCCAACGAGTTGGGTTGGGTTTGAGTTTTTCAAACCCAGTGGGTTTTACATCGGATTTTTTTCAAAGATAAACCCATGGGTTTGGATTTGGGTTTGGCAAAACCCGACCCAACCCGAACCATTGCCATCCCTAAGCTAACCCTTACTCCTCCGGTGGCACTATCTTGCACCCGCCTGTTTGTCTACCGCTATGGCGACTGTGAACTGCACCACGGTTTTGGATCAACTGCTAGACGCAGCTTTTTGACCTCCTCGCGGCTGCAGAAAGAGACGGTCCCGTTCATAGGTAAATCCTCGTTCTCCGATGATCAGCAAACTCGGAAACGATCTCCTCGTCGAAATTCTGATTCGCCTCCCGAATCCTAGATGTGCCTGCCGGAGCAAAGTCGTCTGCAAGCTGTGGAGATCCCTGATTTCTGATCCCTGCTTCAGTCGTTGTTTCCTTTCTCACCACCACCAGCGCATGAACAAACCACCTCCTCCTCCTCCTCAACTTCTTCTCTCAGATGACAGGGAATCGGTCGTCCTGAGATTCCTCCCCACACCCGTTGAAGAGGGAGGCTACCGTTCACTGCTTTTCGCAGTTTTCGATTGTTTCAAGGACTTGCTTTTATGCGGGTTTGGGGAACTAGGTGACCGCCATACGAATGCTGAACTTGCCAGATCCTACTTGATCTGCAATCCTTTTACGAAGCAATGGATCGCTCTCCCTTTGGCCCCCGAAAGACCCGTCGGCGGGCTTACGGAATTGTGCGCAAGGTTAGTCTGCGAACCCTTGATTTCTGATAGTCGTCTTGATCTAGGAGGTGGCTATGAGTATCGGTTCCGGGTGGTCTGTATATATCAAGATAGGAATTCCATGAAGCTAGATGTGTTCTCTTCCGACTCTGGAAAATGGAAGAAGGAGGCTCTCCTTCTTCAAGGTTGTCGCAGGCACCGAATGATTGATGTTGTTTCCTGCAATGGCCTTTTATATGTGCCCTATCTTAGAACACAAGACAGATACGTTGGCGGCTTGCCTAAGCCTTTCATTACTGGTTTCAATCTTTTCCGCCTTGATATACCTCCCACTCCCATTGATGTTTCCCCAATCCTTGAGAAATGGTGGTGGTGGAATATCTCGGTTTCGCAAGGTGCTCTGCACTTGATTGTGTTTGAGGACGGCACTAAGCCTGCTAGTTCGAGGATTGTCTTGAGTGTGTGGAGGCTAAATGAAGCCAGTAACTGTTGGAGGAAGGTGTGTGAGGGGTCGGTGAAGCCAAAGGGTGAGTACAGACTGGAGTCCGTTTTGTTTCCTACTCTACATCCAGAGAAGCCGCAAACCGTCTTCTTTGCTCTAATTGCTGGTGGTGGTAGGGATTGTCGTGTGTCCTGCGATTTAAGGAGGGGGGCAAAGTTAGAGTTTGTCGCTCGACTAACTCAGATTTTTACCGGTTGGAGGGTGTTCCAGCCTATGATAGCCTCTTGCTGGCCTACTCCGATTCCAAGGTACCAGAAGCTGAGAGTTACCTACAATGGAAGCTACAACTATTGGGTTCAGAGCAATGAACCAATAGCCCCCTCAATAACTGGTACTTATACTTGTACTTGTGAGAATCTACCTTCTTCTTTGCTGTCTTTCCTAGCAGAGTGGTCTAACGAAAACAACTAGGAATGTGTCAATTGGATGTTCTACTGAATCTGTTCAACTGAGAGTTGGTAGTTAGCAAAAGCATAAATAAAGTCAAGAAGTAAAAAGAAAGAGAAGAGATCTTCTCAAGCGAGGTGAACTCTAAGCTTTTAATAAGATATATGGATTAAGGATTAATAGCTTTTTTGAAGAGTTAAACTAAAAAACGTGTGGTTGTTCAACTTGTAACCACACTTCGGTTTCAAGTGTCCTTCTTTTTGATCTGAAATAAAAACACTCCCCTTGTGTCCGATTGTTTGAGAATTCAGGGTAGTTGCAATCTGCAGAGAGGCGACTGAGAGGAACCGCACTAAATCTGTTCTCCTTATTTCTCGTTGTGGCTTGGTATCTAATCACATTTCCCATCTCTTTTCTTTGTTGTGGTTGGTTTTGTTTTTCTGAACTAATAGAAGAATGGCAAGGAGTTGAACAATCTGGTAACTGGAAGAAGCCAAAGGTGGCGAATGGCTCACCTCTTCTCAAGGATAGGATGGACGTTGGCGGAAGAAGGTCTGTGTTATCTCTTGATTAAAGGAAAGTAGTTTATCAGTTGGTTTGGAATTGCTAGTGGAATTGGTAGCTATCATGGAAGGGTCATGCTAATGAATGTATGACTCTAGGAGTGATTGTTGTAACTGGATTGCATACTCTCAATGATGCATATCAGCTTTCTTTAACCAATTCTTTCCCTGTTGGTTAACTCGGGAATTTTGGATTAATTAAAAGACTGAAGGTCGCCAAATCTGTTGGTTAACTCGGGAATTTCGTGAAGATGTCAAATGAGTTGAAGTTAGTAGCTTTTTGCTCCAACGAACGAAGGGTTTTCAGTCAAACCTTCTTCGCATAGAGTTTGATGCTTAAACCTGTCATTCTCCATTGATCACTGATAGTAGATTGGAGACCCGAAGATGAAAATCAGAAGAAATGCCATGCTTTAATCTCTTTAATCTTTCACGATACATGCCGTGGTTGATGACTTGAGGATGCATACAATCAGTTAATGTTTTTCCCTTGATCAAGTCCATGCTATTAGTTGGTAGAATTCAGTGTAGAGGGCATATTATACTTAAAGCTCTGTGCTCTTCAATCGAAAGCGCAAAAGTCCCACATGAATCCAGGGACTCCTTCCCTCCCAAAATACATTACATCTTTCTTCCTGATCCAAATTGTATGACGCAGTCGGCTGTGGTTTAAATAATAAACGAATGGAGTTGCTGCTATGCAAGGCTTTTTGGGCAAAAACTTATGTCGATTTGCTGCTATCCCTCCTGGTTCATATATGAAGTGCACTAGTGCAGGATAGATTTTCCAGAGTGTTCATTCACAATGACTGTTTATGTACATACATTTGCGGCTTGCGATAATTTGATGAGAAGATCGTAAAATCTTGCTTCTCTGTTATCCAATCACAAATTTCTTCCTTCTTCAAATCAATGATTAATGGTGAAAGGACAAGGAACTCGAGCATCGGCTACTTCGACCTTCCATTTGCTACTAATGGATCCCTCTCAAAACTCTAATCCTGCTAATGAGAACGTTGATGGTTAATGTCTACTAATACCTGTTAGTTAGCAACATCCACAGCTCCAACAGACATGGTTCTTGGCGCCAATGGTGACTGCTCTAATGGCTGCCTCTACCTTTGCTTTACCAGACTAAACTTTGATGACCAGTTCCAGCCGAATATCTCCTTGACCTTCCTTCTAAAATGGAGTTGAATAGCAACAACAGAAGATCCCCTGTACCAATCCAGATATAGGAAGGCAGAGAGAGAGAGACAGAGGTGATCACTAGAGATCTGTATTGAAGATTAGTTTGATACAAGGGTAATATAATCCGAATGGGATCAGGATATGCAAACTGGAGATCAAATCATGATCCTCAAAAAATGAATGGATGTAATGTGATCAATGGAAACAATCGAAATCATCTACGAGGTCCAAAGCTAGAGCTGAAAGTAAACCGGCAAAAAAAATCGAAGTGGAAAAAAAAAAAAAAGGAGCAAGCTTTCTGTTCTTCAAGTAGTAGATCGATCCAGTGGACTGATGGGTAATGATCTTCTTCTGTCTATCTGCATTCAGTTTTGCGTCTCCATTTGGATTCAAGCTTCCTTGCTCTTCCCAGCGCCCGCCTCGTCCGTTTCCATTGCTGCTGCTCTTCTGCTCCCGGCGGCACTGCTTTCTCCGGTAAAGTAGTAGGGCGACGGCGGTACATTTCGTGAAGTGGGCATTAACGGCAGCGGGTTGAACGGCGGGATGGTCATCTCGATTTCCCGACGAATACGACCCCCGACTTGGGCCGCTGGACGTGGCTCTGTTCCTGATCCGGTGATGACCGACGACGACGACGAAGACGGTGGCTCTGTTTCCGGTGCAGGATCGGGGATGTCAATGGCAACATGGCCCGCCGCCGCCGACGCCGTTTCTTGAGGAGGCGCTGCTTCTTGCAACATTGCTAGCTCGTCCGCCGTCAGTCGCCGGATTTCTTCGGGAACAGCTTCTAAGAAGAAATGCCTCAGCTCTGTTCCGAGGGGAGGGAACTGTTCACCGAGAAAGCAGAGGATCTCGACCATCTCGCGGTAAGGCCCAAAATTCCTCCCGAGTTCGTCCATGGATTCTCTGTCAATTACGCGAAATCCCTCCGGCGGCGGTCCGTCTCCGGCTCCTTCCTCAACCACGTTCAGGGATCGCGCAGCGGCAACAGCGGCAGCGCGATATTCCGGCGAATAGCGAAAACGGAACGCGGACTTCATAATCAGCATGGCAACCATGAAATTCAGGACCGGGTTGGTTCCCATTGGGAGCAGACCAAACATGAGCATCAGTAGCCTCAGCTGTCGCCGTCGTCAACGGGAAGAAAACGCAAGCAGCAAATTAGGGAAAAGCCCCGCCATGAAAGAAACTCGGAAGGAAAAAACAGAGGAAGAAAATTATATGGATTGAGGAAGGCAGAATTGATACCCAGAAGCTCATTGTTCGTATGTGGAGGAGTGAATATTGGGATTGATCGATCGAGTTTGCACAAGGAATTTCACCGGAAATCCAAGAAAGCTACTAGAGCGACTGATAGGAATCAAGAAAGCAATGGCAGAGAGAGGCTTAGGAATCAGAGCGAGAAGAAAGAAAGGAAGGGAACTCATCAATGGAAATCGAGAAAGAAAGAAAATTCGATCAAGAAAAGCAAAAGCTTTGTTGATGGAGACTCACCGGGGAAGGGATTGTGAAATTCTCGAGCCGGAAATTCACAGAGAGAAACGGCGGAAACGAAATCCCAGAAAGCTGAACGAAGGAAAGGGCTACTGAGTCGTCTTCTTGGCTGCTGAAAGAACGGTGGAGGTTGTGGAGGAGATTGGCTAGAGAAGATGGCTATGGCGACTCCATTTTTCTTTCTCTACTGATTGCTTGTAACTAACTCTTCTCTGTTTACTGGAGAAAGAGGAGAGGGAGGGAGCAAAACAGAAACAGAGCAATTTATTCTGTTTCAAATAGCTAGACAGTGGCGCGCAAATGGTTTGCGTGGGCCAGAGATGGGCTCGATCTGATGAGCTCTAACGGCCCAATACAACGTTTGAGCCCAATGTAGAAGCCCAACATATTTCCTCTCGTTTAGTATAGTCCCTCGGTCTTAAAACCTCCAACCAGCAAAAAAAACCCTCAGGAACGAATTGCAGACGACGATTGCAATGGCGAAATGGTGGCGTGGGATCGGAACGGCGGCGAAATTCCCTCCTTCGTTTCAGTCGCCCTACTCTCAGAGCTAAGTTCGTTACTTTTTTTTTTGGGTACTTATCACTGTTTGCGCTCATTGGCTAAAGAAGTTATTTTGCTCTGCTGAAGCTACTCGATTTCACCATTGATGACCTCGAAACACCTCAGTGTGATGCTTTCATCAAGGAATTGATATAAATGAAAGTTCCCCTGTATGTGTAAGGTTGTTTCATTGCGAACCTAAGATCACCTTGCCCTATCATCCCGAAACAGATGGGAATTGCAATTTCCCTAAACCTATGTCGAGTCGCCGCTACTCTTCCTTTTGCTCATATACGAAGTGCATGTCAGGTTTTCGGTAGTGCTGGATTACGAAGCTTCAATCACTCACGAAAGCGACATGGATCAGGGTAGGATTCGAGCAGTGGAATCTCCTCGAGAAGAAACCTAATGCTCGCTACTCTTCCACCTCCTGGAAGCGGCGGTTGACTACTGATAAGATGGAAGTGGAAAGATAGTAAGATACTGAATTTGGTGTTTGTTTGGGCACTGAACTGAAAGTTGCTTTAAAAGGAGAAGAGAATCACCCTGGTCTCAGCAACAGTAAGTTTGCTAAGTAGTTCTGTGTAGGAATTCGGAAGAAGTGTGTTTCTGTTGGACTTTCCTGTTTGCAGAGTGCTGGATTAGTAGGATTACAAATTTCCTCGCACTGGTAGAATGGAATGGAGTGTGTTAGCTCTTAGCAGTCTGCTGGTTGATTAACTCATATGGTGGGGGTTTAATTGACAGTTGATTAAATTAGTGGGAATGTGATTGATTTGACCATTGATGAGCCTGAGCATATACTATCTCATTATGTACTCAAAGGAAACCGTTGTTGATCGAATACAATTAATTGATGTGTTATCATTGTGATTCTGGTGGGCAGGTGGTCGATTGAACCAGTTTGGAACCAGTCTCAAGTTTCTTTGCACTGCTGAAAACATCCTGCACAAGATCACGGTTGACCGCGGAGCAATCTGGACTGGAGAGCGAATTGTCACATGAGTTCGATGTCAATCCATTGCTGTAGCATCTACGTAACGATGAGATCGCCCCTGTATGATAGGTTTTTCCGGCACAAACTTATGTCGATTTGCTGCTACCCTCCTTGTCATGTATGAAGGGCAGTAAGATTTTCCATACTGATCATTCAGAATGACTGTTTATGTACACACACATTTGCGGCTTGCGATAATTGGAAGAGACCGAAAACCCAAAAGGGTGGAAATAAAATTGACTGTTTACTGATATAGGTTACTCTAAATAGAAGTCAGCAAGATATTCACATGATATGCTGGTTTAGAGTATTATATACAAGTAAGATCGTCAAAATCTTGCTTCTCTTTGAACCAATTGCCGAGGGAGCTCCTTGAACACGCAATTTCGGTCGTTCTTCCTCGTTCATTCAAGGATCGATGGTGACAGAAAGAATGCCGAACTAGAGCCAAATTTGAACTTCCAAAATATCAGCTTTGTTCCTTAGTTTTGATGAACAATTCTAGCAGATTATCTCCTTGAACTTCCATATACTAAGGAGTTGAATTGCAACAGAAGTTCCCCTGTACTAATCTAGATATAATCCGAATGGGACCAGGATTTTGAAACTGAAAGGCAGAGTAATAAGCATTCATGAATTCAGCCACCCAAACATATGGAGATGGAGATCAAATCATGATGCTAAAAGAATGTGAAGTGACGTGATCAATGGAAAAACAATCGAAATCATCTCATAGGTCCAAATCTAAAACTAAAAGTAACCCGCGAAACTGTAAAATCGAAGTAAAAAAAAAAAAAGAGAGAGAGAGCAAGCCTCTGTTTCTTCAGGTAGTAGATCGATCCAGTGGACTGATGGGTATGAATCTTTCTGTCTGTCTGTCTGCATTTCAAGCTTCCTTGCTCTTCCCAGCGCCCGCCTCGTCCGTTTCCTTTGCCGCTGCTCTTGTGCTCCCGGCGGCACTGGTTTCGCCGCTAAAGTAGGACGGCGGCGGTACAGTACTTTGTGAACTAGGCATAAACGGAAGCGGGTTGGAAGGTGTTTCCGCCGACGCCGCTTCTTGATCATTACTGCGGGTTTGTGGAGGCGCTGTTTGATGCCTCATCCAGATTCTTTGTAGCTCGATCGCCGTTAGCTGCCGTATTTCTTCACTGAAGAACTGCCTCAGCTGTACTGGGTCGGCTCGCATTGGATAAACCCTCCGCAGGAGAAGCACGAACTTAGCCTGTCGGCATCATCATCAACAGGAAGAAACGGAAATAGCAAAAAAATGAGAAAAGCCCGCCATGGAAGGAACTCAGAAGGGGGAAAAAAAACAGAGAAAAGAAATAATAACGGGGTTAAAGAAGACAGAATTAGTACCCAGAACCCCATTGTTGATCTGTGGAATTGAGTATTGGATTGATCGATCGAGTTTGCGCAGAAGGAATTTCACTGGGAAGTGGCGGAAACAAAATCCAAGAAAGCTAAGCGAAGGACAGGGGGCAACTTGAGCCGTCTTCTTTGGTGCTGAAAGAAACAGTCTTTTCTTTGAACGCGGTAGAAGTACTAGAGCGACTGACAGGAATCCAGAAAGCAATTCCAGAGAGAGGTTTAGGAATCAGAGTGAGAAGAAAGAGAGAAGGAGGGGGAACCCATCAATGGAAATAGGGAAAGGAAAGAATGCAATCCGGAAACCAAAGCTTAATTAATGGAGACTCACCGAGAAAGGCATTGTGAATTCTCGAGCCGGAAATTCACAGAGAAACGGCGGAAACGAAATCCCAGAAAGCTAAACGAAGGAAAGGGAAACTGAATCGTCTTCTTGAGTTCAGGAAAAAACAGTGGAGGTTGTGGAGAGATAGGCCAAAGAAGATGGCTATGGAGACTCTTCTTCTGTGAACTGGAGAGAGAGATGGAACGGAGCAGAGCAATTTATGCTGCCATGGAATCTGTTTTTTTTTTTTTTTTTTTTGTGGTAATGATTCTGTTTCAAATAGCTAGACAGTGGCGCGCAAATGGTTAGCATGGGCCAGAGACGGGTTCAGTCCGATGAGCTTTACTGGCCCAATTGAACGTTTGAGCCCAATGTCGAAGCCCTTTTTCCTTTCGTCTAATCTTAGTTACCCTTAAACCTCGAACCAGCACAAAACCCTCGGGAACGAATTTGCAGACGACGATGGCTACGGCGAAATGGTGGCGTGGGATGAGAACGGCGGCGAAATTCCCTCCGCCGTCGGTTCAGTCGCTCTACTCTCCGTCTTCTCCTTACCACACGATCCAAGCCATACCTCGGGAAGCCACCGGAAGCCGAGACAGGACTCAGGGGAGGATCCCGGCAGTGGTTTTTTTCCCCGCAGAACCTCCTCGAGAAGAATCCTGATGCTCGCTCCTCCTCGGCCTCCAGGAAGCGGCTGTTGACCACCGAGAAGAAGCAAATTCTATCTATCCTGAATTGAAAGTTGCTTTCAGAGGAGAAGAGAATTGCCCTGGTCTTCAGAAAGGTAATTTGCTACTTCCCTTATTCAATTTGGGAATGGAAGGAAGTAAGTAGAGAGCTAAGTTGGTCACCACTGCTTGGTAGTTCATAACGTTGTTTAGGTCCGCCAGTGTGTACATTCCATTCCTTTTTTTGGGAACTTTCCACAATGGCTGCAGATTGTTGGCACTGGCTGCTGTTTGAGTAGTGATTTGCGAATTTTCTTTGTGTTTTTTTAGTACCTTTAGTCAGTGTATGTAGAAATGGAGCGAGGTTGCGCAGTCTGCTGGTTCGTTGCGTTCATAAGGCGGTTTAAGCGAAAGTTGGTTGGATAAGTGGGAATGTGATTGATGCAGTAAAGTTCTATCCATGGGACATGGTTCTTGTTGCTGTATCCTGCTGTGTATGTGTTCACCCTGGAAGTTACTCTTGAAATTCTAATTTCTACCCCAAAATCTGTCGCAGATGCTCTTATATCTTTTAATTGCTGCAGTACTGTAAAAGCATTAGTGAAGTTCCGCTGCATCTTTCTACTGATAAACATGCAATGCTGATAGTTTTAGGCCACCTGGTTGCTACTTCGTGATAGATTTCGCATTTCTCGTATCGTTTGGCATTCCTTCAATTGGCTGAAGAACTTATGTTGCTTGCCACAGCTACTTGATTTGATCATTGATGAACACAATATCCCTCCATGCGATGCTTTCACAGAATTGATCAAATATGCTCAACCAATGTGCTACCATTTTGATGCTGGTGGACAGGTGGCCGGTTGAACCAGTTCAGAACCAGCCTCAAGTTTCTCTGCACCGCGGAAAACATCCCTCAAAAGATCGAGGTCGACCTGAGCAGTCTGGACATTGGAGAGAGAATGTTTCCATTTCTCGCTGAAGCTTCTAAGCAAGGACAAGAGACCACCCCTGTTTGTAAGGTCGTTTCGACAGAATTGAAAACATCTCAACAAAACCCTGCTTCAGCATAGTGAAGAATGAGCAGTGCCAGAAACCGCACTTCAGGGGGGTTTGCCAATTGCCATTCAACATGGAGAATTCGTCCTTGGAGCGTAACCTGATCCATATATATATATATATCTCCAGTCAAGTTGATCAACATCATGCTTTCCCAGAGCTGTTCTTGTAAGCAATGTGGAGTGATAGCAGTTGCTGCAGAATATGATTGATCGATCCAAGAATGCATACATGCAAAAGACCCGACAGAGTACTCTTCTGCCCTCTTCTTTCGTGATATATCTGAGCATGAAAATTCTTGAGATTCAGCAGCAATAATGTGCATTTTCGCTTGTAGAAAAATTTGTTTGTTTGGTATATTTATGTAAGGTAGATCTAGCTAAGATGCTTACAACACCATCTGCTGTAAGGACGTCGTTACAACGTCCTCAACTATTCGATTAGGAGTTATTTGCTTCGCAATCGTTGAATGAACGCAATGACAATTTGCGTTGTTCCAACTATAATTGCTCACCAGTGGTGTTAAAACCAGTAAATAATAAATTTAATTTTCTCCTTTATTTCTTTCATAGACCGTACTGCTGAATCGGACGTAACTACCATAACGAACTTTCACTCCCAAAAAAAATGCAAGCAATAATATAATAAGCAAAAACCAGAAATAAACAAAAGTAGAGAGAGAAAATAAAAAAAAAAGAAAGAAAAAGGGAGAAAAGAAAACAATTGGCGAAAAAGACAGAAGAAACGAAAAAGAGGAAGAACGGAGGCGAGCCGCGAGAGCGAGCGGCGACTTCCCTCGCCATTTCCCACTTTGACTTCCTTTTCTTCTTTCTTTTTCCTTTGATTTTCTCCCAAGGAAAATAAAAAAAGGAAAACGCGGAAGGAGAAAGAAGGAAAAAAACAGCGGGAGCAACGAAAAACAAAAGAAATTCAAAGATCAAAATTCCGAATTTCTCCCGATTAGTTTGACCTCCTCCGCAACCGCTTCTCGCCAAACACCATTCTCCTCTCCTTCTTCTTCTTCTTCTTCTTCTTCTTCTTCTTCTTCGTCGCTTCGTTTCCTCAGCTCTCGCTTCCGTCGTCGTTCTCCGTGAGTTGGATTCCCGTCCGTCGTCCCCTGCGTCGCCGATTACGCCATGGAAAGAACGGAAGACCTCGGCAAGTGAATTTTTTCGTGACGAACATGATTGTTGCTGTTTTGATTTCTCGCCACCATGCGCTGGCCAAGCCTATCCGCGTTCTCCTCCTCGTCCGCGCCTTCCTCCTCCGTAACTTCGCCTAAACCCGCCGACGACGAGGCCGCGTTTCAAAAGCACCACGGCAACAAGAAGCATGGCCAGAACCTCCGCAGCAACACCTTCGGCTTCCGATTCAATTCCAGCCCCGACGCCGCCCCCAAGCTCACCCGCCAGCGCAAGCTCCGCCATCTGACCGACAAGGATGTCGCCAGCAGCGACGGAGTCCCTGCCTCGTCCAAATCGTCCCCGCCCGAGCCGCTCAAGCTCTCGCGGTCTCACAGCACTTCCTCGTCGCCGCCGAGGATCTCCACCAAGGCGCCTACCTCCCCTGTCCCACTCCCCGTGCCTCTCCCGCTGCCGCAGAAGTTGCGGGGCGAGAATCTCCACGCCGCCGGCGAGGCCGACTCGCGGTTGCGGTCTCCCAAGGAGAAGGAGCACGATTCTTCCAGGGAGAGAAGTAACGGCGGTGGAATCGGCACCTCGCTCTCCACTTCCGCGCCTTGCAGGTGCATTCCTCTTTCCATTTTTCTTGACTTGCCATTTTCTGTATCCTGGTTCTTGACTTCAATTTCCCCGCCGATTCATGGAGAAATCAGACGTTTCTAGGGTTCTTGTTCTTTGAGTTTTGTGATTAATAACAGAACTAGAACTAAGATTATGGAGACGTCATCGACAGCGTTTGGCATTTTGCAAATTCAATTTACTCCAATAGATAACATTCCAAAAGCTTTGATCGCTTTCTCCATTTGTATTGAACACTATTCTCTTGCTTGTAGTTTTGTGATTAACAACAGAATTAGAATGATTCTGGAGACGTCTTCTAGAGTGTTTGGCATTTTGCAATTTCAATATACTCCAATTTGCTTGGATTGAATACTATTCTTTTGCTTGTAGTACGGGGAACAATCATAGTGTATTGGTTGGTCGAGAAACAAAGAAGACGGCAGAGCAGCAGCACCAGGAGCCGAGGTCAAGTACAGCGACGGTTGCTGGTCTAGATTTAAACAATTTTAGGCATGACAAAGCCGCTAAGAGTACATCTATGAGTCCCTACGCAAGTCCCGAAATAAGTCCACAGAGGATAAGCCATGCTTTCATCACATCTCCATACCACAACCTGATTCCAAACGGGAAGCAAGGTTGGTCTGCACCGGAGATGTCTACGTTAGATATACCAGGGCTCCCACCGCCAGCATATTTCGATTTGAGTAGTGATAGTTCGCCCCTTCAAAGCCCGGCACCAAACGGAAGTCCTCCATCTCCTGTGACTGCTAGAACTTCGTTTGAGACTTCAGCTGCTAGGCCACGTGACAGCAATGCAGGTGTAGAGGTTCACAAGTTGCCTCTCCCCCCTGGAGCAAATCTGCTGATATCTCCAACTCTAACTCCGGCGGCTGCAGCTGTGGTTCCTCCTGTTGCTCCTGCAGCTACTGCTGCTAAACAAGAGTATGTGCCCATGAAAAGTCAGTGGCAGAAAGGGAAGCTTATTGGACGTGGCACGTTTGGAAGTGTGTTTGTTGCCACCAACAGGTATGGGAGATTTCGGTGGTTGTGGATTTCATGTATTTGCCCTCTAACCTGTCTTCCTCATTGCACAATTGCTAATTGCAGTATACTATTTTCAGGGAAACTGGGGCCTTATGTGCGATGAAGGAGGTTGATATGTTTCCGGATGACCCAAAATCTCAAGAATGCATAAAGCAACTAGAGCAGGTTATCTTCCATATGTGTGGAATGCACAACACGGCTCATTATATTGAGTGTTATGGCTATTTCCACTTGCTGACTTTCTTTTCTTCTCTTCAGGAAATTAAAGTTCTTAGCCAGCTGAAGCATCCAAACATTGTGCAGTATTATGGTAGTGAAATAGTGAGTACCTCCCCTGCTGTGTTTTTATTTTATCTTCAGGTATCTGCTTGGTTTCTCTGTTTAAGTAATCAACGGTTTATTATGCAGGTTGAGGACCACTTTTATATATATTTAGAGTACGTTCATCCCGGGTCAATCAATAAATATGTCCGTGATCATTGTGGAGCTGTAACAGAATCAATTGTTCGTAGTTTTACCCGCCATATCCTCTCTGGATTGGCATACTTGCATACCATGAAGACAGTACACAGGTGAGTATAACATCCATACCTTTCACAAGTTTAAAATATGGATACAGAGTTGTCACATATTTAATCGTACTGTTTCACTCCTCTGTGTTCTATAGGGACATAAAAGGAGCAAATTTACTTGTGGATGCATTTGGGGTAGTAAAACTAGCAGATTTTGGGATGTCAAAACATGTGAGTTCCAATTGTGTGGACTATTTTCCATTTTTGTTAGTGGCCTATTCTACAAATGGTAATTTTCATGGGCCTGTTGCTTGATCAGCTTACTGGACAAGTAGCTGAACTTTCAATGAAGGGGAGTCCTTACTGGATGGCACCAGAGGTAAACCTCCCGCCCGCACATCTGAACAGTATGATGGTGTTTTCTATTTTCTAACGCTAACTACTGTTTCTCTATGCACAGCTTATGCAAGCTGTTATCCAGAAGGATCATAACTCTGATCTTGCACTTGCTGTTGACATTTGGAGCTTAGGCTGTACGATCATCGAAATGTTCACTGGGAAACCTCCTTGGAGTGAGTTTGAGGGTGTAAGTAACAAATTTTGTACCAGCTTGTTTGCTACCCATATATTGTTGTCCGCTGATTTCGAGAATGCCTGGTTTTGACAATACATCGTTGTTTTCTTCTCTCGGCATTTTTTATGATTAATCCTTTTCAAACAAAAACTGCATTCCTACAGTATACATTTTTATTAATCACACATTTCAAACTACATGCACTTCCCTAAAATACACGTATTCTACAAAGCAAGTTAACCGAGTGGCCCCTAGATTTTTTCTTCCAGTCTCACCTTCACTAATATAAACCTGCAGATAAGGTCACAAAACTTTACATAATCCAGATAGTCACAGGTTCTACTTCACATGATGCAGGCTGCAGCTATGTTCAAAGTAATGAGGGACACTCCACCTATACCCGAAACATTGTCAGCAGACGGCAAGGATTTCCTTCTTTGGTGCTTCAAAAGAAACCCTGCAGAGCGGCCTTCTGCTAGCTTGTTACTAGAACATCGGTGGTTGAAACAGCTGCATGATGCTCTTCCCTCATCTACCCCACAAATTAATGGCACTAAACCAATGGTAAAAATCATTTTTTTTTATGAATACCAATGTTAAAGATCGTTACTAATGTATTAATCCATTCATATCCAGTAAAACATATATAACTCGTTTAATTCGCTACTCTGTGTTTCATATGACACTGGCAGGACACTAGCCGTAGCCTTAGAGTAACCGATGACAAGACTAGTAGGGCCGGACCAATGATTCCTCAACTTCCAACCTCACGAAGCTCCAAGGGAAAGTTCATCTCCGACAAGTAAGAACTTTCTTCCTGCATTATAACCCATGTCTCTACTTGGCAATGCCTTACCATTAACAGTATCCCCAATTTCACATCTTTGCAATATGTTAACAACTTTAGCATGTAGTTTATTGAACAATTTCAAGCCACTTATATCCCTATATCGATTAGCCATTTTTAATTACTGGTAGGAATACATAGATTCACCCAATTGCTGGCTCAAGTAATTATGAACAGTCGTTAAGCAATTATTGAAAAGTGAAGAAAATGGTTGTCATAGCAAGTGGAATTGTCAAAAACTACGAAAGGTTCATCAGTGGCTGCGTAAGACTTTGAGCATATAGGTCTTGCAAAGCCGATGCTGTTACTCTAACACCATGTTTTGGATTTGGCAGCTCCCCGATGTTAAATACTCGTGCAGTCCAGCAAGAGCGCCCGATGATCTCATGAGACTTCCAACCCCTTGGCAGTATAGTCTTCCCCTGTTTTGTTGTGGGCAAAGTTCTCAATATTCAACTGCAAACGAACTCGGTCGAATCACCGAAGCAAGCCTCGTCCTAGTCTATTTTTTGCTTGGTGACGAAGTAGGCTGAGTAGAGGCATCGAAAGGCCCTCCCAGTTGCCAAATGCATACTCGTATCGTATATATAATTTTCTGAACCACTTTCAGGGCATGAATCTCAGCTTAGATGAAGGCTTGTCCTGATTGATTGGTTTACTTGTACCGAGCTGCCGGTGGTGCGGTGATAGTGATCGCAATGTCTTCTTGTTTGTATGTAATGTGTGTTATAAGGCCCTAAAGAAGAAGAGGGAAAAGGAAGGTGTCATTTTGCCTCCCATCTCCATTGTTGTGTAGAGGAGGAGAACAGATTGTATAGAGGAAGAGAGTGTAGGAAAAAAGGAAGAGACTCGGGAAAACGTCGGATTTCATATGTTAACATGTGTTTTGACAGTTTCAGTTTGGTCTCGGTCGGGTTTATGGACTCTGGATTTAAGTTGGGCCGAAACAACTACAACAGACTGGTGGATCTTTTTCCAGGCCCAGTTATTTTCTCATTTAATTATGGCCAGAAAACTATTTACCCTTTCTGCCTGTCCTTTCCCGCGAGTGTTTGATTACAACTTTACAAGGCAAAACCATTTAAAAAGAATCAAGAATATGCGAAATTCGAGGCAAATTAGTCGTCGTTAAAATCTCGAAGAAGGCAATTTTTTTTTTACAGAAACCATATTAAAAACATACAAATAAGGAAAAATAAATTCTTTCCATTAGAAATTTAGAATTCTGAAGAAATTCCAATTCCATTACAAAACATCCAATTTTTGTACACAGGAAGAAGACTAACAGTAGAACAGCATCAAGAAGGTTGCAATTCCAATCCAAATCCAATTCCTTTTTGTTCCCATCCTCTTTTATTGTCAGTCTGTTTCCGCCCTCTTTTTCTTGGCCGATTCCCAAACAGAAAACAGAGAGAGAGAGACGGAGACAGAACAGAGATGGAGCCGCCAGCAGGGCAGTCGATAGAGAGGGATTTAGAAGCAGGGGACGACGCCCAGGACCAAGCCATCAACGAATGGTATGCTATTCCCAAACTCCATTGATTTTGTTTTATCTTTCACTGGTTATCACTAATGGGTTTCATCCATTCTTTCCTCTTTCCCCTTCTTCTTCTTCTCCTGTGGCAGTTGTTCCTGCTTCTACGACTGCATTGAGGGCTGCCTGGATTTCCTGTGCTGCTCTTACCTCTGCAGCAGCTAATAATAGATTCAGGTGTTATGAATTTTTTTTGTTTTGTTTGTTCTGATGTGCACAGAGAGAGATAACGTATTGTACTGGTTTCGGAGACTCAGTCAGTGAGAAAAGCTTCATATATGATTGGCATGTGATTGTATATAATGACATGTAGGTTTTTATGTGTGATATTCTAGTTTTAGTTGTTTTTAAGTATGAGTGTGGTTTGGTTAATTGATGTTGTGTCGTGTAAAGGAACCTAACAATTTCGTCAAAATTATCTCAACAATTTCAAGTTTTAGTAGATATATTGCTATCATTCATTCTGACTTCTCGGTGATAGTTTTCATCACATCAACAAAAACAATTGGTGTATTGTTTAATAACTAGCGTGGGCCCCGACCATTTGGCCGGAGGAAGGTGAGATATGAAATTTGATAATGTAATGGGGTGTATAGCTTATTGTTGTATAGTTTTTTTTGGGAAACACGTGATAAAAATAGTGAATTTTAGTAGGAAAGAGACATGAATGAGGCAACGAATCAAAAATCAGCCTTATGAACCAAAATCAAGTACCTGATACCTTGTGAAACAATATTGTTTCTGGTAATATGATGAGGTGGAGTAAGTTTTGTAGAAACCGAATTCCAGAAAATCGAATAAAAAATCGCCTATCCCGCCGGTTTTCGGGAAATGAGCATCTCACAATCGTTGCTAGCTTTTACTCGGCCCGTTGGCCGATTAATTTGCTTTATAAACCTTTCATAATGTCATCATTGTGCTTTCTGGTTTTTTTGCCAAGCCATGATAAAATCTAAAGAAATCAAGAATGAACAACACGATTTGGGATAGGAACCACCGTTCTTGTATCCCTAGAAAATGGTGGTAAACACGGACTCACCTACCAAATTGGTTTGGATTGAGATTTTTATCGGGTATCAGGGAACCATGTGATTATAAATTAGACTTGATCAAAACGGGCCAAAACTTGAAATTCAGCCTGTTTGACCGACCCATGCCAAACTCTAATTATTCTTTACTTTTAAACTTTTTATTTGAAAATAAAAAATAATGAAAGAAAAGAGATGACTGCAATTCGTCATTTGCACATCACTGATCCGGGAATAAAACTATAGAATTTCGAAAGGAAACTGAAAAAGTTTAAGATCGTTTTAATGTTAAAAATAACCAAATAGATCTTTCTGTTTAGTTTTTTACTAACAAATACCAAACGATCCCCTATAATATACACTATAATTTAATCATTATGATGTCAAATAATTACATAATATATATTTGAAATGATAAAAATTGGACTAATTGGGTTGGTCGAGGTTGAACCATTGAAGAACTTTAAAATACATTATATTTTAGCCACTAAGATATAAAATAATAGCATAATATATATTATGCTTGAGAAAATAGCTTGTTTTAGAATGACAAACCCATGATGTTCATTTGTTTTACTTGATGGGCAAATCCCGTGTAGGTCAGGCTCATTCAACTCTTTTATTTTATGATTAGCGGTTAGCCCATTAGAATCCATGCATTAGTTTATTGTTAAATTTTTTCTTTTTAGCAATAAAAAGGAGTATTATTTTTGCCTTTTCATATATATTTTACCACCACGGAGAAATAAAAGGACTTAAAGAAAAAAATTGACACTCCTGACCCGTTAAATCCACATGTGTCGATAAGTTGACCTGTTCTACAGAGGAAAAAAGAAAAACATTTACACTCCCTATTCTACCCTTCCTACAAACGCTCATGGAGCAGGGAATTTGAAATGGGGAAGAGTTTTTTCCTCTCTGCGATTATATATTTTTAATTTTAAAAAATACAACAAATGTACTTAGTGTGATTGGTTGTGATCTTTGCTTTTCATTAAAGTGATCATGGTTCGAATCCTAATAAGTGCCTTTTTAATGAATAAAAAAAAGTAATTGTGAAGACCAAAATGTCCTTCCTACTTTCACTCTGGATGCAGGAAATTTGAAATGGAGCTTCAAGTTTTCTCATTTGGCTTTTATTTATTGTGTAGATAAACAAAAAAGAAAAACAGCGCATTGTTAACAATGCACACATTGTAACAATCTCATCTAAACTATCACCAAAACCAAACGACCACTCTTTTATTTTCCCCCCTTTCTTATTAACCAAAACAGTAAAAAGGTTACATAAGCATTGCACTACAACCGAACAGTACATCAACGAAAAGCGGAGAATACAACCTATGCCGTATTTGTTAGTGACTGATAATACGATCAAATGATTGAACCTCTCACATCAACTCGAATCATCGAAACCCCCGCAAAAATCTTATTAGCCCCTCAATGAAAATTAAAAAACTCAAATCTCATGTAACAAACCTCGGAGCGGAACTCAGCACCGGCGCTGTGGTCACATTCGTGGAGGAGCGTCTTCCTAGCCCTCCTGAGACACCGCCCGCATTCCTCCGGTTCCGGCAGCCTGCAAAAGGAGCCGCCGTAGACGTGAGGATCGGCGGCAGGGTATTGGAATTCCCAATTGATCTCGGTTCCCCCTGGATCCGACGAGTGCTGAACCAGACTCTGGAGCACCACCGTGATGCCCGTCCGGAGCTCGTTGTCGCCCTTGAAGTACTTGTCGGGGCTGCAGGACAGAGTGTACAGATAGCCGGCGGCGCCGGCAGCGGCGGAGAGAAACCACAGCAGCATCGCAGAGAAACAGAGCATCAGCGAGTTCCTACTTTTCTCCATACTGCTAGTTTGATTTTTCTTCTGTTTGTGCAAATGGAACGTGTTCTATATATATATAGCTCGCGAAAGGAAAACGGGATGATGAGTAATTTGGAGTTGCTGGAATTGAAAACAGCGTATTCGTGTTGGCCGGCTTTTGGTTTGTTTGAAGAATCCGTAGAAGGAAGCAATCGATTTCCTGAATCTTTGGTGTTAGAGTTTTGTTTGTTTGTTTGTTAATAGGGGGAAGATGTGATTTGCAAGGCAGAGGAAGGAAATTGTTTGTTCTATTCTTTTTCTATAATCACTTGCTTCTTGTCCTAGCATATTTATATACATCCAATTACATATGTAGAAAAATAATGTAAGAAAAAAAAAATTAATGTTTCCAAACACACATATTTCTTGACATGATGTGAACAATAGCTTCAACCAAAAGAGCTGACCACAATTAATGTGAATTTGTGAAGCGATGACACGCTTGTCGTTATAAAAGATTTAAGAAGCACAAGCGTGTGGCGTTGGTCGTTAATTTCGCATTACATGCCTCACCACCAGTATTTTAATTTGAAGCATACCAGAAACACAACAAATCATACCACAAATAACATGAAGTAGAACAGAAAGTTTCTAAAGCAGATGAGAACCTCACCACGCTACAAAATTTATAAAGCAATTAAGAAGCACAAGCGTGTGGCGTTGGTCGTTAATTTCGCATTACATGCCTCATCACCAGTATTTTAATTTGAAGCATACCAGAAACACAACAAATCATACCACAAATAACATGAAGTAGAACAGAAAGTTTCTAAAGCAGATGAGAACCTCACCACGCTACAAAATTTATAAAGCAATTAAGGAATCTCATAAAGCATATCACAAATTTATTAAAGCAGAGCACAAGTTTCCAGAAACATATAATAAACCTAATGAATTAGACCACGAGTTTATTAAAGCAGACAACAGGTTTTTTAATACCACGTCAGGAATCTCATAAATCAGATTATAAGTTTTTAAAGCATACCCGAAATCTCATTAAATTGGACCTGTTCGTAAAATTTAAAAAGCTAAGGTATCAAAATATAATACATAAAAAATTTAGGTACTAAAATGTAATTTATCATTATTTTAGGATTTAAATGAAAAAATAATCAATTTTAGGCACCAGTTCATAAAATATATTGTGTTTAGGTACCAAATTGTAATTTACATATGAAACTCAAACCCATGGTATGGCGGGCAAGGAGGTTTTATAAGTGGTATTATAATTAATCTTATAATTAGTGTTAGTAGTGTGCTTACATATGCTTCTTAGTATCTTATGAGGTGTCTTTTTATAGAATATCAAACTTTATATGGTTTACATAATGATATCCTCTTTGATATATTTTATAATAAATATCTTTATTTTTTTTGAAAATTCATGGCCACAAAACGAATTCGCTGGGAGGAGATATGGTAATTAAGGCCTGTTACCGGCTCGTTAACATGTTAAAAAAGTTAACCGGCTAACCCAATTACCATCCCCGAATGGATAGATAAACCATACCCTATAACCCAACCATTCTCTTAAAATATATCACAATTGAAACCTAACTCACATGCAACTTTTCACATACCACGCCTTAGCCTAAGGTATTTTCTAGAATGTTTTCACCATGGTGATATATGATGTGATAAGGAATGAGCGGGAAACAAAAATGAGTTCATTACATTCTCTAAGTTCGAACCGAAGGACAAGCTTTTGAAATCAACTTGTCTATGATATTATTCAAATCTTTTTCAAATTCTTTTATATTATCCAATCTTATCGAAATACTAAGAATTAGCCAAATGTTAATTTTCAGTTAGCAATTTTGTTAGTAATATTGACTTGGCATTATGATAATAACTTGGAAGAGACAGATGAAGGTCAAGATTTCAAAAATTTAGTATTTTAACTAAGGAAAAAGTTACAAAATTATAAAGCAAATAAGATATCTCATAAAACATACCACAAATTTTCGGAAAACATATAATACACCTTATAAATCAGACCACGAGTTTATTAAAGCAGACAACAAGTTTTTTATAGCACGTCAAGAATCTCATAAAGTACATTATAAGTTTTTTAAAGCATACCGAAATCTCATTAAATTGGACATGTTTGTAAATTTTAAAAAGTCAAGGTATCAAAATGTAATACATAAAAATTTTAGTTACTAAAATGTAATTTTTTTTATTTTAGGACTTGAATGCAAAAATAATCAATTTTAGGCACCAGTTCATAAAATATATTATGTTTAGGTACTAAATTGTAATCTGCATATGAAACTTAAACCCATGGTATGGAGGGCAAGGAGATGTTATAAGTGTAGTTACTAATTATTATAATTAATCTTATAATTAGTGTTAGTAGCGTGCTTACATATGCGTCTTAGCATCTTATCCGGTCTCTTTACATAGAATATCAAACTCTATATGGTTTACATAATAATATCCTCTTTGATATGTTTTAAAATAAATATCTTTATTTTTTGAAAATTTATGGCCACAAAATGAATTCGCGTGAAATGTTCCTATACTCTGGGAGGAGATATGAAGATTAAGAACGAGTGTTTAGTCAAATAACTAAGTTTATCTTAGGCATTAGATCCTGATATACAAACCGCATACCGATATCATCGGTTAAACGGTTTAACCGATAATCACATATTACATGTTCGATAACATGTTAAAAAAGTTAACCGGCTAACCCAACTACCAGCCCTAGATAAATAGATAGATAAACCATACCCTATAACATAGTCGTTCTCTTAAAATTTCTCATACTGAAACCAAACCCCACAAGCAACTTTTCACATACTGCGCCTTCGCCCGAGGTATTTTCTAGTATATGTTTTCACCAGGGGTGATATTAATATATAAAATCCTAGGTTTGAGTTACTTTTCATTAGTGGCTCTCACACTCCTCCAAGTGCAAGTGGGGAAGTTCCAACTCATTCTTTTACTCCACTCTCCATTCTACAACCTTTGTGTTTAGTTATTGTCCGGCGTCCGCTAAGTTTTCGTATATGGATTTTTGCACAAATCATCGCCTTTGTGTTTTGTTATTGTTCGTTAGGTTTTCGTATATGGCTTTTTGCACAATCATCGCCTTTGTGTTTAGTTACTGTTCGCTAGGTTTCCATCTATGGCTTTTTGCACAAATCATCGCCTTTGCCCAACATTTTGCAGCCCATCTCAAAATGTTGTCGACGGGATCCTAAGTTGTTCCCCATCATCGTTTCCCAATGCCTCTACTACGAGTTTTGTATCTGGACCGAGTTTCATCCTCTTTAGTGTTTTGTACAAATCATCGCATTTGTCAACCATTTCGCAGCCCATCTCAAAATACTGTCGGCGGAATCTTAAATTGTTCCTCCACCATCGTTTCCCAAGGTCGCTACCACGAGTTTTGTATCAGAACCAAGTTTCATCCTCTTTAGTCTTTTTTCTTTATTTTTTTTCCTTTTATTCAGCATGATCACAATTGAACCCATATCCATGGGTATCCAACCTAATTCGATCCAGTCAAAGCGACTTGAAACCGACTTTAGCATTTATAAATTTCTTATTTCTTCTATTGGTTGGGAAGACAATTGAACCCGAATCTAAGGTTTGGGCGAGTGTTGTATTGTGAGCGAGCTTTATCCGTATTTGTAATTGGTAGGTTGGACCAAGTGTTAATTTGTTAAAAATTGTTCAATGCGAGTTGAACACGTTCTTGACTAGTTTTAGATCGAAAGAAAGACGTACAAATTGAAACATTACCGTCATGAAAGAAATTTAGAAATAAATAATCTATTTGACGACCCCTCTACCTTACGCAAGTTCATCGACCATATGCTATTGTAAATTACAAACCTATAAAAATAATGATTAGCAATGAAATAAGATGACTTTCACTTTTGAATCAACATTAAAATTATTAATTTTTAAAATATTTATTTATGTGATACGCGAAACGATAGCGAGCGGACTTTTGCTAGTATGATGTGATAAGGAATGATCGGGCAGCAAAATTCATTACATTCTCTAAATTCGAACAAAATTTTGAAATCAAATTTTGTCTTTTTATTAACCAGAAATAGGAAAGGATACATTCATACATAGTAGTGCACTAACTCGGAAAGCACAGCAATTACGGTACTATCATCAACTCAAGAATCGAAGTTGTAAAACTCAAATCTCAAGTAACAGAGCTCGGAGTAGAACTCAGCGCCGGCGCCGTGGAAACATCCATGGAGAAGCATGTTTCTGGCCATCCTGAGACACCGCCCGCAGTCCGCCGGTTTATCGGACGACTGGCAGAAGGAAGCACCGTAAACGTGAGGATCGTCGGCAGGGTAGTGGAATCCCCACTGGATTTCGGATCCCCCTGGCGCCGCCGTCGCCTGGATCAGATTCTGGAGCACCGCCGCAATGCTCGCCTTGAGATCGCGGTCGCCCCTGAAGTACATGTCCTGGCTGCAGTAAAGAACATATGGCTCGTCGTCGGGGACATAATCAGCAGAAGCGGTAATTACGCCATTGAATCCCAGCTGGAGAAACCAGAGGAGCGTCACGGAGAAACAGAGCATCGGCGAGTAATTCCTGCTTTTCTCCATATATTGGTTTCTGTTGGTGTGTAATTGAACTCGATTGTGCTGAACGTGTGTGTATATATAGCTCTCGCAGCCATTGTCTCGTCTCTCTTGTGAGTGTTGCGGAGTTGATGAAACTGGAATCGCTGGCAGCAGATTCGTGTTGGCCGGCTTTTGTAATTTGGTTTGAGGGCCAATACCACTGGGAAACCCAAATTATAAAAAATGTGTCGTTTGTCTCTTAAAGTATCCAATATGACATTTGTGTTCCAACCTATAATAATTGTTTGTCATTTATATCCCGACGATTTCGTTGATCGTTATAGATGACGGTTGACCAGAAGAAAGTCAACTTTGACATTGAAATTTTGTGGACGTGGCAGCCACGTAGATGCCAAGTCATTCAAACCTCATTATTTTAATTCAAAATTAAATACAAACTAAAAAAACAAATAAAAAATAAAATATAGAAACCTAAAATCTTAAAAACATATAACTTTTCCACTATGTTTAATCAACCCACTAACTCCTTCGCAAGTATTTCTTTGGTGTTTGGTGTTTTATTTCTATTTTCATATTTAGTTCATTTTTACCAATTAATTTAGCTACTAGGTAGAAATACACATTTCAAATATTTTAAAACCTACAGAATGTACATCATCAATACGTCATTGTTCAAATGACATTCCGATCAACGGGGCATACACCAAACTAGCTTTAGGTAGGAAGATTCTAAGCCCAAGAAGCCCTCTCTTAGCCGTAAGAATTCAATGCCAAAAAATTTCGTTTATGTCAACCGAAGCTGTAAAAGATGCTTTGAGTCTCCAAACATAATTCGTTTATATATTCTCCGTTTGAGCCTTTTTTTCCCCCTATCTATGCGGGATGACTACGACACTCTCTTTAGCATCCGAATATGTAGCGTTCCAAACTAGTTTCGAAATTTATTGATGCAAGGCGCACCCTCCTAAACTAATGAAATATGTTCTCTCCTGTCCATAAATGTAAGCTAGCACAGATTATGCCATAATTCCACTTCTTGTTTATTTCCTCACTTCGTCGCATTATCGTCCATCATAACACAAATCCTTGAATGAACCCACTCTTAAACAACTAGTCAACTCTCTTCGTGTGGTCGTTTCCTATACTACGATATGTAATTTACATGATGCAAACTATTTAAATGACAGAGACAGAGAGGGGAGAAAGAGAGAGAGTTTTTGTCACATTTCCAATCAGACAGTCGTGTCTCCTCCTCCTGGGTTTCCTCCGGCGGCATGGGCGGCATTTGCCGGAGAAGAAGGCGAGTTCCGGCAAACCGGACACGTGGTGTTCATCCGCAGCCACTCGTCGATGCACTCTGCGTGGAAGCAGTGCTTGCACTCCGGTATCAACCTGATGGTGTCCTTGCTGCAGTACTCCGTCAGGCAGATGGCGCAGGCGGTGTCGTTTGGTCCGGGAACTCGCTTGCTCTCTCCCAGCACCACTTTCTCGTACGATTCGATGATCGACTCGTCGAGACCCACCGTCACCATCACCGGCGGCTCCGGCATTACGGCTGTTGCGGGATTCCGGTGGCCGGAATTGATGGTCATGGTGGTAGCCCCGCGCCGTCCCCTGCCGATGAAAAATGCGAAGCATGCTATCCCGGTGGCACAAGCTGCTGCCGGGATTGCTAGGGATAGGGAGAGCACCTTCAGAACTTTCAAAGCAGACGCTGACCCCACACCTACAAAATATGAGAATTCAGAATCGGTGAAAATTGTTGTCTTATTACTGAAAATCACGATGAATTTATATAAAGAACAACGACAAATTTCATAATAATTCTAACACTAATATTGGAAAATGCATTTTTTTTCTAAAAAAAAATGTAAAATGCATAACATATTACGACTCTAATGACGAATATAAGTATATAACTCTATCAAATTATATAATAATACTCGTAGTATAATATAATACTACTCGTACTACTCATACTCTAATACTCTTTCCCAAATTGATGGTAATAGCTTACAAACAAATTGAAAATTGAAACCATGTTGAGAAATCAAAATTCAGTAAAAAATTTCACGTTTTATTACTGAAACCACCACGATAATTTTGTATAAAGTACAACAATTGATTTTATAATAATCTTAACCCTAATACAAAAAATGTATAACTTATTATTATGTCAAATTATACTCGTAATATAGCCGTATTATTATTCTCCCTTCAAAATTTGGTGAGTAAGAATGTAATTATATAATACCTGAACAACCAATAACTCGAGTGGCGTTGTTCTTAAACCCACAGGATCCGCCTCGCGACTCACAATCCGTGCAATCGGGGGAATCCCACACCAGCATCAAATCATCGTCCAGCGCCGTCGACGACCCGTCGCTAAACGGCACCGGCCAGGACGCCGGCACCCTGACCGTCCCGGCGACCTCGCAGGACGCCGTGGCGGTCATGAACCCGACGAAGCCGGAGGAAGACGTGGCCAGAACCGAGGTCGTCGAGTTGCTGAGGCAGGCGACGGTGGTGAATCGGGAGCGCACGAGCTGGGTCGGGCAGCGGAGGAAAGTGTAGTTGTGGTAGAACGCGGCGGAGAACGGTGAGCCGGCGAGGTCGAGGGCGAGGATGCGTTTGGGTAGGCAGTTATCCGGGTCGTTGATCCAGACCCGCCGGGTCAGGTAGTCGACGCTCCGGACGGCGAAGTCGCCGGCGGTGAGAGGGAGCTGGAGGAGGGCGGTCTGGCCCTGCGCGTCGCACCTGAGGTCGAATCCGGGGCCGTAGCCGCAGGTCCGCGGCTGCCGGCCGGCGAGGCGGAAGGGGAACCGGACGGGGATCGAGTTCCGGCCGGTGCATGTGGAGATTTTGCAGTCCTGCCGCGGTAGCGATGATGATGATGACGACGATGATGACGTGGACAAGGGAATGCTCTGGTGGAGGAGAAGGAGAATTAGTAGTACCTCTGAGATGGCCATTGCTCGTAGAAATGAGGCCGAGCTCGTCAGCTGAGAAGAACCCTCTTCTAGCTTCCAAATATCCTCCCCCGTTGAATCAAAGCGGGGGAATAAAAAAGAATGGAAGCAGGTGAAGGGGGAGAATTTTTAAAAGATAAAAATGGAGTTGAAATATGGAGGGACTGAGGGCAGCAACTGTTGAAAGTCAGAACTCAGAAGGAGGAATTAATATGAATTAAGCATCTTCCTCTTATTCCATATCACTAAAGAATTTGCAACCTGTGTGTTCCTTGCAGTTTACTAATACAGGGTCAACTGGGAAAATGGGGAGGCTGGTTTAAACTAAAAGGGAGGATAAGTCTTGAGTCTGACCCTGATGCCCCATTTGTTTATCTAAGCTATCTGTCTATCTAAGTACTGAATGTAGAATCTGGCTGAAGGTAAGGAGTTCAAGAATCAAGAGAATAATAAAGTATGATGACATATGTATATGTTGCTTGTTCGAACTTACTAGCTAAAAATCTGAGTTGTTTTCTCTGTGACTGATGAATGATGATGGCTGACACTCACCGGAGTGGAATTGACTAAAGGAGAGAGGGAGTTACAGGAGCTGCTGAGAGACTCTTATGGAAACAATTTCTCCTCCAGTTCCAGCTCGCATCACGTAGAACTTTGATAGAAGTCCTGCTGAAATATGGGCAGACAGTAGAATTTGAATGAGTGAACAGAGTGTTTGTTCAGTACTTAGTACTGTTATGGCTGTATACCTTGATTGGCCTGTAAGTTGGTGCTGACTGCAACGGCATGGAGAGTGAGCATAGCTTTCGGCTGGAAATCGTCCGGTCGTCCAGCCCAGAGTTTGAGATTGAACACATCTGGTAAAAAAACATGGTAATTTCAGTTAAGTATTGACAATCAATAACTCATCCAAAAGCATAGCAAACACCAAATCTTGTACCAGCGGTTGGGCGGTCAGAGATGTGCTTGAGGTCCAGCATGGCTGCAGAGGCTGCCTTGGCTGCTTCTCCTTTAACTACATGGGATCCTATGTGCTCATACACCCAAATGCAGTTCTGGTACTCCTCACTCAGGAACAACTCTATATGCCTCGCATCAAATGTCTGCATTTTTCCTGCATACATAGTTTAAACTCTGATCTTCAGTGACAACAAGGGTATGCAATGCAGCAGACTCTCAATCCATGATCTGGGTACAAGAAGAAACCAACATATCAATCAAAGGAGTCATTATGCAGAGCATTTTACCAACCCAATAAAGTCATGCTCAGTAATGAATGATGGTTGCAACAATAAGAACAGAATCCACTACAGTAACCTGACTACTCAGTACTCACCCACGCAAGTATCAAGTTTGCAGATAGGGCAACGAACCAGATGTAGATCTGACAAAGATATCATCCATCAATCAAGAACTAAATTGGATTTTCAGATTAAGATTTTTATAGTGAATGTCAACAAGACAACGCCAATCAAGTTCTGAATTTTGTTTTTATCTTACCTGCCATCCAGATGCCTGTTTTAAGGCCGCTCAGCAAACACGCCCCATTGGATCCCAACATGGTCCTGAGCTGTTCACGTTTCATGATCTTCAAGGGTAAGGTCAGTCTCTGGGTAAGGATTACTGATGGTGAGTCTAGGAAGAAGGCACCGACCCTCATCCAGTCTGATTTTCAGGCACACAGAAGAACGAACTAACACATTCAGCACAGCAACTGACAATAATTTCACTAGAATGGCATCCATCGTTTGGGAATTCACCAAGATGTTTCTCCTTCTCATGAAACGAGTACGAATGGCTTCCATCTGTAACAACAGCACAAGACAGACGCATGAGAGATTGAATCTGAGGAATAACTACAGATGCAGGAAAACTGAATCATAGTAGCAATAAACTTACTGGTCGCCGAAGCGTAGAGCTGAATCCATTTGAACTCCACACGATCTGGAGCTGGAACTTGAAGATGGCTTAAGCAGGCCAACCTCCACACGCAGTCTTGCATAATCACGCCGTGGAACCACCGGCAGGTCACCGCGAGCTTCACCAGAGATTTGCCGTCCAGAAACTTGGCGATCTCGGTCCACACATCCAATTCGTAACTGTTTTGTTTTTGCCACAATTTGAATCACCAGAGATCAGTGAGATTGGACTATTTTTGAATCACAATCGGGAAAAAATTGGAGAAATCCGCCGGACCTCAGATTTGAAATCAGTCTCTAGGTTCCACAGTAGCTCCTAATCTACCTTGATTTTCAATTGTACTTCCTCGCTGTTCTTAGCAGCCAAACAGTGCTCAAACAAAGAAATGCAGAAGCACAACTAAAGGAAACCCCCGTGGAATCGGTTCAAAACCAGAGCGATTACATAGATCAAAAGCAGCCACGCCTATTTGGAGATCTGAACCGACTCTTCTAGAAACTAGATTCGGACGAGCAGGGAACAAACAGCTCAAACATTATGAAACATTAACCATAAGCTCGATGATTCGACATTGATGAATTTCGAATCCTAGAAACTCAACGAGCGAGGAAAATGAAGAGAGAAGAGAGCTTACAAGTCGAAGGAGCGAAGAGAAGTATGGCGACCGAGTCGAGGAGATTTGCAGCTGCAGATGGATCGTTCACTGCGCAGTCGCTTCCTGATGTGCCCTGTGGTCATTTTCTCTCTTATTAGTTCTACTCGAAAACTTGGGGTCCCGATTTATATTGGGGGCTAGAAGCCGCGAACTCAAATTTGAGTTCAAATTATGTGCAGCAATTTAGAAAAAGACATTCATGCCCTCGTTAAGAATTTTCCTAAATCCATCGATTAAATACAAGGTTGTCAAACCGGTTTAATTCATTGAACCGATCAAGTAACGGGTTTGTGATTTAATGGCTGATCGGGGTCCGACCGATTTGAGCCGTTTTCGACATTTTCTAAATATATATACAAATAAGCTAGTAATTAAAAATTTAATGACTAAAATAAAATTTATCTTACATATATCTACTAAAAACTTATTTTCCACAAAATAAATTTACTTAACCTCCATAACCCAACCACCATCTCTCTTCCTTCGTTCCTCTTCCTCTTCCTCTTTAGGGGTCAGATCGGAGGCTTTCTGAAGACCGTTTTGAAGCTCGACTCGGGTCAGATTGAGTCCAACTGGGAATTGAATAGGGGTTTAACAACCATGATTAAATATGTCTTGAATTTGCATATTGGTTTGACCGAAATAACTTGTTTGCACCGAGGCTCAAAATTTGAACCTAAAGCCCCAAGTTTCAGTGATGCCCCTTCTATGCAGCTTCTATGATGGTCGGTGGAGCATAACAGATTATTTAAGTTTTGAGTTGGGCTTGTTAGGGTTTGCTAAGCCTCTTAATGTGGAATTGGGCTCAGCCTTTTCTTTTTGTTAGGCCTTTTAGCTTTGCTTTCCATCCATGTACTTCTATTTTTTAACCCAACTTTGTAAGCCTGTTTGGGCCTATGGTTATCAAATATCAATGGATCTCAATTTTTTTTTTTTTTTTTTTTGCAAAAAAAAAATGGATATCAAATTTTTTTTTTATATAAACTTTAATTGGCATTAACCTAAAAGGCGGAAATTCTATGGTGCCGTCACTGCACCTATGCCGCCATTTAATCTGACCGGTTTGGTTTGAGAGAATTGGGTCTAATTTGATCAGATAAAAGATAAAATAAAATAAACAATTCTCCTATTTTCCGCGTCGTTCAAACTGATCCGTTAAAACCACCATCGCCGTCGTAATCGCCGGCCAGCCATCACCACTATCGCCTTTGCCGCTGCAATTCTTCTATATATGAAGGAAAAAAAATTCAGATCCCGACTCCTGTTGTCAGTCCAAATCACCATCGCCGCCACCGCTAGGCCATCCCCCATTCACCATCTTGTTACTGCTGCCTGCCGGAGAATTTTGCCAGAGTTCAGTTCTTCTCAGCGGCTGCTGAGCGTCTGGCGATCGAATACACGGAGTGATGTGAAGAAACCGGGTACGAAGAAAACAGTAAATTAATCTATTGTCCCCTAGTGTTAAAGCTTCAGTTGATGGCGATTGATCAATTGAAGATGATGGTGAAATTATTGTTCCGATACTACCTTGCTTTTCCCCGGATATCTCGTCCACAAAATCATAGAGCTATTTTCAAATTTTCGCTTGCTCGGTAAAGAATGGAAATTTTGTGATGAAAATAAACAGATAATTCAAAAGAAAAATTAGAATAAAAAATTCAACCGAAATAATAGGTTTAACCGGTTTTAGTTATGTGCTGGTCAGAGATCAATGGTGATTATCTAATATCTTGTATCTGACGGCTGTAAATTAGGCGGCACGGGTGCCGGCACGGCACCGCAGAACTCGCCAAACCCTAAAAGGAAGTGTGCCTCCCTTCCAATTATGGTCACTGGTGGTGTCTCCTTGATCTAATTAAAAGGAAGTGTGCTATTAACAATCCATTAACCCTATGCACTACAAACAAATCACAAATAGGCCACTATTTGTTTGATCATTTTATATTAAGTAATTGCTAATCAGGTGGAACTTTTCACTGTAAGGCGACTGATGAGAGAAGCCTATAGTGGAAGGTAGTAGACAAAGCATGCAAAATTAATTAAGTCCCAAAGAAGTAAGAACATTGACTTTGTACACATTCTAGTCTCAATTGGATGCATTAGCTTTTCCACTTCACTCTTTAAGATATACAAATTTATAACTGTACTAGAGATAATGAGGATGGCATCATCCAAGCACTTTGGAGCGATTGCAACTCTCCTTCATCAAGTGGGTTGCTGAGTTTCTTCCTACTCAATCCCCCTTTATCTCCGCCGTTTAAAGAACTATCAAGTTGGAATTGTGCCAAACCCTTTGAAAAGTACATGTTGTTAATAAGTGGGTTGTGATCAATAATTGAACATCTCTTGACAACTCGAGTTATTGAGATTAATTGGTTTTTGATATGGTATTAGGGCCTTCTGTGATAAATAGGTCTTTTTTTCGAATTTGATGACGACCCTCATTTGTTAAAGCACATAGTATTGGAACCTATTTACATTTCAAGCCTATAAATGATGGCTCTTGTTTGTGGTGGGGTGGGGGGTTAGTAAATAGTATATGATCAATAATTGAACATCTTTCAACAACTCAAGTTATTGAGGATAATGTAGTCAAAACTGTGCTTAAAAGCTTACGGTTTTACGCTTCTAGGTCACCAAAATGCTTTTACGTAGAATCGTGATTTCCTAATTATGTATTCAAAGTAGCGCTTTAAAGATTAAAAGCTTACACATTTTTTACGCTTGTCACCAAAATGATCTTACGTAGAATCGTGCTATTGACTGCATAGATAGAGACCAACCGGTTCTTGACACTTCTTTAATGGACTAATGGCTTATGGCTATATATAACCTTAGATACCTTCACTTTGAAGTACTACAACAAACACACATCACCTCTTCAAAACAAGCTTTGCCCCAATCTTCCCATAGTTTCCCTTTCCGATGGAGAATCATTCTCTGCCTAAACTTCACATAGCTCCCTTGTTTTGCCTTCTGTTCTTAACCTCCCTGGTGAACTGCCAACTTAACTACACCTTCTACGATGATTCGTGTCCCAGCCTGACAAAGATCGTTCGGTACGGCGTTTGGACCGCTATTGCCAACGACACAAGGATGGCAGCTTCCCTCCTCCGCCTTCACTTCCACGATTGCTTCGTCAATGTATGTATGCCCCTCCATTATCCGCAATATTTACATATCGATTCTGAGGATTTACTTAATTATTAGTGTCGATTTTTTTTTTTTCACAGGGTTGTGATGGGTCAGTTTTGCTGGACGGCGGTGAGAAGAATGCGCTCCCGAATCTGAACTCGGCTAGAGGGTTTGAGATCATTGATTCCATCAAGTCCAACTTGGAGAAAGCTTGTCCGGGAGTTGTCTCGTGTACTGATGTTCTCACTCTCGCGGCAAGAGAAGCTGTTTATCTCGTAAGGACAAGTACTCTTTATCTTCCTTCTATTTTTGGTAGGAGGGAAATTAGCTTTGCTATAAGGATGGAACCGGATTAGTGGTTGGACCAGTAGAATCACCAAGTCGGTTATAACAACGATTAGATTCATTTACTTAGATGACGTGTGATAGATTGAATGGTCTTTAATTAACGGTTTGACATGAAACCAGATGATTAGGGATGGCAATTTTGCCCATACCCATGGGTATTTTACTATCCAACCCAATTGGGTTGGGTATGAAATCCAAATATATGGATATGGGTAAAGTTTGATGGGTTTGTACCCATACCCATTTACTTTGGGTTGGATTTGGGTTTGTACCCATGCCCAAATACAAATTACAGTTTGGTACCTAAACTTAATAGATATGCATATTTAGTACCTAAATTTAATTTTTTTTGCATATAAGTCCTCAAAATGTCAATGGAAAATTACGTTTTGGCACCTAAATTTTTTTGGTCTTACATTTTGGTACCTAAACTTTTCAAGTTTTACAAATAGGTCCAATTTTTGCATGTGTATTTAAAACACTCTCAAGTAAATGGATATCCATATCCAACCCATACCCATTTAGATAATATCCATATCTAACCCAAACCCATACACACATCACCCAAACCCTACCCATAATAAATGGGTCTACTTGGGTTTGGGCAAAATTACCCATGGGTGGGTAAATTGCCATCCCTACAGATGATCATAAACCCCTCCGGTTTGTAAGGGCCAATGACTCGCTATTTTAACCACACAAAAAATTAAGAAAAAATATGTTAACAAAATTAAGACCATCCAACATGAATTAATGACGTTATTTCTGCATACGGATTGTCACCCATATTACTAACTTAAATTTAATGATTTTTTTTTTAATTATGATTTCTTATGTGAGATAGTATGAATTATTTTTTAGAATTATTTTTGTGATGGGATGATATGAATTTGAAATTGTTTACGATGAAGTGGTAAATTTAGTCCTGAATCGGTTAATTAAATATATCTTTTATGTTTTATCGCATGAACGGTTCTGTCAATGGTTAACCAACGATATCTATAGCACTTAACTACTAAACAATAGATCACTGACTTTTTTCTCGGTTTAACATTCGCGACCTGGTTTTGAAAATAGAGGAAATTTGAGTTATTAGTGTCGAAATTTCTCATTTTCCTTGTTGCTTTACACAGACGGGAGGGCCGTACTGGTCGCTCGCATTCGGCCGGCGAGACGGTTTAACCACGAGCGAGACCGCAGCCAACGAGCAGCTCCCGGGCCCGTTCGAGCCGCTCGACAACATAACCCGAAAATTCGCGGCCAAAGGTCTCGACACCAAAGACGTCGTCGTTCTCTCGGGAGGACACACCCTCGGCTTCGCCCAATGCGGCGTCGTAAAGCCACGGCTCTTCGACTTCGCCGGGTCGGGCCGACCCGACCCGTCCCTCGACGCGTCGTTCCTCCAGTCCCTGCAGAGCACGTGCCCGAACCGAAACGAGTCGAACTCGAACCTGGCGCCTCTGGATGCGAGCTCGAGCAAGTTCGACAACGTGTACTACAAGTTGCTGGTGAACAGCTCCGGTTTGTTGCGGTCCGACCAGGCTTTGATGTCGGATAATGTGACCGGTTCGATGGTGGTTGGGTATAGCAAGTTCCCGTTCTTGTTTTACAAGGATTTCGGGGCTTCCATGGTGAAGATGGCGGGGATTGGTGTGATTACTGGGAGTAACGGGGACGTTAGGAAGAACTGCAGGGTGGTGAACTAGTGGGAAGTTGGAGAGAAAGAAAGAAGGTTTTTGGGTTGTGTTTGTGTAGGTGTTTGGAAGAAGAATGTCAAAGTGTGAAGGATTTGGTTATTGGATTAGTGTTCTGAGCTTGATCTTCTTGAAATATCCTATAAGATGTACTAATTGCAATGCCAAATGAAAGAGAATAATTTGTGGATCCCATGGGCACATTCATCAAAGTAGGGGTGGGCGCAACTGGTTCGGTAAATTCGCGAACCAAACCCGAAATAATGCTATTCGGTTCGGAATTTGGAAGAAAATATGCGGATATTTTAGAAACCAGGTTGCATGGAACACCACATCCAAAACCATTCAATTCAATAAATGATAAAAACAGACCGTTTGGTACCAAATGAATCTAGAATTTATTGTCGAATGAATTCCTATGTTTGGTATTTCATTTTCAAATCTTTAGAAATAAATGAATTGAATTCTCAAACCATGTTGGCATACGTTTAGAATTGAATTAAGGGTTAATATTTTCGTATGGCCTGAACTTTGACCAAAGTAAACATCGTGACCAATCTTTTCGATCTATAACATTCTGGCCCGAACTATACACCAAAGTAAACAATTTGGCCAGATCAGACTTTTGACCGTTAACTTGGACGGTCAAACGCGTTGACCGTTAATCAACACGCCATGTCACCGCCAACTCAGCAATTTTAAATTAAAAAAAAAAATTCCACCTATTCCATTTTATTTCCTTTCTCAATTTGAAGACGAAAAAAAAAAAATCCAAAACGCAGCACCTGCCCTAGCCCTACCCTAACCCCCATTCTTCATCTTCTTCGTCTCAAGCAATGGGGATTTTACGTCTTGCTATCAGTGGAAAAAATAACTCGGTTTTTTTTTTCTTTCCACTTTTAGAATAAATCTGTGGAATAATGTAGGTTATTGGAGAGTTGTGAGGTGGGGTTACATTCTTTAAGTTGAAAATACGATAAGAATTTAATTGCTAAATTTTACACCACCCAACAATAGGAATGGCAATGGGCAGGTTCGGGGCGGGTTTCTTGGTACCCAGACCCGTCCCGTGGCAGGTCGGGTAATTGATCACGGATCGCGGGTCGGGGCAGGCCGACCCAATGGGTATGCAATATATATGAAAAACATTAGAAATATTCGTTATTTTTATTATAAGACTAAGAAAACAAACAATATTATGACAATTATAGTTAAATTATTGGAGAAATTGAAGTTTTTACTCATTTACAACTTTATTATAGCTAAAATATGATGCAATAAAAGGAAAATTCTAAGTAATTTGACTAAGATTACATGTAATTTAGACAAGAACGGGTCGAGAATGGGGCGGGTCAGGGCAGGTCGGGTCGATGAGACTACCCATGCCCGCCTCGCCCCAAAACAGGTCAAACAGGTCGGGTAAAACGGGCCAGGTCGAAATTGCCATCCCTACCCAACAATGAGTTTCCGGCGACACTTGGTATGGAGAGAGCGCGACATTAGCTTATATTGCCACACGGACATTTTAGCAATTTGCTGAGGTGTGAAGCCCATAGCTGCTCCAGAACTGTAAATCGCGGCGAACCGGATTTGGCATTTTTTCAAGTTCTGGCAAACTTTATTGTTTCGGCATTAGCTACTTACATTTTTGCGTCATCCTCCCCTAAAGCCGCCCACGAGGGCGGCCGTTAAAACATCTCATGTTTTGAATAATGTTTTAGGGAGGGGGGGTTGCTATTCAACGTAATTATCGATAAGCCTACGCAATATCGCCATGCCATTGTCGCTGCCCAGCCATCCAAAGCGTATCACTTCGCGGATATCATTTGTTATCCATTCCATAGAATTCGACTTTTAAAATGACATAAGACCCAACAATCAAAAGACAAATTCTGGCTAGGATGTCACATCTTGTTCGTCAAAATCAATATAGACGATAGCATAGGCAAGACCTGCAGGTACAACAAATGTCATGGTGCCAGTGTAGAGTTTGATACGGATGAAGCGGGTTGTCTTACCGGAAACATGATAGCCGCGGTCAGAATTGTTGTTATCGTGAAGACTGCACCATTATGTGTTGCGATACACTATCAATCGGAAAATTGAACAGAACAAAACCCCTTGCTAGGGATTTTCCCGCTGCAAAAAATGCATCCTCGAACACTTCTTGTCTTGCTGTTGTAAGAAGCTCGACACGGATCTTGCGTGCCCGAGTGGTCCATATTGGACATTAAGCCGTGTTCCGGACAGATCACGCGCAGAAGACCTTTCTTTCTTTTTCAGGCCTGGATAATTCTATTTGTGGCAAAAGACTTGAAGTCAAGTGTTAGTTCCTTGCCTTATTCAACTTCTCATTTCTTGTTACTCATTTTTGTGGCATCCCACCTATACTGGACATGTAAATATGCTTGAATAATAACGTGCTTGAATAAGTAAATATGCTCATGCAATGCTTCATGCTTAAGTTTAGTATTCTTATCTCTTTATGAAAGGGTTCCCTGAACTCGACGCAACTAGCACACTCACGGGCACCCAAACGTGAACTTCCATCTGATGGGAAGATATAACATGAGCATAACTTCCACCCGATGGGAAGTTCCCTATCATAACATGAATATCCAATTTCTTCCTTCATGTTCACCTCGGTGAAGAATTTGTACAACAAATTATGTCATATGGGAATTCCATCGAGCGATTCAATAAACATTCTTCGAGATAGAAAATTAGTGTATGATCTGAAGCGGGCAAACAGACAGTCGTTTGTTGCATGCCTATAAGGCGTTGAGGTACTTGAAACGTGAACCATGACGAGACTTTCTTTTTGAAGCCAATTTATAAAGCTTGAGCTGTTTGGATTTGGTGATTTAGACTGGGTTGTAATCGCAATGATGCAAGGCACTCAGAGTATTACACATTTTTCGGACAGTCACTTACAATTTTGCAATACGCAAAACCTGTTTTATTAACTTGGAGATCGGGGTGATTAAATTACGTATAGTCGTGGCATAGATCCCATAAATGCTAAGTCATTATCTCTATTCCTCCTCCGAAATAATGCGACAAAAATGAATCAGTAAAATTCCTTCTCCACAATGTTCTCATCAGTAACCAACTACTTTTTGACTCACTAGATTTTTACCGCCGGATCTTACGAATAGAAAATTACCCAGATGAATATATATATATATAGCATCCCAGCAAAACCTTCCATCATCAGTAGCAAATCCAAACGGAAAAACATCAAATAGACACACATAAAAAAAACAAAGCCAATAGAATGATGATGATCATGAGGCAACAAAACAGAGTCATTTCGGCGGCGGTGTCCCTGATTCTCCTGTCGGCACTAATGGCGGCGGCGGCGGCGGCGGAGTCGAAACCCACCATCGCGACGACGCAGCACTGGCACTGGCCGTGGGGGCCGCGCACGAGGGTGACGATAACGAACCGGATCTCGGGATGGAGACAGCTGAAAGTGCACTGCAAATCCGGGAACGACGACCTCGGCGTCCAGGTGCTGAACCCAGGGGAAGGTTATCGCTTCAAGTTCTGGCCGAACGTCCAAGGGACGACGCTGTTCTACTGCTACTTCAATTGGGGGGAAGGGCTCCGCCGGTTCGACATCTACGATCAAGACAGGGACTCCAAGCGCTGCAAGACGTGGTGCCCGTGGGACATCAAGGAGAGCGGGCCGTGTGTGATCACCAAGGATTTCACGTCTTGCTTTCAGTGGAAAAAATAATTAATAAAGCGGGATATCTTTTCTTTTCTTTTCTTTTTTTCCTTTTTTTTTTTTAGAATAAGTTAGTGGGAATAAGTAGTAGAGGTTGCTAGAGAGTTATGAGGTGTGGGTTATTACATTCATTCAAGTTGAAATTATGGTGAGAAGGTGGAGTTTCACCCGCCGCCAAGTCAACAACAAGACTTTTCGGAAAGTGAAAATATTTTTAACGGACTCTATCTTAATCTCAATCACGTTCGATCTCTGATTATCGTGCTTAGGCGCGATCTCGTTCCGCGAAACGATCCGCGACAGTGCTGAATCTTTCCTGATCAATAGGAGGACTATTCGAACGAATCCACCCCCGGCCAGATGTTACCCCGTCGGACTTGTCGCGAAATGGTCCATTTAATATAATCACGGGGCGGGCGCGCGCACGTGTTGCATATATTAGCAAATAGTAGAAAGTGTAAAATGTGGATGATAGAAGGAGGGGGGGGGGAATTCTTAGCATAATTAATAATATTAAATATTAAGAAATAAGGAAGGTGATGAGTTCATCAATAACAAAATGACACACGTGGTTGCGGTTGGAGCTTCTGCATCCAACCAACAGTTGGGAGATGAGAACTTTCTATATGATAAAATTATGTTATTGAATTGAGCGAATGAATGAATGAATGGTTGTGAAATGAACAAGTAACAATTTCATAAATTTGCACCTAACTTAATATAGCATCTGAGCATCATGCATGCATGTATTATACCATCACAAGGTCGATCTCCGATAATTGATTGGAGTCGTATGAGAATTACGAATTTGCATTTTGGTCAATTCACGACTATAGGATTTATTTTATGTGGGATTTACACTTTCTTGTTCTACACCTAAAGAGTAAAGACCCCTTTTAATGAAACTATACCTAGACGACTTAATGGCAAAAGTTTGCTTACTTACATATTGTTGATATTCTATCAATCATTCACTGTCACTGACATCAAAATTACGGGGTTTTTTAATTGCTAACTAACAATTTGCTTACTAATTTTTTTTTTTCTTGTCATAGCAATCCTTGCGGATTAGCCAGTTAAATGTGAATGTAGCCACAACAATTACGGCCACATTGCGGACTCAAAGACAGACCAGATAAGAGAAATCAAACAAAACAGTAGGTAAACCAGGATAGCTAGCGTAAGGTTGTACGCGCCACAGTAGAGTGTTTATTTGTGTCGTTGTTACACTACAAGAAAAATGAGGTTTGGGGGCAATGGATATATGCCACTGTAGAGTGTTTATTTGGCTCTAAACCTTTTTAGAGGCACATACAGCGGCAGATCCAGGACATAGTAGAGCACTGGGCCGCATTTCATTAAAAATTTAGATAAAAAAATCACAGTTTTTTTACAATATATATTATACATCGATTTTTTAATATAGCGAATTTATCAATAATGGAATCTACATCCATACCAATAGTATACTCTCTTTCAAATAAAATAGTTAACCAATCAGAGAGAAACTCATCGCTCATTTTGTTGCGCAAATCATTTTTACTTGTTTCATTGTTGAAAAGGTTATCTCCATAGTAGATGTTGAAAGTTGAAACGAGCAATGTCAACACTAGAAAAATTAAATGACTAATCAATGTGTATTGTGTGTCCGCCCCTATTTCCACCAACTGCTATAGTAATTTTTCAAAGTAACAAACCTCATATTTCTTTTAGTCTTTTATGTTTTAGACTTTTAGGTTTCATTATTTGTTTTACTTTAGACGAGAATCATTGGTGTTAGAATTTCTAGGCTAATTTAGAGTTGTGATTTGAATATGCCCATCTAACTCATTTTCTTAATTACACACAATCACATTATGAAATAACACTAGGCCGAATGGCTAAATCCGATTAACTCATAAGGGCTATACTAACTCCGGATCCAGGGAAGGGCTGGGCCGTGGCCCGGGGTGGCCACCCCTAAATCCGCCACTGGGCACGTATGTATGTGCTATCGATAGCGGCACATATTATCAGACGGTGATATTATTATACATCTAAAGGCTCCTTAATCCCGTCTCTAATAGCTTAATTATGCAAACATAAAAGTGCTTTGATTCGTTCCTTTCTATCTACCATGAGGCGAGTATGGGGAATTTTTACGGGAAGATCGAATTGGTAAAATTTTCTCTCCACAATATTCTCATCATTCTTACTTTGCATGTGGAATATTTTTTGCTTGGTACTTATCTTGCTTCATCCATTAATAGATAAAGTTACACCAAGTCTTTTTGACTCACTCACTAGATTTTTATTTTTTTGGTAGCGAATCTCACTATATATATTTAGTATCACGACACAACCTTCCATCAAACAACATAAGATAAAATCTTACTTGGAGAGAATCCTAATAGACACAAATTAACACAAAAGCACAAAAGAAAAATGATGATCACCACGAGGCAGCAGAACAGAGTCATTTCAGCGGCGGCGGTGGTGTTGCTGACTCTCCTCCTGCCAACGCTAATGGCGACGGCGACTGCGACGGCGACGACGGATCATAGTTTGTGGCCAATAGAGACGTACGTGAAGTTGTGGATCAAGAACGAGATCGGTGGAGGCCGACCGCCGCTGATAATACACTGCAGATCTCGAGACGACGATCTCAACGTTCATGTGGTGAAACCACACGAGACATACCGTTTCAGGATTTTGCCCAACATCTTTGGAACCACGATGTTTTACTGTAGCATGGATTGGGGAACAGGGCTTCACTGGTTTGATATCTACGATCAGGACAGGGACATGCGCCGTTGCCGCACGTACTGCACGTGGATCGTCAAGGAGACTGGGCCGTGTCTGACTAACGGAGAGTTCACGGCTTGCTATCAGTGGAAAAATTAAGGAGATTTTTTATTTTTTTTTTCTTTTCCATTTTTTTGTAAGAATAAATTATTGGAATAAGTAGAGGTTGTTGGAGAGTTATGAGGTGGGTTACATTATTTTAGTTGAAATTATGGTCAGGAACTAGTAGCTAGTTATTTTTTTAATGTTTCATTTATGAGTTAATGACGATTTGATATCTATCCATCTACAGATAATCCGAATTGTTGAGATTGATTTGGATCGATCGTGGGTCGGAAAATCTTCTGCTTGCACTTATTTGGCTTAACTGCAAGTTTGGTCACCCGAATTGCTTAAAAATTTCACTTTTGCCACCCGAATTGATTTATTCCATTTATAGTCACTCGAATTAGTTGAACAGTCCAAGTTCGGTCACTCTCCGTTAACCTCCGTTACGTGGCTAACAGAAAGACGTAGTCAGCACATTTAAACATTAAAAAACGACTACCCGACCCAACCCGCCAGCTCACCCTCACCCGCTCAGTCAGCCATTCTTGCCCAAACCCGCGAGCCAACCCAATTAACTGACCCTAAACCCAAACCCGAGACCCAACCCCCCTGAATCTAGCCCCCTTCTATAAGTCTACCCCTCTGAAGTGAATCCCTAACCACTTTAAATTCTGAACTTTGCCCAAATTATTATTTGTGTCAACTTTCGATGATGATCAAAGTGTCTCATGAGGGCTGAAATTATTTGTATGTTAAAGTTGTCAACATGCCGACCATTAGAATTGACGGTTGACCTTATGCAATATGAACAAATTAATGGTTGACCTAATGCAATATGAATGCGTTTGACTGTCATATCCTAGCATATATAAATAAAAACTGGAAGTAATTCAATCAACTACATTCCATTCTACAAGTGTTGAGAAAATTTTCAAATTTGTAAGCTGACCACATCACACCCACTCAAACAGCAGCCACTGGGCTGGACTTGGTTGACGCTTAAGCCCGAGAAGGAAAGGGTTTGGGCTCCCAAGTTGAATTGGGCCGTTTAAATTCATCTGACAAATGAGTCCACCTAAGAAAGGCCCATTTAACCCTTTGCTTGCGCGCCATCGTCTTCTCCGTTTGAAACATAATCCCGATCACAGTATAAAAATCTGTTTCTTCTCCCTCATTTCCCAGAAGAAGCAGCTCTGGAATCATCTGTAGAGAGAGAGAGAGAGAGATAGAAATGGCGTCTCCGTAGTAGCATCTTCTTTAGCCCATCTCCGCAGGAAAGCCTGCTTCTTTCTGAACCCAGAAAAAAATTGATTCAATTGCGCTTCTTCTTCTTCTTGGTTTCTTTAATCGAGATTTCCTTCCCGCCATTTCTCCCTTCGGTGGGAATTCCGGACTCAATAATCAACAATGATCTTCTCGGTGAGTCTTCCATTGACTAAGCTTCGATTCTTGATTGCTTTTCTCTTCTTTCTTTTTTGCTGACTCTGTTTTCTTTCTTTTTTTACTTTCTTGATTCCCCTTCAGTCGCTCCGCACTCACGCGTCGACGATTCTGCTCGTGATCGGCTGCTGCTCCTACACTTTCTTCCGTCCGACGACGATCGAGTCAAACCGCGGCGACAGGCTCTCCCTCGAAGGAACAAACTTGCCGGGCATTCCGGCGGCCGGCGACGACGACGACGACGAAGAAGAAGAAGAGCCCGAACTTTCCTCTGAAGATGAACTCGACCCTTACGAGCGATACCGCCGCAATTTAGAAGACGACCAAGGCGACGACGACTACGTCACTGACCCAGAATCAGATGACTACGTCTCGGATCTCGTCGGGACCGAAGAATACCGCGTCGGAGGCGGCGCGAGGAACCGGAGAGGCCGCGAGATTCCGATTCCCAATCGAACGGCGCAGCTGATACGTTCGGAAGAAGAAATTAGAAAGGAGGCGGAGATTTCAGACGGAGAAGTAGAACAGAAAATCAAGAATCGAGAATCTCAGATTCGTCCGTTTATGGAGGCGCCGCCGGAAGAAGACGAACAGGGGCGAAGTGGGAATCGTGATTTGGAGCAGAAAGATTCGCATTTGCCGTTTAAGATGGAGGCGGCGATGCGGGGAGGAGCGGTGCAGTTAGGCGGCGGCGTTCCTCCTCCTAGTTTTCTGGTGCAGACACCGGAATTCAAGCTTCCCATGGTTCCGATGTTCAAACCCACTCCGCTGCTTCTGGATTTTCACCGTCTGATGATCAATTCGCCACTGATGATTCCGAATTTCGATTGGCACCCTTTGTTTTCCCCCAATTTACGCCGACCGCCGCCGCCGCCAGATTCAACCGGAGGAAGCAGCGCCGCAGACAGGAAAGACTCGCAGAAAAAAACAGAGCAGCAAGGGGATGTGAACAGGGTCGATGATGATCTCATGGAAATCGACAAGATTCTGAATCCCGATCCGCAGCCTTCGCTTCCCCGCACTTCAATTCCTCTGCCGCCGTCTGATTCAACCGGCCGAAGCAGGGCCGTTCACGGCAATCATCCTCAGGTAACCGACATGTTTCAGAATATCGACCAGCAGCAGCCTCCGCTTCCCCCTGCTTTACGTCAACCACCTCCGCCAGATTTTACCGGCGGAAGCAGTGCATCCTCCGGCCATGGCTATCCGAGAACAGAGCAGGAAGCAGATATTAGCGAGGTCGACGACAACTTTCCCGAAATAGAGCAGCAAGGGGGTGAGAAGCGCCAAAAGCTGAATTGAAGTGGGAAGTTTCAGCTCAATCGGATACAGAGACACTCTTTTGAGAGATTACTCGGATTTGATGGTTGATTGCGGCAGTTCTGTTGCGTTTTTGAGTTTCAGATTGATTAGTTTTGGATCTCAGTTGTAAAGAAGATTCTTTTGATGACACATGAATGAATAATAAAATCTCTGTGATTCGAGCTTCAAAGTTCCACGGACATACTGTATCGTGTCTCACAAGCAAGAAAATCAAACTTCCGATAGATTACTCACAGACAGAAAACCGGGAAGCTAAACATAGAAATCGTTTGACAGAGTAGTCGATCGCTTCAGTTTCCGATTAACTGGGAAATTCAGACAGGAGGCTCGTGCTGGCCGCTTGCGTTCAGCCAAGGAGAAGCAGCTCTCGAGACCTGCCGAGCCCTTGGAGAAACATTACCAGAAAGTTTGACATCCAACCTAGGGTATCGAGTTGAAAGACGTAGTTGTGCAGTGCTCTCAAGCGAGCAAACCCTAGGTTTCACCCATCGCTCGATGCATTGTTCATGCAGAACCTAAGTTGGCAGAAAACTTGGGATTGCAAGTCTGACCAAGCTCTGATGTCGGATAGCAAACGACTGCCTCAATGGTGGTCAAGTGTCAACTAAAGAAAGTTCCCTTCTACAAGGATTTCGGAGCTTCGACAGTGGAAATGGCTGGCATTGGTCTGCTTAGCTGGAAGTGGTGGGGAGAGATTACATATTAGGAAGAACTGCAGGGTGGTGAACTAGAAGTTAGAAAAGAAGCTTTGTTGAATGTTGTTGCATGAATGTAAAATGAAGGGTTACTGAGTTACTCTGTCTAGGTGAACTGCTTTGTGCTCAATTGGATATAGAAGGGGGGTATAATTCCCACAGAGCAATTGTTGAGTCTTCTGAAGCAGAGGCCAAAAGTTTGGAATCCGGTGAATAAGAGACACCGTTACACTGCACTCAACAAAGACAGAAGTTCAACGAAGACAGAATAAGAACTAACATAGAAGGGGAAGAAAGCATTCAAATTTACAAAGAGGACATACTTGCTACTTATAACCTGGAGCAAGAAACTGTAAGGTCAAGGAAAAGATGGCATACCGTGGCTTGGTGATACTTCAAAATTGCCAATGCATTTCCTTTGCGGTAGTTATATACCCTTATTCTGTCACCGAAGGCAATACTGAGGAAGTGAGAACTGAGAAGATCGTGTTCTTTTCAGTCTAAATGTTGCGAAGTTCAATGAAAGATGCAAGGGTTAAAGAAACTTGAACCTGTGATCCCAACCAGCAGTAGCCACAATTTTTCCATCTGGTCTAATTGAGGTGCCTGATATGCCTGGCCGCTCCAAGCTTATCTCTTTCCTTATGATACAAGAGCCCTGTTTTGTGCAGTCAAATTGTGAAAAATGAAACATTAGGACACAGAAGCGGTTGAGGAGATGGTGATTGAATAGAGCATCGTAATCATATGTAATACCGTGGATGCATCGAAACTGTATAACATAATCTTATCATCAGCAGATCCAGAGATTCCTCCTGTGCAGAACCCATCAATGGATATGCTTAAAACTACAAAAAGAACACAAACAAACGATATCGTTTTTTTTTCTTTATAAAGACAAACAAACGATATCATTAGTAGAGGAATTGGAATAGAAAAGGGGTGATTTAGTGCTAGCCCTCACCAGGCTCCGAGTGATACTTCACAGAAGTGAGAGGACCTGCAGCACTGCGAATGTCCCACCAAAGCATGGAACCATCCTCATAACTGCCATATCAAGATACAGAAGACACATTACTTAAGGAAATCCAGCAATATTTGTCGTTGATGATCTGCAATATGGAAAGTCGTCTTCCCTAGTTTAGGGATCAAAACACTTCCATCTCAATGTTCCTTACAACTAACAGTTCTGTAGTCCTAAAGCGGATTCCACAATTATATAGCACAATATTTATTATGAAATGAAGAACTCCCAATGAATTCAGAGAATGCCAACAATTAAATCATTTATAAATCCAACATAACAAATTCTTTCAAACTGATATGGATGAAATAACATGCGGAAAAAAGCAGGACTATACCCAGCCAGGACATTTAGGAATCCCTGTGAACTCGATGGTAAAAATGCTTGAACCGACATGCACATCCCTGACCAAAAATTGTTCCCCCCAGTCAGCAGAATGTCAGACATAACAATAACGAAGCATTAATCAAATGTTGATTTTCTTTGACCAAGTGTGCAAATATTGTCAATCTTAAGTCATTTGAGATTCAATATGGACCTCTTTGGCTGCCAGAAATACTAGGAGAGCCAGTTGAGCTGCTTTCAGGTAATCGTGCAATCCTCTCAGCACTTTTAAGATCCCATAACTCAACCTATTCATGAATATCAAAACCAGGGACATTCGAGGCTGTGAAGACCCAGAAATGAAAAGCTAAAAAAATTTGGCAGACCAATGAACAATCAGAAACACAAAGTGTGGTTTCACCTCCGAAGTCAACTCCCCTGCTACAGCAATACAATTTGGTCCGCCGCAATGACTATCTTCTGAAAAAGAACACACGGCATTTCAGTAACGCTTGATAAATAGGACACAGTTCCATTGTTGAAAAACAGTACCATTACACACTTAGGGCACCTCACACTAGCAAACCTTCGGCACTATTAGAGCTCTCTGATTCATCTTCACCAAGATTGCCTCTACCATCGTAGACAACACCCACATTCTCCTTCTCTTGTTGATTTCTACACCAGTTGGCTGCTCCAGCACCAGCAGCCGGCATTTGGACTAGTGACAGCTTGCAGAAGTGGTAAGAGCTTGTCTTAATGGTAACAAGAGGCGCCCTGATCAGATCGCCGACAGAAGAAATTACCAATCACATTGTCAGTGGATGAATTCCCTTTTTCAACTCCACAAAAAGGGTTCCTGAGAAATCAGTATAAACATTCACTTTGCAATGAAGAATGATTCTTTGGTACCTGGAGAGGGAACCATCTTGAATATCCCAGCACTTGACAGTTCCATCTCTCCCCTGGCTGAACCAAAGCACCAACCCAAATGAATATTATCCTTACCCACTACAAGAAATTCAATCACCAATCAAATTTATAAAGAGAGAAGGGTACCTAATTACTTTGTTGGCTCCAATTTCAGAGCTGCTAGCCACTGTTAGGATGCCGTGAGCCGCACTGTGCACCCTATTCCCACAACAAAGCAAAAAATTAGGCACGAAATCGAATCGAATCGTTCAACTAAGAACAGCTGAACTGAAACGCCGCCGCGATTTCTCGGAAGAGATGGATTACCATGAAGACGACAGCGTTCGATGCTGGACTATGTCCCAAATCCGCAATTCACCGTCCGACGAGCTGAACCAGAAACAAGAGCAATTGGAACACACTCCGATTCGAAAAACTGAGAAAGATAATCTTACAGAAAACAAGGCGGAACGAAACCATCTGGTTACCCGCTGAACAGAATAGGTTTGGAGGGATGGAAGCAGACGTCCGCCACCGAGGCACGGTGGCCTCTCAATACTGCCGCGGGATCAGGCGATGGTCTCTTGCTCATTCTTCTGCTGACGAGCGATTGAAGCCGGAGGAGGAATTTGCCCGATGATGGAACTTCGCCGGAGCTACTGATTATTAGTAGATTAGAACAGACGAGTGACGACGACGACCACTGCTGGAAAAGAAAACTGAGAAGTCTGGAAAAGAAGAGTAGCAGCCGGAGACGGAGAGTTCAAAACTCCGCGAGGAGAGGACGGAGCCCATTCACATATTGGGCTTCACAACTGTGGCGGGCTTGGCCCGCTAATAAATCATAATCTTAATCTCATCGTCCTGGACTTTGGCCCGAAACAGTTACATTTTCATTTCAGAAATTCAGAGAATTCATAGCGGAAAGAAAAGAAATTCACAGGAAATTCTCCGAAGAATCAAATCGGAAAGAAGAAAAAAAAATGGTTCCGGCCGTCCGGCGGATTATTTCACGGCGATCTTAAAATCCCACCCCGTTATTCCAAAATCAGAAAGGGAAAACTCAGAAATCAGCGGAACCATTTCTTAATTCCCCTTATGAAGCTCGAAACCTTGGCGAAAAACGACGGCTTGCTTCTCTTCTTCACCACTCTCTTCCTCCCGCTACTACCCTGACTCGCCGATCTCCTCGCCGGAGGTCGCGGCAGCCTCCTGCGATTCGATTCCGCCGCCATCGCCCGGGCCCTAGCTTTCGGAATCACAATCTGTCCTCCAGCTCTGCCGCTCGAATCCCCCGTCGCCGCCGCCTCCTCTTCCACTGCATCGCTCCTCGCTCCTCCTTTAATCCCCGCCGGCGCCGCCATAACCTCCTCGTCCTCCACGATCACATCCTCCTCCTCCTCCTCCCACCTCGCCGCCTTCCTCCGGCTCTTCCCTCCGTTAACCTTGTTAAAATTGCTCGAATTACTGTACACCTGCTTCAATCTCGCCAGAGCAATATTCCGGCTGGCCTCCGCCGCGAGCTTCTGCTCCACCGAAACCGAGACTCTCCACCGGGACAGCGCCGTCTCCTCCTGCGCCCTCCTCGTCAGCGCCTCGTATTCCTCCGCCATCAATTCCACCCTCCCACCGCCGTCCTCTTCCTCCACCGCCTCCGCCGACAGAGCAATGACCGCCGCCGCGTCCCCCGCCGAAGCCGCGACCGCCGCGGCCTCGATCCTCACCGCGCGGAGCTTCAATTGAAGCGCGCGGAGGCTCTGCCGCCGCATCCGGAGGACCTGCTTCAGCTTCCGCCGCTCCCTCCGCTGCTCGTCGGCTTCCGCCTTGATCGCCTCCAGGTCCTTGCAGGTCAGGTCCACCGCCAGGGTCAGCTCGTTCGTCGCCTTCATCGACTTCACCTCGTCCTCCATCTTCGACCTCACCTCCCGGTGATTCGCCTCCACCTCCGACTGCAATTCCAACACCGCCGCGCTCGCCGCCGATCCCCTGCTTTTGGCCGCGTCCAATTCGGACTGCAGCTTCTCCAGCTCGTCGATCAGCGGCTTCGAATCGAGCCAGGACTGCGTCGCTTCGTCCTTGGCTCGATCCAGCTCCTCCTTCGTCTTGATCAGCTCCTTCATCTCCGACCTCACCGTCCGGACTCTTCCGTCGTCTGCCATAGCTTTCCGCGCGGCGGAGGATTGGATGGAGGATAGATTTTTTTTCTTTTTATATGAGGTACAGCGTGTCACTTTGTCCATGGAGGAGGGAGACTTAGCCGATTGAAAGGCTCTATTTTTTTTTTTTTTTTTTTTTGTAATTCCCTTGTTCATCCCGCTCTTTTCCGGGTATCTGTCAGAGTATTCCACCATGGCTGACTGGTTCCCCTCGTTCAACTACTTTGTCGATTCTGCAATTTAGCCGATTTAAGTGTATCGTATTAACCAACAAATTATTTAGTTTCAATAATTCGAATAGTTGGGAAAATCTTTTATTCGTGGAATGTCTACCAGACTCTTGCATGCTTGATAGGCACTTTCATCCGTACTCAAACAATGTATGACACTGAGAGAGTCGAACTATACTACGATTCAATATACATTATCTGTATGTTCACTATTGTATAGTATATATACATTTTAAAATACTAACAAAATTTCTCAACGACTAAGGACATTGATATTCACAATCAATTTTCACATTAGCTAGCGGTTGGCATTATCCACAGCAAGAGAATTCCAAGGAGGCTTTCTTGTTAGTGGGCTGGGCTGGGCTGGGCTATCGTCATGCAATGGTTAAATCCGAGGGCGGTTAGGATTCCATGCAAGCCAGCCAACGCCAAGCTAATGCACGTCCAATTAAAGCTTAAGCAGTAATGCACGTCCAATTAAAGCTTAAGCAGTCATTATTTTGTTTCGACTGTGATTAATTAATTAATTAGTAATTGATTATGACATTGACACCCCAAAATAAATAGCTGGAGATAGGGCTGGGCATGCGGGCGGATCATCCGCGGGTTTGGGCCGACCCACCCGCATTTGACCCGAATTTCGTTAAGTGGGTGGGTTTGTGGGTGGGTGACGGGTTGCGCTGGGAGCCATCTGCCGGGTGGTGGGTGGGTTGTGGGTGAGTGTGCGGGTGACCCACTCAACCCAACAGCAAAAAGATCAAAGTCGTTGGCGCTAGAGAGAGGAGAGTGGAGAGGTTAGATATAAACTCGGACTGCTCCTGGAGTTTGAACCTCAAAGCCAACCTTCCAAATAGAGATCCCCTCTTCTTCCCTTTACTTTTTCCTCTAATTCTTGTGCCTAGATCACCGCTCTTTCCTTTGTGGAATTATTTTCCTTAGTTCTTTGCACCTAATAATCGTCTCAATCTGTAGAAAACTCTTTCATAATAGAATTTCTATCCAATTTAAAAACTAATTCGGCATTTTTCGCCCTATTCCAACTACTTGTTTCCCTCGATGATTATCTTCACCTATTATCATGTCAAGTTGACTCCTTTATATTATATACATTGTGATGTGGGTGAACCCACAAACCCACCCGCATCATCCACCATCCGCCCGACCCAACCCGAGACTAAATGTGGGCGGGTGGTGGGTTAAAAATTATCAATCCGTTTAAGCGCGGGTGGGTGCATTTTATGGTCAAAATCCACCCGACCCACCCAATGCCCACCCCTAGCTGGAGATAGATAGAGAGAGAGAGGGATCCCTCAAATTCTCTTCATTCTTTTTTGGATCCAGCCGAACAAGGCATCCTAATTATCTCTTTGCACTTTCGCGGACAAAACTGTCTTCTTCATACACCAGTGGATCAATGGACTGATTCTTTCCATGAAAATATACTTTAAATAAATAAATAAAAACAGAACAAACACGAGGTGGAATATCTACACAGTAAATAAAAGCCAAATGAGAAAACTTGAAGCCCCATTTCAAATTTCCTGCATCCAGAGTGAAAGTAGGAATAACATTTTGGTCTTCACAATTACTTTTTTTATTAGTTAAAAAAACACTTACTAGGATTCGAACCATGACCATTTTAAAGAAAAACAAATATCATAACCAATCTCACTAAGTATATTTGTTGTATCTTTTTAAATTAAAAACATATAATTGCAGAGAGGAAAAAACTCTTCCCCCATTTAAAATTTCCTGCTCCAGGAGCGTTTGTAGGAAGAGTAGAATAGGGAGTGTCAATTTTTTCTTCCTCTGTGGAACGGGCCAACTTACCGTACACATGCGAATTTAAACGGGTCCAAGAGTGTCAATTTTTTTCTTTAAGTCCTTTTATTTCTCCATGGTGGTAAAATATATATATGAAAAGGCAAAATCAATACTCTTTTTTATTGCTAAAAAGAAAAAAATTAACAATAAACTAATGCATGGATTCTAATGGGCTAACCGCTAATCATAAAATAAAAGAGTTGAACGGGTCTGACCTACATGGGATTTGCCCATCAAGTAAAACAAATGAACATCATGAGTTTGTCATTCTAAAACAAGCTATTTTCTCTAGCATAATATATACTATGCTATTATTTTATATCTTAGTGGCTAAAATATAATGTATTTTAAAGTTATTCAATGGTTCAACTTCGACCAACTCAATTAGTCCAATTTTTATCATTTCAAATATATATTATGTAATTATTTGATATCATAATGATTAAATTATAGTGTATATTATAGGGAATCGTTTGGTATTTGTTAGTAAAAAACTAAACAGAAAGATATATTTGGTTATTTTTAATATTAAAACGATCCTAAACATTTTCAGTTTCCTTTCGAAATTCTATAGTTTTATTCCCAAATCAGTGATGTGCAAATGGTGAATTGCAGTCATCTCTTTTCTTTCATTATTTTTTATTTTCAAATATAAAGTTTAAAAGTAAAGAATAATTAGAGTTTGGCATGGGTCGGTCAAACAAGCTGAATTTCAAGTTTTGGCCCATTTTGATCAAGTCTAATTTATAATCACATGGTTCTCTGATACCCTATAAAAATCTCAATACAAACCAGTTTGGCAGGTGAGTCCGTGTTTACCACCATTTTCTAGGGATACAGGAACGGTGGTTCATATCTCAAATCGTGCTGTTCATTCTTGATTTCTTTAGATTTTATCATGGCTTGGCAAAAAACCAGAAAACACAATGATGAGAAGATGAAAGTTTTATAAAGCAAATTAATCGGCCAACGGGCCGAGTAAAAGCTAGCAACGATTGTGAGATGCTCATTTCCTGAAAATCGGCGGGATATGCGATTTTTTATTCGATTTTCTGGAATTCGGTTTCTATAAAACTTACTCCACCTACTCATATTACCAGAAACAATATTGTTTCACAAGGTAACATGTACTTGATTTTGGTTCATAAGGCTGATTTTTGATTCGTTGCATCATTCATGTCTCTTTTCTACTAAAATTCACTATTTTTATCACGTGTTTCCCAAAAAAAAAACTATACAACAATAAGCTATACACCCCATTACATTATCAAATTTCATATCTCATCTTCGTTCGGCCAAATGGCCGGGGCCCACGCTAGTATATCTATAAGATATATGATGGAGATTCATGACTCAACTTTCTTTCATTTCAAATTTTCTGCAACGAGAGTGAAAGTAGGAAGGGTACTTTCGTCATTGCAATTGTTTATTTTTTTATTTGAAAAAAATATCAGTGTCAAGATTTGAACCCGGGTCTCTTCTAACAAGGACAAGAGTCATAACCAATAAGACTAAACAAATTTGTTGAATTTATTTATAAAAAAAACATACAAGAGGCAAAATTCTGAAAATCAAATGACTTTTCCAGCATAGTTAGCTACCCCACTAAGTCTTTCTTAAGCATTTTTAGTGTTGGATCTTTGATTATCATTTATTATTATTTTATTTTGACTTCAATAATAATGGTAATCTATCTTATAAATGGAGGATAATTTTAAAACCGCAATCCAAATATCATTTATTCGAATATTGCATATCAAATTACAATATTAAATATATATGTGCACACACAACCACATATATATGGGTCAGACTGGTGTACTCCTGGAGTATATTATACTTCAGGTACTCTTCGTGAGATATCTCTATCTAGACCATGATTTTTAACCGAGTTTGGGGTATGATACTCTACCCTAACCTCTAATGGATAAACCCCAGGCCCCGATTCTCTAAACTCAAACCCAAAGTTTAATTTAATGGAAAATTATAATTGACCATTGAGATTGATTGGAGCTCAACAAAGTACATCTAATGTCTAGATCATGTGGAGTATACTATACTCTTGGAGTATACCAGTATACTATACTCCTGTAGTATACCAGTATGTGTGTGTAGTGTTTTCTATCATATTTTGAGTAAAATCAAAAGGTAACTCATACCCTTGGTAAGAAATGGCAATCTAGACTTTGAATTAACCTGATTTCGAGACGAGACACTATATTCTAACCCTTGACGAGTGAACTCTAGGTCTTAACTATTTAAATCATAGATCCTAAACCAAGGATTATAAAACCTCATCAGAGGTTGTACCGAAAAAGTCGGCAGGAGGGTATTTTATGCGAAAACTGTGGTTAACCGTGATTCAGTCGTTTCACAACACTACATAGTGCCTACTGGTTTAGTCGAACCCCCGGTACGTTAAGGGTTTTCAATCCTTGCCCTAAACACTAAGATTATGCACATAATTTTTTTGATGTATTTTGATGAAACACGACCTTCGATTATTGTTTCTAATAAAATTGATCTTAGTATATGAGCTTCATAGAATTAAGACCTAGATTTTAATCTGTAAGGGCTTAAGGTATAGTACCATGTCCCTAGCTCCGGCCACTAGACATCATTTTCATACTCAGAGTATATCATTCAAGGTCTATATATCATTTCCTTATGTCATTTTCTTAATCAAAATATGATAGAACCACCCATACTTATAGTTGTGTTATCCTGCTGGAAAGTCATTTGTTCTAAATGTTAGTTGGTTGGACTGCAGTTTTATCAGGGTTGTATGTTGTTTGAAACATTTTGAACTTCATTAGTCCAATATTTTTAGTACTCCTATATTATTTAGGGATAATATCCTATTTTGTGTTGAACTTTGATGTAAATAACAATTTTGGCATGAACATTCAAATAAGATATTTTTGTTCGAATTTGAAAGAAATTAACAAATTTGGTCGGTTATTAATATTGAGGGTCAAACATTTCTTTTTTTTATGACTCAACATACAATGTTAAGGTGACTGTGGTGTGACTTTCACGTCATAGGTATAATATGCTATTTTGCCCTACACTTTCAAATAAGACAGTTTTGTACGAATTTTCAAAGAAATGAATAACTTTGACCCAAAATTTAGGTTGCCGTTAATATTGATGAGAGGGGTACAAAGAGAGATAGCTTCGTGCTTTGGGATTTTTGGGGGCCTGAATCAATTTCTTTTTCCTTTTAATATGATTTATGCAAGTAAATATGAAAATATTAGGATATACTAAGGGTCCTATTTTGTGGTCTTTTTTCTTCTGAAAAATTCACTTTTTTAGACTTTATAAATAAATGACTTGGAAGCCACATCGCAACCTAAACCTCTCTATCACAACTGTCAATATTAAAGGTCAACCCAAATTTCGGACCAAATTTGTTCATTTCTTTCAAAGTGCAAACAAACCTATCTTATTTGAAAATTCGAGCCAAAATTGTCTTTTACATCAAGTTCATGCCAAAATAAGGTATCATCCCTATGACATGGAAGCCACATCGCAATCGCAACCACCTGAGCATTGTATGTTGAATGGATGAAGAAATTTTTAACTTTTAATATTAACGAACAACATAAATTTCAGTCCAAATTTGTCCATTTCTTTCAAAATTTTGAAAAACTGTCTTATTTGCAAGTTCATGTCAAGTTTGGCTTTTACGACAAACTTCAAGGTCAAAATAAGGTATATCCCTATTATTTATGGTCAACTTACCAATCAAAGTAGTCAGTGAAAGTATCAGCAACACTGACAAAGACAAACATATGTAATTCAAAATTAGTTGCACTCAGCCTTAAGTTTGAAGCTCTCTTGAGAACCCGAACTATTTTCTAGGCATCTTCGGGGACTACGACTAGCATGCTTCCAAACCAGCTGATCCTTATTCTACTTTCTATGAAGAGGAATAATATGGGTGTATCTGTTAGACATTAATTAGGGTTACAAATGATCTCATTCCTAAAATCTGTTAGAGACCAATCTTTTTCTTTCCTTCTGAGGGTTCATTATGTATGTTTTAGGAAAAACAACTCTAATCTTGAACTATTTGCCATTTTTAAGTATTGAAAACCTATTATTTTGTATGTTTTTCTTTTCTTCTTTGAACAATTATATTTCTTTTTTCAGTGATATGTCGTATCTTCCTATTATATTGTAAGCATGTTATATGAACATATTTTTTGTCTAGACTTTCCCGGCCAAGGGGCCGGGCCCGGTGCTAGTTATTACTTAAAAGAGATTCCAGTTTAATACCTTCAAATTAAAAATCAGTGATAATTATTAATTAGGATGTGGCTTGGGCCTTGGGGCCTGTAGAAAAGGAAGATATATGTGTCCAGGGCCTCCACTGGGCTTCTTACTCTGGCTGGCCCAATACGGAAGCACACTTCTGATTAGTAAAAGTGATTATACCAGAAAAGGGGAAAGAAATGACGTCTGATATAATTATTCAGCCGAATCCAGTTCTACAGGCGAAAACCCAGCAACAGGATCGAAATGGGCGAATCTATGCCCAGATGACCACACTGCGCAATTGTGGCACTATACAACTGCCGCGCCAAGCATTTCCTCCGCGTCACTCCATTACCCTTCTTCGGCACTTGGCACTCCCCGTCGCCGGAAGCTTCACGCCACGTCTGGTATCTGCTCGCCGCCGATCGGGTCGCCGACCGATTCGCTTCGTCGAAACGGACGTGCCGGAGTCGGTATCCATGACGGACTCCAATTTCATTCCCAGGTCCAATATCGTGCTTCTTCTCATTCCTCTCTCTCTCACACACCCCCATTTTCGCTCTGGGCTTTTTTTGTTTGAATCTGAGGTGGGGTTTTTTTTTTTTTAATGGGCAGCTCTGCTCATCCGGCTTATACGGAGATCGTCGTTGTTCGTCACGGCGAGACGGAGTGGAATGCTGATAAAAGGATTCAGGTTAGCTTTCTTTCTCCCACTCGTGTAGTCGAGATTAGTTTTCTAGCGATCATGTGTTGGAGTCTATGAATGGAGCTGCTAGGAACTTGATGTAATTGATCTCTATTGGTTGTTTGATCGTAGCTTCTGGCAAAGTTTCTTACTCTCTGATGTTCAGAATCGGAATAACCATTTTTATGGGGCCATTTTCTTGATTGGAACCCTGAAAATGGTCTGTTTCAATTGTGTCCCCTCGGCCTCGTTGTCTTATGGGGGGACCTAATGGAGTCTGACTCTTGCACACACTACAGGGACATGTCGATGTTGACCTGAATGAAGTTGGGAGACAACAAGCTGCTTTGGTAATGTTTGTATCCTAATCTATTGCTTATTATTTTGGTGCTTATGAGAGATGCATAATACCCACTTGATGAATGGAAGTTTTCTGTTTGTTGTTTAAGGTGGCTGATCGACTATCCAAAGAGTCTAAGATTTCTGCTGTATATTCTTCCGACTTGAAACGAGCTTTTGACACGGCGCAAGCAATTGCTGATAGATGCGGCGGTATTGAGGTATGAGCGCTGCCGCAGCTTTCTTCAACATGGGCTTCTTAGGCAATAATCAAAAGGATATATGTAACACTTGGTCTGCCTTGTTTGACTAGTAATATTGCTCTGCGCTGAATTATCTACACTCCCTTTGGTTATCCGCTTGATATCCAGTGTTTTTCACAGTTGTAACTTTCAACCATTTTGTTTTATGAGATTATGTGTTGGCTTCTATTCATTTCTCATCTGGTACACTAGTTCTGCTGATTCCCTAAAGCTTCCAGGTTATCAAGGAACCAGGGCTACGAGAAAGGCATTTGGGGGATCTACAGGGCCTTTCGTTAAGTGAAGCTGCCAAAGCTTCCCCAGAAGCATACGACGCATTTTTATCCCACAAAACCAGCCAAGACATCCCTGTATGCTACATGTCCATTACTATTTTCGGAGTTTTCTTAACCCTTTACTGGATAGTTGTATATTGGAATGTCCTGTAAGCGGAATCTGCCCGAGTTCTCAGTGCTATGGTTCAAGTTTGAAACTAACACCTTCGTACATGTAGTCATGTAGATAGGTTAGTTGCATAGAATTCTGCTGTAGTCCCAAAGATGTCTGTCTTATAGTGTGAATTAGAACTTTTTGACCTTTAGAATTACTTTGTGGTAACAGTAATACATACTCCTGTAATCATAGAACAAGTAGGGTGTAAAGTTGATTAGTACATAAAGCATGCGAGCTACAGTTTAATAACTTTGTCCTCTGCCAATAATCTCAAGTGATGCCTTTTCCTGCATACACAGGGCGGTGGCGAAAGTCTTGATAAATTATATGAGCGTTCGACATCTTCATTTCAAAGAATTGCAGCAAAGCATAGAGGTAAACTGTCGATCATTACTAATCTCTACTAGATTTATGCTTTCTTATCTTCATAATATGTGGATGCAATGACTTCCTCAGTTCCAGATGCATATTGACACTTAAATGTTAGCAAAAGAAACTAGAAAGCCTGACATAGAAAGCTCACGAGTACTTGCAAAGTAGTACATTTGAGTAGCAGCCGTTGGTACAAGAAGTAACGCATGAAAATAACAGAGAACGAGTACTTTTGACTTTGAGTAGTCTATTTTTGCCTGTAAAATTCCTGGTCCTAGGAGGAAACATGTACCATCTATTTCAACGATCCTTGTCCAGCTATCGCTTTAATATCGCGAACCATGTTTAAATTGCAGGTGAGCGAGTGGTTGTGGTGAGTCACGGAGGCACCATCAGATCCCTACACAAGCGAGCTTGCCCTAGCGAGAGGCCTGCAAAGATACTCAATACTTCTGTGCACATCTTTCACATATCCGATGTAGACGAGTGGACCATAAAATCTTGGGGTGATGTTAGCCATCTCAACCAAACAGGATTCCTGGAGTCTGGTTTTGGTGGCGACAGAACCTCTGGTTAGCTGCACTTAGAACCAACCCTCTTCCTAGCAAGGAAGTAACTTGTCACTATAGAGTCTTTTTTTTCTCTTCTCCTCTTCATACTACAATGGACAGCCACCCTCTGATGTAATGGAAGAGATTTTACAGTTGTACCGGTACTTACTGTTGTTTGATGGAATATAGCTGCCTGGCTGGTATCTGTAGCTGCAAGTAATAGCCTATTTTAAGCGGTATTAGCTCCTCAAAACCTTGCAGTTACATAACTTACCTTGACCTACTAACTCGACCGGGTTAACGGGCCAAACCAGATTCACAATCACGGACACTACTAATAGTTAGCATTAGGGTATTTTGTGCTAAAATCATAGTTGAATACTCGTTAAATCATGCTTGAAAATTTGCTCCAACCCAAGCCTTGATGCATCTTCAAAAAAAAATAAAAAAATTGTAAAACCATATCGACGGTTGTATCGAAAGAGTTAGGATTATGCATTTTGTGCTAAATCGTAGTGCAACCGTCGTTAAATCATTTCATACCATTAAAATCACCAACGATTTAGATTCTGTTAGGATTTTTTCGATTGGGCCGCCAGTACGGTATAATCGTAGTTCCACCGTGATTAATTACGACTTGACATATTGCTCCAATCGAGCCTTAAATTAGTTTTGGGAGAAGAAGGCTCTGTATGACATTGCAATTGCCAAGGGTGGTTCAAACCAGAGAAAGCTGAAAGAGAGGCTGATAATGTTGCAGCAGATATTGAGAACATCGCAAGAGCTATCAAAGCCAAACTGCTAGATTACTTGAAGGAGGAAGGGACATATACCCCAGAACAAGTCGGTGTGCTCCATGCTCTAGGAGCAGTCATATACAACGAGGATGACCATGCAAGCAAGGACTAGATTCCAGTTGGATATTGTTTTAGATTGTCTTAAATGGGACGAGAACAAGGTTGACACACATGTTTTACAGAAATAGATAAGGTCCTTGGAGACCTCCGGTTTGATACAACATATTCGGATCTGATTCCACATATTGGAAGGTATATATAATATAATTTCCCTTGCTATGTGTTTGGTCATGTAATCCCAACGTTTATACTGAACTGTTTGCATCTTGTATTACTTTAGGTGGATTTCCACCATCCACAAGCTCGCGGATGCATTGGAGACGAAATATCACCGGGAAAGGGAGATAAGGCGGCTAGAGGTGAAACTTGAAATATACAAGAGGAGGAAAGTGGTCAAGTAAGTATTGAGCCGGTGTTTTACCATTTACTACTTAGTAATAGCGGTACAGTTTACAATTGTTTCAAAAATGAGACTGTGAGGGTGTTTACTTTACTGTTAGTAGATATATTGATTTCCTCCTCTTGGCAAAATAAAAGTACAATTAATTATCAAACAATTGTACTTTTATTTTGTTTGATAATAATTCTACTTTTATTTTGCCAAGAGGAGGAAATCAATATATCTACTTACAGTAAAGTAAACACCCTCATAGTCTCATGTTTTAAACAATTGTAAACTGTATCGCCATTACTAAGTAGTAAACTGTAAAACACCGACTCAATACTTACTTGGCCTCTTTCCTACTTTTGTATATTTCAAGCTTCACCTCTAGCCGCCTTATCTCACTCTCCCGGTGATATTTCTTCTCCAATGCATCCGCGAGCTCGTGGAGGGTGAAAATTCACCTAAAGACATACAAGATGCAAACAATTCCGTATAAACGTTGGAATTACATGACCAAACACATAGCAAGGGAGACTATATTATATATACTTTTCAATATGTGGAATCAGATTCGAATCTGTTGTATCATATCAGAGGTCTCCAAGGACCTTAACTATTTCTATAAAGCATGTGTCAACCATGTTCTAGTCCCATTTAAGACAATTTGAAACAATACCCAAATGGAATCCAGTCCTTGCACGATCATCCTCGTTGTATATGGCTACTCCTAGAGCATTGAGCACACTGATTTGTCCTGTAGTATATGTCCCTTCCTCCAAGTAATCTAGCGGTTTGGCTTTGATAGCCCTTGCGATGTTCTCAATATCTGTTGCAACATTATCAGCCTCCCTTTCAGCTTCCTCAGAACCACCCTTGGCAATTGCAAGGTCATACAGACAGAGTCTTCTTGTCCCAAAACTGATAAATCAGGGCTTTCAGACTTGTCTCCATCTGCAACATACATTTTCCAATCACAATCACAATCACAATCACAGAAATCAAACACCTGGACCAACACAAGGATTAAACGAACTACAAGAGGAATCAAAACACCTATTACCACACAGAAATCTATGGCCTAGAACGACACATAAATGAAACAAACTACATGAAGAATCAAAATCCCCAGAATGATAAGGAAGTAATTAAGTACCATACATACATGGGCCTTCTTACATAGAACAACACACAAATTAGAATAAGAGTTGTCTCAAAATCGAAAGCAACACCAATAAGGCAATAACAATTGAATTTCAGGAAACAGAGACGAGACGAGTAATCGAATTGGATAGATAGAAAGAATGGCAAAATTGGCGTTCCTATATCACCAAAACCTAATCTCGTTCGTTCAACCAAATATACTTGCCAAGAATCAGGGAAACCACAGGAAGAGGAGTTGCGAGGAAATGGAAAGAAACGAGCAGCAGGAATCGAATTCCAGGAGCCGATTCGATGATGACACAAACAAAAGCATTCGGATAGCACAAGTTTATACGAACGAACAGTACAAGAGGATTCTCGTTCTTCAATCACGTAATAAAATCCAGAAGCTAAGCAGAGACACCAAAAAAACGGAGCAGAAACTGAAATCAACGACGAATGCAAAAACAACGGAACTCGGAAATCAAACTACAAGACTCAACACAAGGAAATCGACGATGACCTATATAACAACGGGATCTCGCTAACGATCACGAACAAAGGTTGACGGCCAGGAGGAAACCGGAAAACAGAGCAGAAACCGGATTCTAAGAAGAATGAGAAACGGAAATCTCACTGGAGAAAGCGAAGCTCGTAGATCTCACCTTGAAACTTCTGGTGAAGGAAGATTGATCGTTCGATCGATCGATCGGACGTGGAAATGACGATGAACTCTGGATTTCAGCAGCAACGAAAAGCAAGAAATGAGATAAAATGGAGAAAGAAAGAGTGAAGACTAATAGCGGTTTGTTAGGGTTTTTCCCTCCACTGCCCCTACCCCTAGGCACTAGCCCCTACCCGCTGCAAGCAAAATTCAAAAAAATTAGTTATTCCGAAAAAGGTTAGCTGAGCCCGAGCCCAATCCCAAGCCCAGTTAAGTTATACCAGAAAAGGGGAAAGAAAAGAGAAAATTTGACGTCTGATATAATTATTCAGTTCTACAGGAAGGCCGAGAAGGCGAAAACCCAGCCATAGGAGCGAAATGGGCGAATCTATGCCCAGATGACCACACTGCGCAATTGTGGCACTATACAACTGCCGCGCCAAGCATTTCCTCCGCGTCACTCCATTACCCTTCTTCGGCACTTGGCACTCCCCGTCGCCGGAAGCTTCACGCCACGTCTGGTATCTGTTCGCCGCCGATCGGGTCGCCGACCGATTCTCTTCGTCGAAACGGACGTGCCGGAGTCGGTATCGATGACGGACTCCAATTCCATTCCCAGGTCCAATATCGTGCTTCTTCTCATTCCTCTCTCTCACACCCCCATTTTCGCTCTTTTTTTTTTGTTCGAATCTGAGGTGATTTTTTTTTGTTTTTGTTAATGGCCAGCTCTGCTCATCCGGCTTATACGGAGATCGTCGTCGTTCGTCACGGCGAGACGGAGTGGAATGCTGATAAAAGGATTCAGGTTAGCTTTTCTTTCTAGCACTCGTGTAGTCGATAAGTCTTGTAGCGATCATGTGTTGGGGTCGAGTATTGGAGCTGCTAGAAATTTTGATGTAATTGATCGCTAGTTGGTGGTTGATCGTAGAGGTTCTGGCAAAGTTTCTTACTTTTTGATGTTCAGAATAACCAGCGTACTTGTACAAATACAGTGTTCTTGGATGGAAATTGACCCTCTGTAGTCTGTTTCAATTGTGTCCCCTCGGCCTTGTTGTCTTATGGGGGGACCTAATGGAGTCTTACTCATGCACACACTACAGGGACATGTCGATGTTGACCTGAATGAAGTTGGGAGACAACAAGCTGCTTTGGTAATGTTTGTGTCCTAATCTATTGCTTATCCTTTTTGGTGCTTATGAGAGATGCATAATACCCACTTGATGAATGGAAGTTCTCTGTTTGTTGTTTAAGGTGGCTGATCGACTATCCAAAGAGTCTAAGATTTCTGCTGTATATTCTTCCGACTTGAAACGAGCTTTTGACACGGCGCAAGCAATTGCTGATAGATGCGGCGGTATTGAGGTACGAGCGCTGCCGCAGCTTTCTTCAACTTGGGCTTCTTAGTTCTTAGGCAATAATCAAAAGGATATATGTAACACTTGGTCTGCCTTGTTTGACTAGTAATATTGCTCTGCGCTGAATTATCTACACTCCCTTTGGTTATCCGCTTGATATCCAGTGTTTTTCACAGTTGTAACTTTCAACCATTTTGTTTTATGAGATTCTGTGTTGGCTTCTATTCATTTCTCATCTGGTACACTAGTTCTGCTGATTCCCTAAAGCTTCCAGGTCATCAAGGAACCAGGGCTACGAGAAAGGCATTTAGGGGATCTACAAGGCCTTTCGTTAAGTGAAGCTGCCAAAGGTTCCCCAGAAGCATACGAGGCATTTTTATCCCACAAAACCAGCCAAGACATCCCTGTATGCTACATGTCCATTACTATTTTCGGGGTTTTCTTGACCCTTTACTGGATAGTTGTATATTGGAAGGTCCTGTAAGCTGAATCCGCCCAGTTCTCAGTGCTATGGTTCAAGTTTGAAACTAACACCTTCGTACATGTAGTCATGTAGATAGGTTAGTTGCATACAGTTCTGCTGTAGTCCCAAAGATGTCTGTCTTATAGTGTGAATTAGAACTTTTTGACCTGTAGAATTACTTTGTGGTAACAGTAATACATACTCCTGTAATCATAGAATAACTAGGGTCTAAAGTTGATTAGTACATAAAGCATGCGAGCTACAGTTTAATAACTTTGTCCTCTGCCAATAATCTCAAGTGATGCCTTTTCCTGCATACACAGGGCGGTGGCGAAAGTCTTGATAAATTATATGAGCGTTCGACATCTTCATTTCAAAGAATTGCAGCAAAGCATAGAGGTAAACTGTCGATCATTACTAATCTCTACTAGATTTATGCTTTCTTATCTTCATAATATGTGGATGCAATGACTTCCTCAGTTCCAGATGCATATTGACACTTAAATGTTAGCAAAAGAAACTAGAAAGCCTGACATAGAAAGCTCACGAGTACTTGCAAAGTAGTACATTTGAGTAACAGTCGTTGGTACAAGAAGTAACGCATGAAAATAACAGAGAACGAGTACTTTTGACTTTGAGTAGTCTATTTTTGCCTATAAATTCCTGGTCCTAGGAGGAAACATGTACCATCTATTTCAACCATCCTTGTCCAGCTATCGCTTTAATATCGCGAACCATGTTTAAATTGCAGGTGAGCGAGTGGTTGTGGTGAGTCACGGAGGCACCATCAGATCCCTACACAAGCGAGCTTGCCCTAGCGAGAGGCCTGCAAAGATACTCAATACTTCTGTGCACATCTTTCACATATCCGATGTAGACGAGTGGACCATAAAATCTTGGGGTGATGTTAGCCATCTCAACCAAACGGGATTCCTGGAGTCTGGTTTTGGTGGCGACAGAACCTCTGGTTAGCTGCACTTAGAACCAACCCTCTTCCTAGCAAGGAAGTAACTTGTCACTATAGAGTCTTTTTTTCTCTTCTCCTCTTCATACTACAATGGACAGCCACCCTCTGATGTAATGAAAGAGATTTTACAGTTGTACCGGTACTTACTGTTGTTTGATGGAATATAGCTGGCTGGTATCTGCGGCTGCAAGTAATCGCCTATTTTAAGCAGCTCCTCAAAACTTTGCAGTTACATAACTTACCTTGACCCACTAACTCGACCGGGTCAACGGGCCAAATCGGATTCACAACCTCGGACACTACTAATAGTTAGCATTAGGGTATTTTGTGCTAAAATCATAGTTGAATACTCGTTAAATCATATGCTTGAAAATTTGCTACAGCCCAAGCCTTGATGCATCTTCAGAAAAAATAAAAAATTGTAAAACCATATTGACGGTTGTATCGAAAGAGTTAGCATTAGGCATTTTGTGCTAAATCGTAGTGCAACCGTCGTTAAATAATTTCATACCGTTAAAATCACCAACGATTTAGATTCCGTTAGGATTTTTTCGATTGGGCGCCAGTACGGTATAATCGTAGTTCAACCGTGGTTAATTACGACTTGACATATTGCTCCAATCGAGCCTTAAATTATGTTAAAAAAATAGAAAATAGTAAAACCATACCTAAGGTCATACCAAAAAAGTTAGTATTTTGTACAAAATCGTAGTTGACCGTTGTTAGAATCAAGCTTGACACATTGCTTCCAACCCGAGCCTGGATTTATGTTCAAGAAAAAAAAATAACAAAATTGTAAAACCATATAGAAAGTCGTACCGAAAAAATTAGAATTATGATATTTTGAGCTAAAATCATAGTTCAATCGTCATAAAATCAGGGTTTGATTTTTGTGATTGTGATTGGAAAATGAATGTTGAAGTCTTGCATATGGAGACAAGCTTGAAAGCCCTAATTCTTTTATTAGTTTTGGGAGAAGAAGGCTCTGTATGACTTTGCAAGGGAGGCTGATAATGTTGCAACAGATATTGAGAACATCGCAAGAGCTATCAAAGCCAAACTGCTAGATTACTTGAAGGAGGAAGGGACATATACCCCAGGACAAGTCGGTGTGCTCCATGCTCTAGGAGCTGCCATATACAACGAGGATGACTATGCAAGCAATGACTAGATTCCAGCTGGATATTGTTTTAGATTGTCTTAAATGGGACGAGAACAGGGTTGACACACACAGGTTTTACAGAAATAGATAAGGTCCTTGGAGACCTCCGGTTTGATACAACAGATTCGGATTTGATTCCACATATTGGAAGGTATATATAATATAATCTCCCTTGCTATGTGTTTGGTCATGTAATCCCAACGTTTATACTGAATTGTTTGCATTTTGTATTACTCTAGGTGGATTTCCACCATCCACAAGCTCGCAGATGCATTGGAGACGAAATATCACCGGGAGAGGGAGATAAGGCGGCTAGAGGTGAAACTTGAAATATACAAGAGGAGAAAAGAGGTCAAGTAAGTATTGAGCCGGTGTTTTATCGTTTACTACTTAGTAATGGCGGTACAGTTTACAATTGTTTCAAAAATGAGACTTCGAGGGTGTTTACTTTACTGTTAGTAGATATATTGATTTCCTCCTCTTGGCAAAATAAAAGTACAATTATTATCAAACAATTAATAGCAATTATATCCATTTCGTCCTCATTTTTTATACAATTATAAACTGTACCGTCATTACTAAGTAGTAAACTGTAAAACACCGGCTCAATACTTACTTGGCCTCTTTCCTCCTCTTATATATTTCAAGCTTCACCTCTAGCCGCCTTATCTCACTCTCCCGGTGATATTTCTTCTCCAATGCATCCGCGAGCTCGTGGATGGTGGAAATCCACCTAAAGTAATACAAGATGCAAACAATTCACTATAAATGTTGGGATTACATGACCAAACACATAGCAAGGGAGATTATATTATATATACCTTCCAATATGTGAAATCAAATTCGAATATGTTGTATCAGACCGGAGGTCTCCAAGAACCTTATCTATTTCTGTAAAGCATGTGTCAACCCTGTTTTGGTCTCATTTAAGACAATCTGAAACAATACCCAAATGGAATGCAGTCCTTGCACGATCATCCTCGTTGTATATGACTACTCCTAGAGCATTGAGCACACCGACTTGTCCTAGGGTATATGTCCCTTCCGCCAAGTAATCTAGCGGTTTGGCTTTGATAGCTCTTGCGATGTTTTCAATATCTGCTGCAACATTATCAGCCTCCCTTTCAGCTTCATCAGAACCACCCTTGGCAATTGCAAGGTCATACAGACAGAGCCTTCTTCTCCCAAAACTGATAAATCAGGGCTTTCAGACTTGTCTCCATCTGCAACATTCATTTTCCAATCACAATCACAGAAATCAAACACCTGGACCAGCACAAGGATTAAACGAACTACAAGAGGAATCAAAACACCTATTACCACACGGAAATCAATGGCCTAGAACGATACAGAAATGAAACAAACTACAGGAAGAATCAAAATCCCCAGACCGATAAGGAAGTGATTAAGTATCATACATACATGGGCCTTCTTACATAGAACAACACACAAATTAGAACAAGAGTTGTCTCAAAATCGAAAGCAACGAACCAATAAGGCAATAACAATTGAACTAGTCACAGGCCCGGCCAACTGGCCGGATTCAGTCGCCAATCACATGAATAATATTATCTAATTGTATGTAAGATACGTGGGTTTTGATAGTATAAGCAAATCTAAATTATTCAAATATTTGAAACATTCAAATTGTTTGGTAGAATAAGAGAATCCAAACTATTAAAGCACTTCAATAATTGAAAATATGTAAATATTATTTTTTCGACATTGTACGCAACTAACTCATCAACTTAAATCCTTTTACGAAAATGAAAGGCAAATTTGGACCGACTCCTAAAGACATTTTAAAATCATCTTTCTATTTACTCCTCATCATCAAAGTTATTGCATATTTTCATTTTGACTTGTTTGCACTTCCTCCAACATGAGCAACATCATCATGTGCATCAATATTAATATCTTTATCTTTATCTTTATCTTCATTAGTTATACATTTATCTCCATTATTAATTTCCTCTTCTTTTCCTCTCTTGTATTTCAATGATCTCTTCCTTGTTTTCCTGCATTTTATTGAGCACAAATATTTGATGTTAAACGTTTTACAAATACCAATTATCTTTTTCATTGGAGTAGTATTTACATCTTTCAAAAAAGAAAAGGAGTAGTATTTGCCTCGTCCAAGTTATGAACAATATCCAAGATTAGTTCTTTCTACTCATAATTGGTACTTGTATCTTCCTTATGAACAATGTATATCTTCTGCTTAAGATAATCGTCATCTCTAGCATCAGATCTAGTACATCCACCATTAACCGTATCATTCTTGTTCTCTTACATTAACATTATGAATTAAGATCATTGTCATTCAAAAGTGCAATATATTTGTGATTTTGTAGAATCATATGTGTTTAAAATATATTGGAGTTAAAATTGTAGCTCGATACAATGGCTTGCATGTTAATGTGAAAGGAAGCAAAGTTCTACTGGAGATTTATGTTATAAACGACATGCATTTGCCTATAGATTAAAGAATACAACTAAGTGTCATTTGTGCATCATTTAAAAATTGAAGGCCTATATTTGTGCATGGTATAAAAATAAAAGACTGATACACTTGATAATACAACCAAGTATACAATTATATGCATGCTAGTGGGTAATAAAGAATGTTCCTCTGAAGTTTTAAGTTGTGCAATTAAATACATTTTTCAAAGTTAAAGAATACAGTTGAGTATCATCTTTGCATGATATAAAAATTGAGGATCTATATACTCGATTCTATAATTAAGTATGATTTACAACTGGTATACCGTTTACAACAATTTATTTTGCTGGACAATAGACGCAATTAATTTTCTTGCAAAATTAACATGTGAGAAGTAAACATGGTAGGCAGGTTTGTTAAATATTAATCAGAGGGTGCATGTTCCAAATATACTCCAAATTCAATAGAGAATATCACAAATTTGTAATTAATATTGATTATTATATTCAGTATAATTTACCTCGATCAAGTCAGAAAGACTGTATGAGTGATTCTCTTTTCATCCTTCCCAATCATGAAAATTGTGTACTCACTTATTGATTAGAAATGTCATATGTGAGCTTGCTACAGAACTTCAATATCATTCCCTCAGTTTGTAAGACATGAGAAATTGGTAATCCTCTCATTATATAGTTGTATTGGAATATAATTTTAGTTGACATTTCAAAAAATTCATCTCCCACCTGATCCATAACACCAAAAGTTAGCCTCAGTGGTTTTGCCCTCAACTCAAAGGTGGATCCTGAATAAGTATATAATGTTAGTAATTACATAAACAACAATAAAGTCTAATACTTCTGTGGACAGATTTCATATCCAGCATAACATCATCCTTCTTAACTTTGACAACTTGATTTTTTAAGGAATACTTATTACATAAAATGTAAGCATTTGATATTAATGAGCCGTTAAATTGAAATTGATATTTACTTCTTCTTCATTTGATTTAGCTTTTGCACTGTTTTGATTGGAATTAGTTGTTGATGTGCTTTCGAGCTTTTCACTGGAAGAGTTGGCCAATCTCGGTCACTTTTTTACAAAAAAAGATGATAATTAATTCATTTTCTATTTGAAACTTCAAACTTATAACATGCAACCAAATACAGTGATTAAATTGTAATGAATTTCACCTTGCCCCAAATATAATGATTCCTGAATTATTGGATTTTCCAATAGCAAAGTCGCTCTGAGTAGAAGGTTTTCTCGCATGCAAATTTGATCATCGTGTGATTAAATGTCATATTCATTTTCAAATTATTTGATTAATAATGACAAAGTAATAAAGATGTTTCCTTACTGTTGTATGAAACGACACGTAATAATGTAATGACCAGGATGAGAGGGCAGTTACGTGGATTTGCAAGGATGATATTTACTTGGGTGACTATCGTTCCAAAGAGATTATCTTGACAACCAATCCCCAACACCCTTTTGCGATTAGTGTTAAAGTTATACATGCTATTTTAAAATTGAAAAGGGAACTAAATACTTGGGAAGTTTTAGTTGGAGCCTCCTTGTAGGTAATTTTTCCAGTGAGTGTTAGATGTCAATAAATCTGCATACTGAATAAGCTGATCAACAACATCTGTGGAATTGAAATTTTAAAAATTTAATCAATGTTTTTGGCTGTATACACATTCGATTGAAGAAAACTTGAATTGAGAATAGTAATTCGAACCTGAACGAAATTTTCTTTGCTTGCACTTCTTATTAAATGAAATTAGACCTGCAAATTGGTATGGTTGGAATATCATTGCATGCTTTAGCTTTTGTATTTGATTCAAACCTGATAACCAATTTGTTTAGAATTGGCCTATAACCTCTCGTTGTCATACTGGCCATAAAGTCATGATAGTATGTAAACTCTGAAGTCATGTAACAGGGGACGAAATTCCTTGATTTTTTCTTTGAGAATTTGCACCCAAATATCATTATCTTGAAGAAAAAAGTATGAATATTAAAAAAAATTCAAAAATCAAATCATAGAGTCGAATTCGCGTGGTTGTTGTTAGTTTACACTTTAAGTCATTAACTATCATATCGAGCGAAATAATAATACATGTCTTGGAATTGATTGCCAGCCACTTCCTCGAAACCTTATGAAGAATCCAAAATTTTAGTATTTTGACTAAGAAAATAGTTACAAAATTACGAGTGATAATAGACAAATGACTAATATTTTAATGTGTTACAGAATATTTGACTAATATTTTGTAATAATTTGGAAAGTTTGAAAGGTTAGTCTAATAGATTTTATTTACCCTAAAACTAAGGTAAATATAAAAGCAAAGATTGAAAAATTGTAGCACTTAAATACAATTTAATCCTCCCGCACCATGAATATACGTGAACTGGAAAATATTAATTTCTACTACCAATACATAATAACCTGTTAGCTTTTTAAACCATTCATGATTTAATTTTGTATTTTAAAAAATGATAAATTAAATATATGCCAAAACTATCAAGAATATCACTCTATATGTATCAAAACATTATTCACGATTTAGATATACATTTGCTTTTGAATGGTGTTCTTTGTCAAGACCGTTTAGTATCAGTAACTCGAGTTGTTGGGAAAGATTTAATAATAGATTTTATTGTATTTAGTATTAACTAATTACTAACACTTACCTGCTAACCAAAACCAACTTATACATGCTTAAATTTCCGTAAATTTGAATATCATGTGCTAAAAAAATCGGAGCGCCAAGATTCGAACACATTATCTCTCGGTCAACAATTATCAATTAGAAGTGCTCTAAATTTTATTCTCTATTAACTATTATACTAATTTACTTATTTTTCGTCCTATGGAGCAACACATTACACTCTCTCTATCCCTTGTTATAATAAAAATATTTTTTACAAATTAGCTATGATTTGGTGAAAATTTGTTGTAGTATTGAATAAATACATCTTTAATTTTGAGCGGATCATATGCACCATTTTTATTTTACTTAGCCCCTGTTAGTACGAAGGCAATTGCAACTGGATAGTGAGTAGGAAAAATAAATTAAATTTAGTAAGACATCAACAACATTTGAATAAGGACTTGTTGGTGAAAGTAAAAGAAGAACGACAATGGCACTCAGTCATCATAGAATACATGCAATAGTTCATTAGCTAACAGATAATCAATCGAAAAAGGATGGATGTGTTGGGTGGGAGTAGCATGATATCTACAATACATGGATTATATAGTATTCGGGTGAGAGTCAATTATTGTGTATGATTATGTATCCCGCCTTTTTAGCACTATTGTCCGTAGCAATTATTGTTACTTAATTGTAAAGTTATGATAGGTGTAGCATGAATACAATTGCAAGGTAATATAATTTTTTTGGTATTCCTATTAAATTCAACCACTATTTGTGTGTTGTATATATATTGGAATGAACTCATGAGTTCAGCTTTGGATTTGTAACTTTGTTTGGGTAATATGAATTAGTGTATTATATATGTCTTGTATATTATAGCGTATGAACGATTTTATCAACGGTTAACCAACAATTCTATATTAGTTAACCATTCAAGCACGAACCACTAACTTTTCCGGTTCGCCATCTGATCCGATTATGAAAATGGTGGTTTTCTCGCAACCTGCACTTTGCAAGTGTCTCGTTTAATGGATTAACCTAAAATGCATGGACATGGTGGATGGTAGCCCATATACTGACTAATTATTAGTTAGCAAGCTGGAAATAAGTACCCAAGCCCATATAAATTAAACTATTCGTCCTTTAAGTGATTAGACCTTAATTTAATAAGTGAAATTGAAATGACAAAAGCCCCCTTCCGTGGTATGCGCTGGAGCCGGGAAAATTAAGATTAAGAGGATGACGGAGGAGAACCTCCATAATATATTGTTTAGATTTAGATTTAGATTTCAGGAAACAGAGACGAGACGAGTAATCGATAGATAGAAAGAATGGCAAAATTGGCGTTCCTATATCACCAAAACCTAATCTCGTTCGTTCAACCAAATATACATGCCAAGAATCAGGGAAACCACAGGAAGAGGAGTTGCGAGGAAATGGAAAGAAACGAGCAGCAGGAATCGAATTCCAGGAGCCGATTCGATGATGACACAAACAAAAGCATTCGGATAGCACAAGTTTATACGAACGAACAGTACAAGAGGATTCTCGTTCTTCAATCACGTAATAAAATCCAGAAGCTAAGCAGAGACACCAAAAAAACGGAGCAGAAACTGAAATCAACGACGAATGCAAAAACAACGGAACTCGGAAATCAAACTACAAGACTCAACACAAGGAAATCGACGATGACCTATATAACAACGGGATCTCGCTAACGATCACGAACAAAGGTTGACGGCCAGGAGGAAACCGGAAAACAGAGCAGAAACCGGATTCTAAGAAGAATGAGAAACGGAAATCTCACTGGAGAAAGCGAAGCTCGTAGATCTCACCTTGAAACTTCTGGTGAAGGAAGATTGATCGTTCGATCGATCGATCGGACGTGGAAATGACGATGAACTCTGGATTTCAGCAGCAACGAAAAGCAAGAAATGAGATAAAATGGAGAAAGAAAGAGTGAAGACTAATAGCGGTTTGTTAGGGTTTTTCCCTCCACTGCCCCTACCCCTAGGCACTAGCCCCTACCCGCTGCAAGCAAAATTCAAAAAAATTAGTTATTCCGAAAAAGGTTAGCTGAGCCCGAGCCCAATCCCAAGCCCAGTTAAGTTATACCAGAAAAGGGGAAAGAAAAGAGAAAATTTGACGTCTGATATAATTATTCAGTTCTACAGGAAGGCCGAGAAGGCGAAAACCCAGCCATAGGAGCGAAATGGGCGAATCTATGCCCAGATGACCACACTGCGCAATTGTGGCACTATACAACTGCCGCGCCAAGCATTTCCTCCGCGTCACTCCATTACCCTTCTTCGGCACTTGGCACTCCCCGTCGCCGGAAGCTTCACGCCACGTCTGGTATCTGTTCGCCGCCGATCGGGTCGCCGACCGATTCTCTTCGTCGAAACGGACGTGCCGGAGTCGGTATCCATGACGGACTCCAATTCCATTCCCAGGTCCAATATCGTGCTTCTTCTCATTCCTCTCTCTCACACCCCCATTTTCGCTCTTTTTTTTTTTGTTCGAATCTGAGGTGATTTTTTTTTGTTTTTGTTAATGGCCAGCTCTGCTCATCCGGCTTATACGGAGATCGTCGTCGTTCGTCACGGCGAGACGGAGTGGAATGCTGATAAAAGGATTCAGGTTAGCTTTTCTTTCTAGCACTCGTGTAGTCGATAAGTCTTGTAGCGATCATGTGTTGGGGTCGAGTATTGGAGCTGCTAGAAATTTTGATGTAATTGATCGCTAGTTGGTGGTTGATCGTAGAGGTTCTGGCAAAGTTTCTTACTTTTTGATGTTCAGAATAACCAGCGTACTTGTACAAATACAGTGTTCTTGGATGGAAATTGACCCTCTGTAGTCTGTTTCAATTGTGTCCCCTCGGCCTTGTTGTCTTATGGGGGGACCTAATGGAGTCTTACTCTTGCACACACTACAGGGACATGTCGATGTTGACCTGAATGAAGTTGGGAGACAACAAGCTGCTTTGGTAATGTTTGTGTCCTAATCTATTGCTTATCCTTTTTGGTGCTTATGAGAGAGGCATAATACCCACTTGACGAATGGAAGTTTTTTGTTTGTTGTTTAAGGTGGCTGATCGACTATCCAGAGAGTGTAAGGTTTCTGCGGTATATTCATCCGACTTGAAACGAGCTTTTGACACGGCGCAAGCAATTGCTGATAGATGCGGTGGTATTGAGGTATGAATGCTGCCACAGCTTTCTTCAACTTGGGCTTCTTAAGGCAACAATCAGAAGGATATGTTTGCTCTGTGCTGATTGCTGAATTATCTATACTCAGTTATCCTCTTGATATCGATGAGATTCTGTGTTGGCTTCTATTCATTTCTCATATGGTACACCTAGTTTTGCTGATTCCCTAAAGCTTCCAGGTCATCAAGGAACCAGGGCTACGAGAAAGGCATTTAGGGGATCTACAAGGCCTTTCGTTAAGTGAAGCTGCCAAAGCTTCTCCGGAAGCATATGAGGCATTTTTATCCCACAAAACCAGCCAAGAAATCCCTGTATGCCTCATGTCCATTACTATGTTCAGAGTTTTTTTTTCTTTTTTTCCTATCCCTTTACTGGATAGTTGTATATTGGAATGTCCTGTAAGCTTGAACCTGCCTGAGTTCACATTGCTATGGTTCGAGTTTGAAACTAACACCTTCGCTTATGTAGATAGGTTAATTGCACAGAATTCTGTAGCAGTCCCCAAGGATGCCTGTCTTGTAGTGTGAATCAAGTCATTTTGACCTGTAGAATTACTTTCTGTTGACACTTAAACAGTAATATATAATCATGTGTTCACGGAACAAGTAGGATCTAGAGTTGATTAGTATGTAAAGCGTGCGAGATACAGCTTAATAAATTTGTTTTCTGCCAATGATCTCCTGTGATGCATTTTCCTGCATACACAGGGCGGTGGTGAAAGTCTTGATAAACTATATGAGCGTTCCACATCTTCATTTCAAAGAATTGCAGCAAAGCACAGAGGTAAACTGCCGATCATTACTACTCTCTAATAGATTTATGCTTTCTTATCTTCATAATATATGTGGATGCAATGACTTCCTCAGTTCCGGATGTATATTGACACTTAATTGTTAGCACAAGAAGCTAGAAAGCCCGACATAGAAAGCTCACGAGTACTTGCAAAGTAGTACACTTGAGTAGCAGACGTTGGTACAAGAAGTAACGCATGAAAATAACAGAGAATTAGTACTTTTGACTTTTGAGTAGTCTATTTTTTGCCTGTTAAATTCCTGGTCCTAGGAGGAAACCTCTACCATCAACTTCAATGATCCTTGTCCAGCTATCACTTTAATATCGCGCTAACCATGTGTTTAACTTGCAGGTGAGCGAGTGGTTGTGGTGAGTCACGGAGGCACCATCAGATCGCTACACAAGCGAGCTTGCCCTAGCGGGAGGCCTGCAAAGATACTCAATACTTCTGTCCACATCTTTCACATATCCGATGGAGACGAGTGGACCATAAAATCTTGGGGTGATGTTAGCCATCTCAACCTAAAGGGATTCCTGGAGTCCGGTTTTGGTGGCGACAGGACCTCTGGTTAGCTGTACTTGGAACCAACCCTCCTCCTAGCAAGGAAGTAACTTGTCACAAACGGAGTCCTGTTGTTTTCTTTGCTTCATACTACAATGGACAGCAACCCTCTGATGTAATGAAAGAGATTTTACAGTTGTACCGAGACTTACTGTTGTTTCATGGATTATAGCTGGCTGGTATCTGCAATTGCAAGTAATCCACTTTTTTAAGCTGTATTATTAGCTCCTCAAAACCTTGCAGTTACATAACTTACCTTGACGGGAAGCTGTCACCATGAAGCAATGCCAATACATGAGGAGGAAGCGTGGCCTGGCACCAACAACAACAACAACTCCTAAACATTTCAAGAACACATGACATGATGATGTACTTTGAAACATGCGCCACAGGCATAAATACGCGCTGAATTCTGACGAAACAACGAGTCGTCTGAAATGATGCAATCTCTCGTATAATTTCATAGGCTTATTAATCATCACCCCTTGATTTTGTGACAACGTTTTGATACTACGACCGTATGATTGACCTAATCATTCTTATTCGTGCTCGAATTGCATGATCAAATTGATGATTGAAGTTGCTGGATATGCACATCATCATCATGCATGTGACAGGCAGCCTTGCCTCGAGAAGTCGTATTATCTATAGCAAGTTTTTGACAGCATTTGTTTATCCAAGAATGATTAATGAAAATTCCTTTTGTGCCCTGCCCGCCTGTCCTAGTTGGAACTGGAAGAAGGCTACGTTTCTTCTGACCATTGGGCTGTCAATTTGTCATCCATCCCCATATCCAGATTCTCTAGTGCTGTATGTTTTCTTTATTATTAGTTAGTAATATATAATTTTGGGAACTAGAAGAAAATTTAGTTTATTGCAATTTGCAAACAACCCATCACAGGCAGGAAGATCAGGGCAATTTTTTCTTGTCTCATTCAAACTGTATATGAACTCCAATTCCCAACCAAATCCTCAGTTTCCAAGAATCCCCCCATTACATAGAAATCGTAATTGTGGGGATCTTCATGGAATTACCATGGTGTCCTCATGCATTTAATATCACTATTTGGTTGCGTTTTCAGCTGCTAGATGAACAGTGCATGCTGTTTGTGAAAACTGTGAACAGTGACCGGAAGGTGCGTATACATCAATGGTGTGGGGCTTGCCACCATTGCCAATTTGTGGCAATGCCTGGTTCTGATTATTTATTAGTTATTATTATCAGTGGGGAAAATGGGGATGGGGTTAGTTTATTAGTTAGTTGTCACAGACCAAATGGGACAACTTTACTTTCGTTGTTGCTGCTGCTGCGGCTAGTCATGTTGTGTTCTTCTTAGTCCGTTGAGCTTTCCCTTCCTAATTTCTTTCCCATTTCTTTTTTCCACACACATAATAATAATATTATGGAATTTTGTTTCCTTCCACTGTGTGTCTTTTTTGACTTTGAAGAAAAACTAAACAAATAGGAAACAGAAATAATAGTTTGGTTCTGTGTGTCCACACCACATGTAGGGGTCGTTTGGATGCAGGATTTTAATATGAGGGATTTGAGATCCAAGTCTCTCAATTAAAAATCCAGGTATTTAGTTTGTGGGATTTAACCCAAATAATATGTTTGGCAAGGGATCAAGGTTTTTTTAAAAATATTAAAATTACCTAACTACCCATATTTATTTCTTTCCTTTGTCAATCTTCTTCCCCTAATCTGCCATTCCCCTGCGTCCTCGCCCCTCCCCTATGTTCTCACCATTGTGCAGCGTCCCCACCAATATCAGCAGTTGCCAAGGAAGTCAGTCTGGGTGACAATTGGAGAGCATCAATAAATCGACTTCCAGCTTTTCCTATGAGCGGATCTGAGGAGAAACAGACTAATCAACTTCTAGGTAGCTGGGAATAGATAGGGAGATGGCGATAGAAGGAAGAACGTGAGGAATCGGCGTCTGGCTTCGATCTCGCAAACCTAGATTTACCAACTCTGCAGGAAACTCCGGCTCCGATCTCCGGCTTAACGAATCGATTTGTGGGTAGCTGGGAAATAGACGAGGAGATGGCGACTGACGGGAGGACAAGACGAATTGACTTCAGGCTTCGATATCGTAAACCCCAAATTCACCAGCTATGCAGAAAACTCGGCTCCTATCTCCAGCTTGACATTTAGAAAACGAGACGGCTACAAAAGCGGAAGACTGAAAGTTGAGAAGGTGATGGCGGCAAGGAAATGGGTTATATCTGAGAGACTGAGACGACGACTGGCGTTGGAGCTGATCTGAGACAAGGAATAAGCCCGAAGGGATGAGGGTAGACTTTGGAAAAATGCAATAAAAAAACAAGAGATTGTGAAATAGCTGATCCCCATTAGCTATTTTAAAAACCTACATTTGAGAAATTTAGAAATTCCTGATGCTCACAATCTCTCATCTTACCAAACGCATGATTGTATTAAAATCCTGCATAATGAGGGATTGTTTTAAAATCCCTCATAAATCTCTCAATACAAACCTGCATCCAAACAACCCCATAATCAGGGCCGGCCCATGATATTCGGAGGCCCTGTTCGAAAATTAAAAATGTGGCCCAAAAAATTTTCTCCACAAATTTATTAAAAATAAAAATTATTAAATAATAATAAAAAATACATCAATCACAAAATGATTAGATTCCACTTTTTCTTACGCTTAAATCTACCTGATTCTTATTTTCTAGTTTCACAATTAAAAATGCTTACCAATCAAAATTTCCAATCAAAAGTTCTCTAAAAAAACAAAATGTTTTGAAACTAAAACAGGCCCAACCAATGAAAAAAATATTAGGAATTAAAATAGGCCCAGCCGATTTTCAAGTGATCATTCGGCCCAATTTTCCATGACCCCAGGCCCAGAAAAACCCTTCGGTCTCTCTTTTCCAATTTCCATTTCTTTTCATACATATATATATATATAATTCTATGGGCTTGGCTTATGAGGCCCCAAAATTCATGAGGCCCTGTGCTGTGGGTCAGACCAGCACAGGGTCTGGGCCGGGCCTGCCCATAATGATTTCCATCCCACTTAGGTGGTCAGGTCAAATTCCCTGTTATTAGTCACATAAAAAAATGCGAACTTAATAACTTGTTAAAGAAGAGAAGGGGGTGATTGACCACTAACAATATGAGGACTAGCTTTAGGACAGTTTTACACATATGTGTAAATATATTCGGGATATGCTACCGGTTTGTACGAGAAAACTATTAGTTTATGATGTCCCATTTCAATACTTTTTAGTTAAATACCCGAACATAAATAAAACAGAAATTTTGTAGGATGTGTCGAATATCTCCTCGTCTCTTCCTCGATAGTGAATTTACAAAGTCATGCACTTTCATGACTAAGAATTCAGAGGGTTGTGAGCCTAATCGAACAAGCATCAAACAATCAAAGCGAACACAAAAATATTGTAACAAATCAGCAACAAGTTCGACGACATAAGCATAACCATTCCTTCTACAGCTACAGTTGTTGATGGTAGAGTTTCTAATTCCTCTCTCACTCCAAGGTTTGGGATTCCAGTCCCCATATTTGAAGAAAGAATAGAAAACATATAAATGGGGTAAAGAGGCAGATTGAAGCATCTAAGGTAAAGTTTCAATTGGCAGCCTAAAGGAGTAAAGAGAGAATGGACAAAAAAGAGAGATCTCGAAAGGCTTTTTGATTCCTTCCATGGCCACCCAAGGCAAAATACCAACTCCACCACTTTTGATTTGGCTCCTAACATAGAACAGGAATTCATTGAAAACCAAAAAGAAGATGATTACATTAGCAATATCAACAATCATCATTTGCCATCTTTTCCTTTTCAAGAAAGTCAAACTACCTATAGTAAGTAATTGGACAGGTAAAAAAATCAGATTGAGGCACGGATTGAGTCTTTTCAGTTTTCACACAGGTTGGGTTGGCCGAATAGAAAGTTTTGACTTTTGAGTAACTATCCACAGTTACAATTGTGAATGATTAGAGGTGTGGAACAACCGTTTTTTTTAGTGATTTCGGGTGAGTATTTCGGCAATGGGCTCCTTCTAGCCACCGTTTGTAACTTCCTCTCTATTTGTAAAAGATTAATCCATTTGTGGTGGTATAAAATGCTTTCATTTATATAAATTTGGCAAGACAGCTAAACCAAAACCCGACTAGCTACGAGGGTTGTTAGCATCGGTACGATTCTTAATGAAGATGATTTCGTATGAATGTAACTAATATTGAGAACAATAAGCTAATCATTGACTTATCAAGATTCAAGATACATACCAACAATACCTTGGTAAGCAAAATCCCCAAGCAATATGTGATGGATTGGTTTCTGAGCTTTCTGTAGAATTTCTTGTTTCTTGTTTGTAAGAGGTTTAATCATTCGTGTCATTTGAATTGGGTTTTTTTTTCAATTTTTGATTGTGTGGTTGCAATGTCCAGTATAGTAAAAAAAATATTAAAAAAAATGTACAATTCGAATATATTCGTGGTGTACATAGTTGGTCAAGGATAAAATGAATGAATGACAAACTTTCATTTTGTGAATATTTTCATTCCATTTCGATTCATCTCACATATACACAATAACACAAACAAGGGCAGAAATTGAGTGGGGAGCCCAATTATGAAGTTAGGATGGGCATATTGGCATTGATAGCACAATGCATGTGAGTGGGCAGCAGGATAATCAATGTGGTGCTACTTTGCTTCTGGTTTTGCAGGGAAAGGATGATTTTAGCCTACAGTTTCATCCCCACCCAGCTGGCTGTTTGATCGGTGTATTTAAAAAAAACCGTTATTTTTTATATCTGTAAGACGATATGTATCGACATATAGTTAATGGTCATTAAGAAAAAGATGGATCTCTATAGTTCTCAACCATCTTTTATATAGGAATAGAGTGAGTAACCTAATGTGTGACATAATTTTGTTCCATATAAACATGTCACGCATACGACCACGTTTTGTTAAGCACATCATGAGTTTGGTAGAGGAGAGTCGCCTACCCACCCACCATCATACATTCATCCTGGTGCTTAATTTGAACACAATTCCTTCAAGTCCATTTAGTTGCTCCTGATTTTCGAACATTGCAGCAAACTTATCCTTGTAATACCAAATTAAAGATTAAAAGTGCGATTTTCTTGCAACCTCCTACTTACTAAAAAAAAATTCTTCAAATATTACGATACTACTAAAAATTTTCAATTTATCCAAATTTGAACAACATCGCTATTAACTCCAACAATTTAGTGGTAGAATCATTGTTGTCCACAATGATTTTTAGGAAAATAGTTGTCATTCCAAGCGATTTTGCCATCGCATTAACTTCATGCAAAACTTTTCAATGTTAGATTTTAATCTTCAGGTGTTTTCTGTTGTGATGAACTATCACAATTTGATACCTATACCACCATTCCTTAGGAACTCTTCCTTGTTGACTTGCTTTTTTTTTTTTATGTTTTATTATGTCAATTTATTTGTGTCGTTATTCATGCCATGGGTTGGAGTTATAATGCGAACCATTAGTTTCAAGGTCCACCAATGGCAGCATATGATTCTCTAGCTCAATTTTATTCTCTAGAAAAAGAAATGGAAGTTGTTTTTACAAACGAATATGGAATAAATACTTCCAAGAAAAGAAGAAGAAGAATATGGAATAAAGGTGCATTTTCATTTTTCTCCGGCAATCCGTAGGGTTCATTCGTTTTAGACAAAAATGCTCACTTTTTTTTTTAAAGTGCGGCCACGGAATATTATTAATTCCATACATTAAATCTCCCAAATAATGTGCTTGCTCTTATAAAATAATTGATTTCACCAAATAACCCCAATTTCTCCTTGAATTGTATGCATGGGAACTATTACCATTATCTTTCATTAATAACCAACTGGAGTTTGGAAAACCATGTCAATAAAAATAGTGTTCAACGACCAAGCATAAAATTAGCAACATAAATACAATGGAAACAAATCTGGGAGTAATACTCTCTCGACGAGCTATATAACTTGTACACTTATTGCCCTCTCTATTAATATATGTAACAAAATGATCTCCAATATCGCTACCTTGTAACTCATGGAATCAATGGATGATAGATGCATGTATGTGGTCGATCCAATCATTGATATCTAGCTATTGTGCTGCACGTTGCAATCCTTCTACAACGTCTGCTCGACTCTTCTCGAGTAATTATATAATGCATACTCCCATTTCGATGTGAATGTCTCAAAGGGAGTAACGCCCTGTATATGATCTCGAAGTGGCTTGTTGTTCCAATACGGCCTGTATTAGGGTCAATGAAGGTGTTCGATGAGAGTGACACACCTTGGAGGATACATGGTTTAGAGATATGATATGTCGTTTTTAGAGGCATATTTGATTTGATGATGAATAAAATTGTCCTTGTTAATGGCATCTCTGACAATGCTTGAGCGCACTATAGAAACACATGAAGTTGAAAATATCATCTACAAAAGACACGATCATTCCTGGTGATCCAAAGAGACTAGCACGGTGATGCTAAAGTGGATGCATGTTTGTTATTCTAAGAGGTAGCTATTGAAAACTTTCCTTTCCTAGACCAATGTCAAACTTGAAAAAAATATTCTCTAACGTCTAAATCAAATATATATGATTTCCTTGTGCTCTTGGTCTCGTGATTGCAGGAAAATTTTGTGATAGTATGAATAGTTTATTTAAAAGGGTTAATATTTTCGTATGGCCTGAACTTTGATCAAAATAAACATCTTGGCCAATCTTTTTGATCTATAACATTCTGGCCCGAACTATACACCAAAATAAACAATTTGGCCAGATCCGACTTTTGACCGTTAACTTGGACGGTCAAACGCGTTGACCGTTAGTCAAAGCGCCATGTCACTGCCAAGTCAACATAAAATATTTAAAATAATTCACAATTTCCACACATTTCCTAATTTTAAATTATTATAAATTAAAAAATCATCTAATACCTCAGTTAAACAAAAAATAAAAAATTAAAAAATTAAATATTTATTAGATCTTATGACTTGGTAGTGACGTGACGAGTTGACCGTTAGTCAATACGTTTGACCGTCCAAGTTAACGGTCAAACATCGAGTTTGGCCAAATTGTTTATTTTGGTGTATAGTTCGGGCCAGGATGTTATAGATCGAAAAGATTGGCCAGGATGTTTATTTTGGTCAAAGTTCAGGCCATACAAAAATATTAACCCTATTTAAAACGAGAGCAAGACTATCATAAGAAGAAGAAGAGAGGAGAAGAATAAAATGAGTGTGGTCGAGAGATTGTAGGAAAGCTGTGTGTGAAAAAGACCAAACATCTCTAGGTTGTAAATATGGTGAAAGTGGGGAGGTTTTGGTGAGGTTGATTGAGAGTTTGATTCTTGTGATATCTTCTAAACTTGAATGGAGTGAGTTCGAGTTAGGGTAGAAGAGAGGTTAGAAACTTTATATTTTATGCCATAGTTAAGGGTTTGATTCTCAACCAAAGAGAAACCCTTTGTATTGGATTGGAATAAGATCAATCTAAAACGCAGATCTCAAGGGAAAGTCTCCTTTGAGCGTGGGAGTAAAACATTGCACCACGACCGAACTTCGGGGTCGTTTGGAAGTTGCGATTGTTAAATAGATGTATTGTTGAGAATGCATGTATAATATTATACATGTATTGTCGAATTTGATGCATTGTAGAATACAACGTTTGGTATGTGTGATTGTGTATGTCGCATCAGCTAAAAGCTGAGACAAAACAATCTCAACTCAACTATCTCAACAATCACAACTAAAAGTTGAGATATAACAATCACTCAAAATGAGTGATAGTTTCTGTCACATCACAGAAACAATTCATGTATTGTTTCTGCTAAAAAAAAACAAAAAAACGATACATTCTAAACAATACATGCATAATGACAATCTCAACAAAACTATCGCAACTTCCAAACGACCCCTTCATTAACAAATCGTGTGATTTTGACTTTCGGGTTTTGAAGTTTGGTTTGTGGGTACGGACTACGGAGGACAAATGAATAGCCTTTTTTTTTCCCATAAGATTACTTGTATTATCAAGAGAAAAGGAGTTACACTAGAGTTACTTGGCTAACAACAGTCAAGAAGGAAAATCGAACCCTACCAAATTAGGGAACAAGTGGCTAAAAATGTAATTTCTTAATTTCATATGGTTTGAATAGTTTTAAATTTTGTGCTGTACAACGATCAACTATGTGGACAATTATATATTTGTTTGACTTGTTAAAGCAAGTGATGTTATAAAAAAAACCATTTTCATATATCACCAACATGTAGAGCTTTTTTTAAAATATAAAAACCTCTGCTATAAACATGTATCATACTTCAAATTATAGTATCCGAGTTTTTTTTTTTTTGACAAAAGATAATCATATATTGATACCAAAATATAGATAGTTACACCCTGGATCGAAGCCAGGTCCGAAAATCAAAAGAACGACTCATAGTCGGCTACAAAGAGAGGGCTTTCCTAGCCACCAAATGGGCTACCCTATTACTACTCCGACCTATAAATCGCACCTATCCGAGTTAACGTCACGTATAAAATAATAATTTATTTAATCTTCAAACTATTAAATTGAAAAGGAAACCAATGAATAATGCTCGTGAGGCGTGACGCAGTGTAAGCAATTTTATCTCCTCCATTAAATTGCTTTCCAGTTTCATGTGAACAACGGGGAGCCAGAGCCTATATTAGCAGCCGTTTTTGCGGCCATTGTTATGATTATTATTCCTTTTGTTTCCTTTCATAATTTTTATTTTAAAGTTTGCTTTTATGTGTATAGTAAAACTAATTTTATTATACACACAAATAAAAACTAATTTTAGTTCCGTTTTCATGCAAAAAAAAAAACTAATTTTAGCCGCCTTAAGTCAGATGTATTTATAAAAAGATTGGGGTCCAATACAAAAATCCCGGGATGCAAAATTTTCGGTAGCATAATCGTATCACTATGTCGTAATATGATGATACAACAGGATTTTGCAGGCTAAAAGTTTATATCCTATGCACTCCCTTATAAAAGACAATTTAATTTAGTGCATTTGTACGATAAATTATGTTAGTATATATATTTTTTGTATGCTTTCTCGGTTTCTGGTCAATGGTCATTTGAGAGTTTAGCTTTCCTTTTTTTTTCTTCTTTCAATTTGGCTCGCCAAATGCCAAACTCTCAAATGTTGGTGTTTGCATTAAAGGATAAGGTATTAATGGAGAGACAAGCAATTAGAACTTTCACCTAACTCATCCAAATGGGATAATTTCATTTTTCATACAAGTCAAGAAAGTGAAATATGGGGATGGGTAAGTGGAGAATATGACAAGGAACTGAAGAAGAATTGAGGATTGCTTTATTTCGAAGAATTTTAAATTCATCTAGGATCAAATTTGAAGCTAATTTCTACGGTCCAATTCTTATATCCTTTTTGCTCTTCCAAATATAGATTTTTAACCAAACTACTACATTATGTGATAATTCGATCTAATTACTGCGTTACATTTCCACACCCCAAACGACTTTCGGTACTTATAATTGGGTCAATGTACTACGGTGGGTTAGAAAAAAGCATGGAATCAGTTTATTCTTCCACCGCGCAATTAAGGGGAAACAAAATCATACAAACAGTAAAAAAACTTTTACTAACGTAATAACTAATTAAGCAATATTTACGTCAGCTCTAGCTCACTCACACAGTTCTTATCTAACCAAAAAAGGAAAAGCAAGTATTGCAAGCTCACTGGGCTCGCCGATCCCACGTCTACGATCCTGCCACGTGTACCCACCACCATCCCCACCGTCCACCTAGCCCTCCGACTGTTACTAATTAGTTAATAATAATCATTATCACATAATTACCACCACGTCATTTGCGTAATATTTTCATTTTAAATTAACTAATTAACTGCCCTTTCTTTCCCGTTTCGAGTTCTTCCCAAAAAAGCGAAACTCGCCGTCGTTTCCTTTTTATCGCCATCTGCCCGATCCCTCTTTCTCTCTCTGCTTCTTCTTCTTCCTCCAATTCTCTTTCGCCAAACCCCAGCAAAATATTTTAATTTAATTGAATTTTATATATATTGTAATAAATAAAAAGCAACCCAGCGAAAGAAGCCAAAACGCGAAAGAGAGAGAGAGAGAGAGAGAGGGAAGAGTAAAGCAGAAAAGAAAGATAGAAGAAGAGGAAGAGCGAGTTTGCTCGTTCTCCGTTTCCTCGGAATTGCGCGATTCCGTTGTTTCCCCTTTCCCCGATTTCGATTTCGATTTCAATTTTCGAATTTCTCCTTCTTCCGGGTCTGAAAATGGAGCACTTTCTCTTCCCTTCTTCTCTAGCTCTGTGAAAAAAAGAAGAAGCGTGCCTGTAGTTCGGGAGGAATCAGGGAGGGAGAGAATTGGATTCCTCCATCCTTCCTTCCTCTTGTTTTTTTCTCGAGTTCGGTTTTCTGCTGTTTGTTGAAGAGTTAGTTTGTGGTCTCGAACCATGGGGCTCTGCACCTCCAAACCCTCCACGGACCGGAGCATCCACGTCTCGTACCCGCAACCCGACCCGCCGGTCGTCGACGGCGGCGGAGGGGAGAGGCCGGAAGCGTCGAGCGCCGACGAGAGCTTGACCTCCGACGATCAGAGGACGAAGGAGAGGGCGGAGCTGGAGAATGTCAAGAAGTCGCCCTTCTTCCCCTTCTACAGTCCCAGTCCAGCGCACTACTTCTTCTCGAAGAAGTCTCCGGCGAGATCTCCGGCTCCGAGTGGTCCCGCTGGCGGCAACGGCACGCCGAAGAGGTTCTTCAAGCGGCCGTTCCCCCCGCCGTCTCCGGCGAAGCACATACGAGCTGTTCTGGCGAGGAGGCATGGCTCCGTGAAGCCCAACGAGGCGTCGATTCCCGAAGGGAGTGAGGTGGAAGGGATGGCTGGGCTTGACAAGAGCTTCGGATTCTCTAAGCATTTCGGGAACAAGTACGAGCTGGGGGATGAGGTCGGGAGAGGCCATTTCGGTTACACTTGCGCCGCTAAATTCAAGAAGGGCGAGCTCAAAGGACAGCAGGTTGCCGTCAAGGTCATCCCGAAAGTGAAGGTATAAATAATTGGGCCGATCTTGGATTTCCCCGCAGCAAATTTGACCCTTCCAATCCTTATTTTTGGCTTTTGCTGTAGTCAACGAGGAGTGGTTTTTGGCGTTTTGGACTCTAGATCTGCAGGTCTTGTAGAGTTTTCCTGCACTTAATTGGTCCATTCACTTAGAAGAGTAATCTAAGTCTGGGTTCTCATGGCTTTCTGGGGAAATTGCCGGAAGAGATATGGGAATTGCTCGGTGAATTTTTTTGGTTCAGAATTGAACTATGCAGACTGGGTTTTTGGTAGGTTAGCACTCCTACAGTACAGTTACAAGGAAGCAGAAACCACCATTTTTGGTTTCCTCACCCTCAATGTTCAAGTTTCTGAAAGAGATTGTGTGAAAAAGGCGGTTGATCTTCCATCTCTGGTTTTGAGGCTCCCTTGTTCCAACTTCATGTTGCATGGAGACCGATTCATCTTCTGTCGGCAAATTTGAGTAATTGGGGATGCTAGCGCATTTCTGCCACTTCTTTTGATCTGCTGAAGAATCTACTGTTCATCTCTACTGCTGCACTTTATTCTGTTGTCACTCATGAAAGATTTATTCTTCTGATGTGCCCATGTGCTGCTATATTCTACCATGCTCTGACACCAATTTTTGGATGTGCCATTTTTCCTTGCTTGACTGGAATTGTACTGCTATCCCTCCCTGGCTACTCCATACTTCATTTGCTGATAGCTTTCTTTTCCCTTGTGTTTTGTCAGATGACCACAGCAATTGCAATTGAAGATGTGAGAAGGGAGGTCAAAATATTACGAGCATTGACTGGACACAATAACCTAGTGCAATTCTATGATGCATACGAGGACAGTGATAATGTATACATTGTAATGGAGTAAGTGCTTATTTTAGCTTTGACTATGTTGTCATGTTTGCTGCAGATGGTTCTTTTCAGTTCTTTATGGTTTTCTTCTGACTGTGTATTGTGATTTCTTGTCCATCTTCCTTCAGGTTGTGTGAAGGAGGAGAGCTTTTGGACAGAATTCTTTCCAGGTATTTCCTCAATACAGTATTTATAGCTATTAAAATTGTCCTTTTAAGTCTCTTCTTAAGCCAGTTTTGTAGTTTGATTTTCATTATTGTTAAACTGAAGAAGGGAGCTTCACATAGAAGAGAGTTCTGTTGTCAAGTTCTAATCACTGATGCTCTTTTTATTTAGGGGAGGAAAATATTCAGAGGAGGACGCAAAGACAGTAATGATACAAATATTAAATGTTGTTGCATTTTGCCATCTACAGGGTGTGGTGCACCGGGATCTTAAACCCGAGGTGAATTATGTTCTCTCTTTGCTGTTTAACTTGTACAAGGTTATGGCCAATTGAATTCTCAATAGTCCTGATTCCGTCGCAAGACTCATCCTTGCTTGTGTCGGTTTATAAGTCTATTTTCATTCCTATCATGGGGTTTCGATAACACTCTGATATAGTAAGGATAGTTTCTTAGGGCAGACTGCACCAGAAATTGACTATCTGAAACTAGCTCTAGTCCCTATTTGCTTTCCTTTTCTGAAGGGATCACAGGAAATGAGCTTTGTCCACTGCGAAAAGAGAGACTATATAAATATATATATATATATTTTTTTTTATCTCACATGGCTCAGGTAGATGTGGCCTTCCCATGCTTCAGTTCAGCTTTAGAACACTTACTAGAATGTCTGTATGTGGGATGTTGCAACCTGATTGGTCCGGCAATAATTTTTCACTTTCATGGATTATGAACTCTCAATGATGTTTAATGAAATTTCTTATTGTTATGTTATGACGAGGATTTTACTTCAGTTTCCCTGCTCTATTCATTTTCTTGTATCTAAGTGTGGTTAATTGCTGGATCAGAATTTCCTCTTCACTTCCAAGGACGAGGACTCACAACTGAAGGCCATTGACTTTGGTTTGTCCGACTTTGTTAAGCCAGGTCTGTCGCTGAAAACACAAATATGAACTATATCCTGGTTGTTCTTTTCTTGCCCGTGGTTTAATTGGCCTCCCCATCTCATTGTGATGCAGATGAGAGATTGAATGACATTGTTGGCAGCGCTTATTATGTAGCACCTGAAGTTCTACATAGATCATACGGCACGGAGGCTGATGTCTGGAGTATAGGTGTGATAGCTTATATTCTATTATGTGGCAGCCGTCCGTTTTGGGCCCGGACCGAATCAGGAATATTTAGAGCTGTTCTAAAAGCCGATCCAAGCTTTGATGAAGCGCCTTGGCCATCCATGTCCCCTGAAGCACGGGACTTTGTTAAACGACTACTGAATAAAGATCCTCGAAAAAGAATTACTGCTGCCCAAGCCTTGAGTAAGTATAGTGACAAATGCCATCTGTAGTTGTTTTTCCATAACATTTTCCCTGTTTCTCATTGGCGTGACAAATATTTTCCTGTGCAGGTCATCCATGGATTAAAAGTTCCAATGATGTTATTAAAGTCCCCCTCGATATAATAGTATTCAAGCTCATGAAGGCTTACATGCGTTCGTCATCTCTTCGTAAAGCCGCTTTGAGGGTGCGCTATCTTGATAAAAGCATGAATATTCATCCTTTTATTGGTGGTTCAATTTCTAATGCATAGTTCTTCGTTGGTAATGATTTTTGCAGGCCTTATCTAAAACATTGACCGTAGATGAGCTATTCTTTTTGAAAGAGCAGTTTGCATTGTTGGAACCAAACAAGAATGGGACAATAAGCCTAGACAATATCAAATCGGTTAGTTTCCCTTTTTTTCAGATTGTTTGGAGAAAATCCTCTCCTCCACATGTTGATTTTCATAGAGTTTTTCTCTCTCTTGGGCAGGCGTTGATGAAACATGCGACAGATGCTATGAAGGAATCTCGGATCCCTGATTTCCTAGCATCGGTAGGTGGTTTGGTTGCTTGCTGTAGTATTGTTTTAAAGTTGTGGGGTGTCGTTTCACGGAACTCATCCTTTTGCTCACTGTTATTAATATGTCTGAGATTTCAGCTGAATGCGCTCCAGTACAGAAGGATGGACTTTGAAGAGTTCTGTGCAGCTGCATTAAGTGTCCATCAGCTTGAGGCTCTAGACCGGTGGGAGCAACACGCTCGTTGTGCCTATGAACTCTTCGATAAGGATGGGAACAGGGCCATTATGATCGAAGAACTTGCGTCGGTATGTTTCCTTCACCTCCCTGCTTGGCTTTGAGCTTTCCTTCGAACAAGTAACTCTAAACCCACTGACAATGTGCAGGAGCTTGGCCTCAGCCCATCCGTCCCTGTTCACGCGGTTCTGCACGATTGGCTTAGACACACCGACGGGAAGTTGAGCTTTCTGGGTTTTGTGAAGTTGTTGCATGGTGTGTCTAGCCGGACGTTTGCAAAAGCTCAATAGCAGCAGCATCAGTCACTGGAAGAAAAAAGGAATCCGACCCTCGAGTTACTCCATAGGCGTGGCGTCTTATTTTTCCATAAAACTCAGAACCTAGCTCTGGAGACATTGCTGGGCACACCGGGGATGAGATGTCTCACTGACTGGTAAATTTTCACTCTGCGATTCGGGAATCCGTTACATGTGTTCTTGTAGTCGACCTCTTTGCCACAGAAATTTGGGGTTTTGGAGGGTGGTGTTCTGGAAGTTGTCAATGTAAAGTTGTAGTTAAGAAAGTAAAAAAAGCAAAGGGGAAGTTTGTGTGTTAAGAATAGATGCAAGCCAGCCTGTGTGAGAGAGGCATTGGGCAAGAGGAAGGGAACCCTGAATTCACCTCATCAGCTTATCTCACCTTTGGCTCCCAACCCAATGTGTCCATTGATTGTCCATCATCATGATTTGTGAAGAGAGAGTTTTAATGTTCATCATTGCTTTGCTCTGCCGTTTTAACACTGTTCTAGTCAACAAAGTGTATTTGTCCTCAGATCCCTCTTGTCTCTCCCTCTGTTCTTTCCTCTTTTCTTTCTTTATCATTCTGACTGGATCTCGATGTGCAAAGCAAAGCCATCAAAATCCACCGTACTGGAATGGAAAATCCTTCCAAAAGCTGGAAAAAGGCTGCTTCGAGATTGCCCACTCGAAAAAGGGGTGGTGGGTTTACTTGTACGTTCCATGAAATCCCATTTAGGGCAATGCTCTTCTTCCTTCTCCATTGTGCTAATCCACCTATGTAGAGGAAACACTGCCTATAATAGAACAAAACAATTGAGAAAATCAGCAACTTTGGCCTTTCAGGGGATCATTGAAGATAATCCCAAATGCTAGTTTCAAAGGAACCAATTTTTTTTTTGGATTCTGGTTTAACAAATGTGATTGTGATCTTTCAGCAAACCGTTGTGTTATGGTATTAGAATATAATAGGAGTTTTGTACTTTGACAAGTGACATTGTTTCCTTTGTTAAAATTGTGATGAGACTGATGGTCCAGAAAATTAAATAAACAACATATGATTGGAATAACTAGTATTTTTAGAAATATATATTTCACTACTTAACGACTAACGTTTAGCCCTTGTGATTAGGGATGACAATTTGAACCCGCCTCGTTGGGTATTACCCGACCTAACCCGCGATGGGGCGGGTATTAGGGGTGGCTATACGGTCCGGTCCGGTTAAATTGGCTCAAATTGATCCGGTCCAGTCCGGGTTTTTTGAGAATATAAAGACCGAAGATTGGATTGGATACAGTCCGGTCTTGATCCGGTCCGGTCTTGACCCGGTCCAGTCCCGATTCGGTCTTGATTTTATATTGAGATTGTGGGAATTTGAGTGGCCTAAGGCCTAAAAGGGTGAGGAGTTGGTTAAGTTTTGTACTAAGTGTAAAGGTTTGTGACCGTTTATGCAAATTACCCTTAAGTTTTGGGTGTTGAGCTCTCTTATCCGGTCTTTATCCGGTTTTTTACCTTAAATCTAAGCCCAAAGATTGGATTGGATTGTTTACTATCCGGTCCCGGTCCGATCTCGGTCCGGGTTATACGGTCCGGTTTCCGGTTTTTCATCCGGTCCCGGTCCAAATAGCCAGCCCTAGCGGGTATTACGGACCCGCATTAGTGTGGGGCAGGGCATGGGTATCTACTTCTGCCCCGCCCCCTTTTTTACTCATTCTATCACAATTTCTTATAGTATCTATTCATATTTCTCATATTTGATTTTTTTTTCCAACTAGTTAGACTTGATCTTTCGATTAGTTAGGCTCAATTATCTTATTCTATTATCTCTATTTTTCATTTATAAATGTTTTTCTCTTTATTTTATCGTAAAATATAAAATTTTACATGAATTATTTTCAAATAACATGTAAGAATAGATTGACCCTTCCCGTCCCGTACCCGTGTGTGAGTATTACCCGCCCTGACACATAATAGCATGGGGTAGGATATGAGTATTAAGGTACCCGTTCCGCTGCAGTGTCATCTTGAGATTATTTGGGAGGCCACTACTTAGGGTTAAAGCATTGGGGTTTGGCCCAACTGGAAACTAGTGGACTATCTGAAGGAGATACTTATTTATAAGGGCTTAAAGCCCAACTGGAAGCCCGTAATCGTTTTTTTATTTTATTATTATTCTGTTTTCTCGACTGCTTTGCTCTGCTACCTGGTCTTCACTTTTTCAAAGTGCTGGGAAGTTTTTCTCGCTCTTCGTTGGATTGATCTCTCTCGGCAAATGAAAATTCTTTCGCTCCTCTTCTAACTCGCTTGAATTGCCGCGGCGTGGATGCTGAAGCTAAAGTTCAATCGATCTGCCTGTATTACTTCCGTTCACAGCTTCTTCAACTAAGATCTAATCATTCAAGCTCTGCTTCTCTCCATTTCTTCGTCTGGCCTGTGATCTAAACTCGTTGTTCATGCTCTGGCGTGTTGGCGTTCTCTAGGTGAGGAAGAAGAACCGTGAGGTTTAACAATGGAGTGGGCAACGGTGCAGCATCTGGATCTGCGGCATGTAGGCCGAGGTGTGAACCGGAGATTGCAGCCTCATGCTGCTACGTTTCACCCTACACAAGCTCTCGTGGCCGTGGCGATCGGGCCTTGCATAATTGGTGAGAGAATTCGTCTTCCTAACGCGATATTTAGATCGTAATTCGTAAGTTCACTCGTTTCTGCTAGCAATTTTCAAGAATTCTGAGGTTTCTCTTCATTTTTCGATTGTATCGAATTTGGTACCTGCAGAATTCGATGCAGTTACGGGCAGCAAGCTCTCAACTATTAACATTGGGGCTCCTGTTGTGCGTATGGGTTACAGCCCAACCAGTGGGCACTCTGTAATTGCTATTCTAGAGGTTAGTTTCTTCAATATGGTAGCTCAGTTTATTTATTCCTGCTTCCTGAGAAATGCTTGTTTTTGCTATCTGAAAAGTTATGTTCGTCTTGTTTATGTATTCACTGTTGTAGGATTGTACCATTCGGGCCTGTGATTTTGACACTGAGCAAACTTGCGTATTACATTCCCCTGAAAAGAGATCGGAACGTATAACCATAGACACAGAAGTTCATCTTGCATTGACTCCTCTTCAACCTGTTGTCTTTTTCGGTTTCAGCCGCAGGATGAGTGTAACTGGTTGGTTGGTTTGTTTTTCTCCTTAAGGCTCTCATCTTTGATTTGTTTTTCTTTTCTTTTCCTGCACTAGGCTATAGTTTTCATCCTAGTTATATAGCTCAAATTGATGCATATGTTTGACTTATCGCTGTGGCTTATGTGTTTTCTTTGAAGTTATTGGAACTGTTGAAGGGGGTAGGGCGCCCACAAAAATAAAAACGGACTTGAAGAAGCCAATAATGAATCTTGCTTGCCATCCACGGCTGCCTGTTCTGGTAAGAAACGTTCACTTGAGTGCACATACTTGTACTGCTCGGTGGTTTGAGCTCTGCTATGAATTGAATAAACAATGGGATCATTTGAGCATAAACTGGTCTATCCAGTGTGAAGCAAAGTCCTGTGAACCCACGTGATAGATAGGTCGGCTACTGAGGAAGTTAAATTTTCATTGTTGTTTCCATCCTCCGTGCTGCCTAGCTGTTATCGATCTACATTCTACAGCTGTAGTGAAAAGTGTTTATAATGGTCAAGGATGTGTCTGGTTGCTTAGGTGTCTGTGAGAAACTGCAGACTAATGCTTGGGCACTTGTATTCCAGAATTTCCTTCTAGCTGCCATGCTGCCAATCGTGGACTTATTTTTCAGTTTTCATGAATGCCACTCATAAAATCATTGATTTTTCGCTAGTTTCTTATAATAATTTAGCAAGCTGATGATGTCATCTACTGTTTTCCCAGTATGTGGCCTATGCAGATGGTTTGATTCGAGCCTACAACATTCACACATATGCTGTTCATTACACACTTCAATGTAAGATGATTATGACACTTACTATGCATTTAGTGTTTGAATTTCCCATTTCTTCAAAAGCAGTATGTACTTATATCTACACTGCCATTTATCGGTGATAATGCAGTGGATAATACCATCAAGCTCATTGGTGCCGGAGCCTTTGCTTTTCATCCAACATTAGAATGGATCTTTGTTGGCGATAGACGTGGTACACTCTTGGCATGGGATGTGTCTACTGAGAGGCCCAGTATGATCGGAATGTAAGAATATCTTTACTTTCCCATTTTGATCTATCTACTGTAATGAGAATTGTTTTGTTTATAACTTCATGTACTCTTCCAACCGTCTCAAATCTCCTCGTAACTTGTAAGTATTGCATATTCACAACATATTGATTTTCGAATTTGTCTGTTCTTGAGTGATTCTAAAATAGAAACTTTAAATGTGTGTTACGAGGTATAAAGTTTGTTTTGTGGCTATCATATTATTCCTAGTTATGCATGTGCTTCCTGTAGCTTTAGGCAAGGGGTTTGTAGACTACATTGCTTGCTCATTATTGTTTTGTCAACCAAAATTCTCAGTTTATGTTTCTTTAGGTTACTTTTTTTGCTGGTGATGACAATTCTATGATCTTGTGATATGGAGCAGTATGCAACTCATGATTAAATATTTGTTGAAATAGGAAATGCAGGAGCATGGCTGATAATAAATAATTGCTTTATGTAGCAGACTTTCAATCCTCCTTTGACTTAAAGCTTCAGCTTCTTCTACATAAAACAACCACACTGGCACCCAAAAAAATTGTAAAATAATATCGTATGTTTTAACACTCATCATATGCTAGTCATGATTGGTGATTTTACATCTATTATTTAACTTTCTTTTCTAAATTGCAGAACCCAGGTAGGCTCACAACCAATTGCATCAATATCCTGGCTCTCGATGTTGAAGCTACTTGTCACTGTTTCAAAAGATGGAACACTTCAAGTATGGAAAACACGATTGGTAGTTAACCCTAACAGACCACTGATGCCAGCAAACTTTTTCGAACAAGCTGGTTAGCTCTTATCATTACTAATTCTTTTTAAGCGAATTCTTGTTGAAGTACAGCAGAGCTCCAAACATGTAGTAACTAGACAGTTATTCTTACTGCAATTTTGTATTGGTAGTATTGAACCTGGGACTAGTTCAAATTGTTTTTTGCCATCCATGCATTGCTGGTAAGATCTAGGGCCTTATGTTAGCTCGGATTATTTGCAGCTTGCATGCTATATCCTTACAGAATGTGATGTCGGGAGTTAAACCTCTTCTGGGGTTGCTACTATCTTTGCCCGCAAGATGAAAAATAGTTCCAAGTTAGTAGAACCATGTAGCTGCGTTAAGGAATGTTTGCAGGTGTATGCCCCTCATTTACTAGGTTAATAGAATGGCGGTCAGCATGGTTATTCATTCATAACTTACATATCTTGTAGAGAATCTTGTAAAGGTAATGGAAAGCATGGCGTCTAATTCATTTGTTTTTGGCCTTTGATTGTGTAGGAATCGAATCAATAGATGTCCCTCGCATTTTGTCTCAGCAGGGAGGAGAAGCAGTTTATCCTCTACCAAGGATTAAAGCCTTGGAAGTTCATCCAAAATTGAATTTAGCAGCTCTCATATTTGCAGTTAAGAGAATCGGTTTTCATTTTCAGACTTAAGTTGCAGTTTGCATGGCTGGAGGGTCTTCTTATTTTACAGAATGTTTGTGACAGAATATGGCAGGTGCTGATAATATGAGGAATAGGGCTGCATACACTAGGGAAGGAAGGAAGCAACTTTTCGCAGTCCTGCAAAGTGCAAGGGGATCATCTGGTGAATAACCATCTAAGTCTTAATCGTTAACGTTCTGCAATCTATTGCATAGGATATTGCTAGTCTACTCACTGTCACTGCTATTGCACTTTATTGCGTTCTGGCTTTGCTTGATTGATTCACAGTCCAGTTTTAATTTCCAATCTTAATGCTGGGTGACAACTGTTGCTTCAATTGTTTATACAAATAAATGTGGTAGCCATCTAAGTCTTCATCATTAACGTTCTGCAATCTATTGCATAGGATATTGCTAGTCTACTCTGCTATTGCACTTAATTGCGTTCTGGCTTTGCTTGATTGATTCACAGTCCAGATTTAATTTCCAATCTTAATGCTGTGTGACAACTGTTGCTTCAACTGTTTATATAAATAAATGTGGTAAAATTGTCGCCCTTGGTTTGCATATTATTGTAAACCATTCAGATCTTGTGACAATGTCTGTAAGATCTGTGAATTAGTATTGCATCTGTTGGTATAGTTGAATGTTGAGAGCTTGACCTTCCGTATTTCTGATTGCTATCATATCACAATTTAATTATCTTGATTATATTTTTTACTTTGTAGAATGTCTTGCGTACAGTTTATATGTGTTCAACTATTGACTGTTGTGATTTCCAGCATCTGTTTTGAAGGAAAAGCTGTCCTCCCTGGGTGCATCAGGAATTTTGGCTGATCACCAGCTTCAAGCCCAACTGCAAGAGCATCATCTGAAAGGGTCAGTTCTAAATTATAGTTCTTGAGGCTATCATGGTTAGAATTGCTTGGTTGATTAGATCTTTTCTCTTCACTCTCCATTTACTTTAGGTTATTTAATGACTAAAATTAATCTCGGGGTGGCCACAGTTATGGAAGTGGCTACTTTTTAGATGGTTCTGAAGATGGAAATGGTGTATGCTGGTTTTTTTCTTTTGTTCTGCCCCCATCCTGATCTTCAATCTTAGTGCCTCATTTTGTCTTACTCCCTTGCAGGCACGTGCAGCCAACAATTTCAGACATTGCTAGGAAGGCTTTCCTTCACAGTGTATGTCTCCTGCCAATAGCATAAATTTCCTGATCCAACGGAAGTGGTCATATCCTGAAAGCTATTCTGAGATCACTCTTAGAGGCTAGATGTTGAATAGTTAGATCATGTGTATTGTTTCACAAGACTGAGTTATTAGGCTAGTGCTGAACTTTAATAAGTTTGAGTGACATGATGTCACCTAGAAGTCATACTGTTCCCCTCAACACTATTTTGAAGGTTACAGATATAAAGTAGCTCAACAAAATTCAAAATTTTCAAAATCTTGCTGTGCCATGGATTGGTTCCTTCAAATCTCTTCAGTAATCTGTTTTTTTCTTTCTTCTTCTTTGTGTGTGCTCGAACTTGAATAATTTCCCAATCTGATGTTCTCTTCACCAACTTCTTTTGTTTCTGTAGCATTTTATGGAAGGTCATTCCAAAAGTACCCCAATATCCCGATTACCTCTCATATCAATTTTAGACACCAAGCATTATCTGAAGGATATTCCTGTGTGCCAGGTACTGAGATGAATAATTTTTCGTCAGTTTGGTTTCTCTGTTACTTGTGTGGCACTTGAAGTGTCGTTTTGATTCACAGCCTTTTAACTTGGAGCTAAATTTCTTCAACAAAGAAAATCGAGTTCTTCATTACCCTGTTAGGGCTTTCTATGTGGAGGGTTTGAATCTTATGGCATACAATCTCGGCACTGGAGGAGACAGTATATATAAAAAACTATATACAACGGTAAGATTGCTGTTTCTACCTTTTTCTCCATTGGAAATAATGGGTACTAGTGATAATGAATATATGAACAATGCCATTTAGGGAAAAGCCATTGCTTAGCAAGTTTGAGGCTCTAAAGTTTTTTGTACACTTTCAGATTCCTGGAAATGTGGAATATCATCCAAAGCACATGGTGTACAGTAAAATACAGCAGCTGTTCCTTGTTGTTTATGAATTCAGTGGTTCTACAACTGAACTGGTGCTTTACTGGGAGAATACTAGTTACCAGGCAGCAAACAGTAAAGGAAGCACACTGAAAGGTATGCCTGTCAAAAGTTTTATCCTTTGCTACCTCGTGCCAGAATACATGTGACATGGGAACCTGATCTTCTTTGACCTACTTTGTTTTCCTTTATAGGGCGTGATGCGGCATTTATTGGTCCTAAAGAATTCCAGTTTGCTATTCTTGATGAAGACAAAACGGGATTGTCATTGTATATTTTGCCGGGAGGAGATACAAAAGAAGGCAAAGATAATAAAGATTTATTATTAGAAGAGAACCCTACTGCTGAAGAAACAAAAGATGGGTCACTTCAGGGCCCAATACAGTTCATGTTTGAAAGTGAAGTCGATCGTATATTCTCCACTCCAATAGGTACTTGATGAATGAGATTCTTCTTCTCGTTATGATTGCATCAAGAAATACCCATCATACTGATTTAAACATTGTGGTTGCAGAGTCAACTTTGATGTATGTGTCGAATGGGATTCAGATTAGTCTGGCCAAGTTGGTACAAGGATATCGTCTTTCAAAATCAGATGGTCATTACATACAGACGAAATCTGAAGGAAGAAAGTCAATCAAGTTGAAATTAAATGAAATCGTACTCCAGGTATAAGTTTTTTACCCTAGCGCATGGTGAAATAAGTATAGTGTAGACTGAGATATACCTTTGGTGTTAGCTATCTATCTCCTGGCCTCTGCATTAGCTCTTATCTTGTGAAAATTGACCTCTTTGACGAAACTGCATGAATTTGTGGAAAAATTGGGAAACTATGGTTAGGATCAATGAGTAACTCATTCTTGACTATGTGGATGGTAAAATAACACCGATAGCTCTTTTTGGATGTTACTCTCTCTTTTTAGATGCTATAGAGGAATTAAATATAAGTATATAACTCTTTTGTAATGTTTGCTGCCTGGAAGCTAATAGCTCGTACAAGATAAGTTTGGATAGTCAATTGTGAGAATACAGTAGATGGCTGTGCCATGTTAACTTTATCTGGCCATTGTTTATGTAGATGCATTACATTAGTTTGAGTTACATCATGCATAGCAAACTGTTGACCATCATAATTTTGAACGAATACTAATATGCAGAGTATTACATACATTGACTGGCAATTATGGATATCTGTAGGTCCACTGGCAAGAAACTCCTCGGGGCTATGTTGCAGGAATATTGACCACTCGCAGGGTGCTCATGGTATCAGCAGACCTTGAGATATTGGCAAGCAGCACTATGAAATTCGATAAAGGACTTCCTCCAATATCCTGACAACAACGTTTTGGAACTTGTGTTTTTTGTTAATATCATTTCTTGGTTTCAGCAGTTTAACATGTTTTACTAACAGATCTCCAAGGGTTTGACATAATGGTAACTGGGAACCTATTCCGAGTTCAAACTTGGAACAAACATCACCTATAAGAAAGAAAATTACTCAAGTTTTGCTTAACTCTCTGTGAACTTTAGATCCCTTTTGTGGGTTGGCCCTGCACTTCTTTTTTCCACTACTACTGCTGTCAGCATGCTTGGATGGGACGGAATAGTAAGGACCGTTGCCTCCATTAGCATGCCTTATGCAGGTGCAATTTTTTTTCTTTTGAATGGGCATGTCTTACGAACTCAAGACCAAGATATTTTCATGTTTAATAACACCATTTGTTTCTTTTTATGCAGCTCTGGTTGGTGCATTGAATGATCGATTGCTACTCGCCAACCCTACAGATATAAATCCTAGACAAAAGAAAGGGATTGAGATTAGAAGCTGTTTGGTTGGGCTTCTTGAGCCTCTTCTTATTGGATTTGCCACCATGCAACAAACTTTTGAGCAGAAGCTTGACCTGTCAGAAACACTTTACCAGATAACTTCAAGGTTAACTGTCCCTTACTGAGGAAATTGAATTGTTTAGCGATTATACTTCAAGTTCCCTAAAATTTTCAGTATAGGGCTGCAATCTTGTTTTTTCGCTTTGTATTTTCTATTGAATCCTGTCATTGCGGTATACTGATATCTTGAGCCTCCAAATTGTTGTCTGAGTGAAGGTTTGACAGCTTGCGGATTACACCAAGGGCACTGGACATTCTTGCTAGGGGTCCTCCAGTTTGTGGAGATCTTGCAGTGTCGTTATCTCAAGCAGGTCCTCAGTTTACGCAGGTGAGTGGAAGTTCGCTTGTTCACTTTAATCGGATTTGCTTGTTTCCCATCTAATGCTTCACCATATTGCCTAAAAAACTCAGGTCTTGCGCTGTATCTATGCTATCAAAGCTCTTCGTTTCTCAACAGCATTGTCTGTTCTCAAAGATGAGTTCTTGAGGTCCAGAGATTATCCTAAATGTCCTCCAACGTCACATTTGTTCCACCGGTTTCGACAATTGGGATATGCATGTATAAGGTACACAAATATTAGATGTTCAATAGTAGTGCACTCAGCAACTCATGATTTCTTTTAGTTTTGGGACCTCATTCTTGCATATGACTGTTTGTGTTATCTATTTAATTATTTGGTTGGCTTGCTTTGTATAATCACACGTGGGTTGTTAAATGTAAGCTTATGATGTTCGTTATTTTGGAGATTTCAGATTTGTCTGAGTGGAATAATGACAGCCTGCTATATGTTGCAATTTCTATTGATTGTTACCTTGGTGATGGAGCATTTTCTATGAATAGTCATTTGATTGGATTTCAATTAATTGAGATAATAGAAGCTTCTGATGATTAGTCTGATCTTTTGTGTATACAGACTTGCCCCTTGTTGGAGAGGATGTGAAAAAAGGGGAGGAAAATTGAGGGTTAATGTGAGAAAGTTACATTTTTGGTTATTTGGGAGTATGGGGGAGCTTACACCTGTTCTTCACCTCCCATCCCCTTTTGCCCATAAATTTTCGTAACCACACCCAATTTCCCACTTCCTAATGTCCAGTAACAATTCCGTACCCAAATCTATGCTGATGTGAGCATGTTTGCAAATTTGGATTCTTTTGAGTTCTGATGCTTGATGAAGTTGTGCTTGTCTTATATAGTGATGGGTCCAAATTCTTTTTAAATTTTGTGATATTAACTAAATTCCAAATTTCAGATACGGTCAATTCGATAGCGCCAAAGAAACTTTTGAAGTCATTGCAGACTATGAAAGCTTGCTAGATTTATTCATATGCCACCTTAACCCTAGTGCTATGCGGCGTCTTGCCCAAAAACTGGAAGAAGAAAGTGTGGATCCAGAGTTGAGGCGATACTGTGAAAGGATTTTGAGAGTTAGGTCTACCGGATGGACACAAGGCATTTTCGCAAACTTTGCTGCTGAGAGCATGGTTCCGAAAGGAGCCGAATGGGGTGGTGGCAACTGGGAAATCAAGACTCCTACTAACTTGAAGAGCATTCCTCAGTGGGAGCTTGCTGGAGAAGTGATGCCATATATGAGGACCGACGAGGGAACAATCCCTCACATTATCGTTGATCATATTGGTGTTTATCTAGGTTCCATTAAAGGAAGAGGAAACGTTGTGGAAGTGAGAGAAGATAGCTTAGTCAAAGCTCTTATCCCTTCAGCTGACAATAAGCTGAACAATGGAATTCCAGATTCCTTAGCCAAATCCATCTCTGGCAATGCAAAGGGACTAACCGGTACTAATCTGAATGGTGGTTCCTTTAACGGCCTGGAAGCTCTGTCAAGGCAAAATGCAGCTGGTACATCATCTGCTGAACAAGCCAAAGCTGAAGAGGAATTCAAGAAGACGATGTATGGTGGTGCAGCTGGTGATGGTAGCAGCAGTGATGAAGAAGGAGCTTCGAAAACCAAGAAGATCCAAATTAGGATAAGAGATAAACCAATTTCTTCTGCCACAGTAGATGTCAATAAAATCAAAGAAGCCACTAAACAGCTTAAACTTGGTGAAGCATTATTAGGCCCTACCCCAAGGGCAAGGTCGTCAGGTGGCTCTCAGGACCTTGGCCAGATCTTATCACAGCCTCCTCCTTCAGCTGCAGCAGCAGTTGGAGTTTCAGCACCTATGGATTTGTTCGGTCCAGTTTCCTTTATCCAACCAGCATCACAACAACCAGCTCCTGTGGTTGGAGGTGCTGCAATTCCAGCACCTCGACCCATCCCAGAAGACTTCTTTGAAAACACGATTTCTTCCGTTCAAGTTGCAAAGACCCTGCCCCCTCCAGGTACCTTCCTTTCAAAGATGGATCATAGAACAGAAGGTGATGCGAAAATGGCACCTACTCCAATTGGTGCTCCTGTAGCTGCTGATATTGGCCTTCCTGGCGGCGGTGTTCCTCTTCCAGCCGCTCAACAACAAGCGTTCCCTATTGATTCATTTGGACTTCCTGATGGCGGTGTGCCACCTCAAGTCTCTGCTCAGGCATCCATCCTACCACAAGCTACTGGACAGGCTGCTTTCCCCACTCAGCCCCACATTGTTCAGCCTTCTCAGCCACCAATCTCTTCACAGCCTCTTGATCTCAGTGTGCTTGGAGTTCCAAATACTGATGACCCTGGGAAATCTCCAGGACCTCCTCCACCATCATCTGTGCGTCCTGGACAGGTGAAATGCTTTTAGTCTGTTGGGTGTGCTTGTTATAGCTTTTGCTTGAAAAGATGAGTGGGTTTCTTCCCTTTTTTTTTGTGTAGGTATAGGGAAAATATGTTTGGTCAGGGACTCGGGATTTTTTTTATAGGAAAATAGTTGAAGTGACGCAAATGAAATAGTATTTAGCAATAAAAAAATTTCCGTATTATAGCACGTTTAATAATTAAGAAATGCATGAATTTCCGTATTATGGGAAAGAATATATATTTTCAAAAGTTGGAATTGTGGGGGAGCTTTGCATTTCGAATTCCAATTTGAAATCTAACCTTGTTGGAGTTTTGCTGCTTCTTTGGCTTGTTTGATTATAGGTTCCCCGTGGAGCAGCTGCTTCTATGTGTTTCAAGACTGGGCTTGCTCACCTCGAGCAGAATCAGCTTCCTGATGCATTGTCATGCTTTGACGAAGCTTTCTTGGCTTTGGCCAAGGATTTCTCTCGTGGAGCTGATGTCAAAGCCCAAGCAACTATCTGCGCTCAGTATAAGATAGCAGTTACGTTGCTTCAGGTAATTGGAAGCTAAAACATTACACCACCACTACTACTAAAATAGGAATACCTTCTATTAGGCTACATCAAACCGTAGATTTTGCTGTCGGTCATCCTCTTTGAACTGAGATAAGATTGACTGATGTTTCCATAGTTGAAATCTGTACTCTGGTTGCCGTCAGTTCACTGATACAGCTGCGAGCAACTACTAACTTCAGTTTGCACTCCGTTTTAGCTTTTAAGCCAGCCTAGTTAAGTTATGTTTTAGCCAAAAACAAACACTGACTAAGATTTTTCCTGTGATGTCATCCATTTTGCCCCTGCATTCCAAGACTAAAAGAATGCTCACAAACAATCATTTATTTGTTGGGGATAGGAAATCACACGGCTGCAGAAGGTACAAGGACCAAACGTGCTGAGTGCAAAGGACGAAATGGCTAGGCTCGCACGACACCTGGGCTCCCTGCCTCTTCTTGCAAAGCACCGAATAAACTGCATACGAACGGCGATCAAGAGGAACATGGAAGTCCAGAATTTCGCCTACGCAAAACAGATGCTGGAGCTCCTGCTCTCGAAAGCTCCCCAGGCCAAGCAAGACGAACTGAGGAGCCTCGTCGACATGTGTGTCCAGAGGGGCTCATCCGACAAGTCCATTGACCCTCTTGAAGATCCTTCCCAGTTCTGCGCTGCCACTCTAGGCCGTCTTTCGACAATCGGGTATGATGTCTGTGATCTTTGTGGTGCCAAATTCTCCGCACTCTCTTCTCCAGGATGCATTATCTGCGGCATGGGCAGCATCAAAAGATCAGATGCTGTTGCGGGGCCCGTTCCCTCGCCATTTGGCTAAGAATTCGACCGTTGGCAGGCATCATTGTCTCATCCGCTTCCTTTAGGTCATCTTCCAGGTAAATCTCCTGCTCCCAAAGCAGGAGCGAGCTGCCAACCCTGCTGTGTTGGGTGTACATGTTATCATTCATTCAGTTTGTTGTAATTCTTCCTCGCCGTTTTCTCTATATATCGTGATATGATCATTTCCTCTGCGCCATTCCACCCTATTCGTGCGATAATCGGGCGACCCCTGGCATTGTAAGTGAGATAGCAATTTTGCTGTTGAATGTATGCCTTTGAGTTTGTGCTTTCCTTGTAGGCTTTAGAGTTGCATGTATAAAATGTACAATACATAAGATAGTTTGTTTTTCCTGTATCTTACTAACAAGGGGCTGCTCTGGTGATTTACTTGTGAGGGCTATTATTAGTGCTGGATTTGTGTTTTATGCCTGTGATATGTATGGCTGCACACAAGTGGTTTTTGCGGTTTTGGTGTTTCTTGAAAGTTGTGTTCTGCGGATTTTCTTGGTTCTTTTGGGTCGTTTGGTCCATTATTCTTTTGCTATTACATCTCAACATTATCCGTCTCTCTTCTTTCATTATAAGTACAAAACCTAGGAAATGCAAGAAGCAAAAACAAGGGTACTACGAGAGGGTCTTTCTGGCCATTGAACGGACTATCTTGTTACGATATCTATCAACGCAATATCAATAATTTCTTATGCTCAACTTGTAGCAACAAGGTACATAAAAATATAGAAATGTAATGCTAAACACTTGTAGGAAATATTTTATTCACTTGAGAGAGTGTTTAAACAGTCACCAACCAAACCCTTTTTCTCACAATGAAACCCCAAAACCAATCAGCCCATTGCCCCATTTCCATTCTTTCCAAGTCCCTCATGTTTTCATTTCTTTTTCTTTCCTTGCTTATAGAAACAAAACAGTGGAACAAAAAAAAAAACTAATCAAAAACCAAAAATACTTTGCAAAACATTAGAAACCCACCACAAGAAGCCCACCCCAAAGAGAAAGAAACCAAAAGCCAAGCCCATCTTTTTTTATATCTAGTATCCATTTATTTACCCCTGTACCCAATTCCCTATCAAAATCCATTATTCCTCTGCAGAAGAAACCTGAAGCTGAAATCATAAGGCATGACCTGAACCAAATGTGACAAAGGCTCTCTCCCCTTTCTTCCAATGCACCTCACTGCTTCATCCCTGAGCCCATTGGGCAGCTGCAGGCAAACCCAGTCCACCAACGAGTCCATGTCCTTGGCAAAGTCCAGCAGATACCAGTCCAGTAGCTTTGGTATCATCAGCTTCTTCTCTGTCTTTGATATCCCAACTGCTGCCCACAGGTAGTCTCTCTTTGCTGCCTCTAGTTCTTCTTCGACTCCTGATGCCGTGTAAACCCGCACCTGCAATTGGTTGGTGGGTTTGATAAGAATGCTTGTCGTCGAATATTACTCGCTATAGCTTGCTTGTGTTACAAGTTTTGTGCATGTTCCTTTTCTTCGAGAGAGTGAAAAAGGTACTTACAGCAGGGGAGGACCAGCTTCCACAGGAGAGTGCAAAGGTGACCAAAGGTTCCGACCACTCTAATCCGAAGCTGTTTCGTGCCTTCATCTCTTCGTTCTTCGACACCTTTTCGCATGTCTACATTGGCAGATTGGTAATTAGTAATTGCCCTTCTTTTCTCCTTTGAACTGGATATGATGAGAACTTACAAATTTCAAGTGGTAAGGAAGCCGCAATATGAAATGTTCAATTGTGATGGCATTCAGCAGACGACCCCCCACTGTTATGGTTGCCTGCGATTAGTTCGCAATTTAATTACGGTTTTGAGTCCAAACCCACAGTCTTAAACATGATCAACTTGACTGATGTGATGATGTAGTTAGTTACCTTTTGCATTAGTGCCACAACCATTTCAGGCGTCTCAGGCACACCATGCTCCAAAACGGCCTGCAAATCAGAGAAGTAAAAATAAGAACTTATCCGTCATACTTGGATAGTTAGTATCCTAACAAGGAATTAGAAAGACTCACATTCATCATACAAGAGTTGTATATGTTTATCCAGAAAGCAAGCTTTTGCTTGTGAGTAAGCCTTTCCAAATTCACACTCCCAAGTTTCTCCATCAGAAACCTGAAAAAGCAAGCAAGCATTTGATCATGTCTCTGAACAGTCATTCAATTCATTGAACTCAACCCTATCTGATTAACATGCTGAACATCACGGACTGAAACCATTGGCAAGCCGATCTCAGCTATTGGATGTTAAGAGGTGACATATTTGTAAGTATTGCAAATGTGACAATGTCAGCCCTTGTTGATACTCACTCCCTTCAGCATGGCAGAACTCGACTGGATTTTAACATAAACAAAGATGGATTTGTTATGAGAAACATACTTTAGCCTATGTAACAAGAAGACAACGGTTGTTGCCCGGTTGAGATCGATTGAGCTAGCTTCAATTGCACACATATCTCTGTATGGACCAACCGTGTTATCTCTACTACTTTCACCGTGGTAATAAGCGTCCCAACCACATTCAGTTTCTAGAGTGGTGACCATGTTTGCCGCTGCCTTGTCTTTCGATGTTCTCATTCTCATGAAAATGGTGGATAGGCACTTCACCATATCCTCAGATAGCTTGTTAGCTTCAAGAACCTCATCCGAGAAACCCGAAGATGAAGTCGCTTCTTCTTCTGCTAACCTGCACTCCACCTTATGGAAACAAAACAGAACTAACAATGAGCTAGCATAATGAAGGTTTACCAATGAGCTTTACCCAATTGAAAGCTAGGAGAATTTTTGTGTTGGCTTAAAACAAAAGGTATATGCCTACCATTGACTTTGAGGGAACAACTGAGCCTTTATCTTCTGATATCCGCTTGTTATCGAACAGTCTCTTACGAGGGGTTGCAGCTTTGCCATTTCTCTTCTCAGGAGTTTGTTTCTCCTTCGATGAATTACTCCATGACCGATTCTCCTTCCCTCTTTCGTCATATGGAGAGGATGAAATCACCTTGTTAGAGCCTTGCCCTCTATGTCTTGATTGATCACCTATTACTGGACTCTCATTTGACAAGAGCTTTCTACTTGAGGTACTTCTAGCAAGAGAAGGCTGCTGCTGTTGTTTAGCTGCTGATCCAAATGGTGATGAATTGATGAGCTCGTGGGTCGACGAGACTGACTTTGATCTCGAATGCCTTGCTGGTGTTCTTGTACTAGAAGAAGAACAACAAGGTGGTTGCTGCTGTTGTTGCTGATCAGAAACTCCATCATTATTGCAGTTCTTAGAGGAGTTGCTGTTGTTGTAGACAGCTTCTTGGTAGAGGCCTTGTCTAAAGTTCACAACTTGTTCTTCTAGCCTAACTACTTCTTCTTCTAGGACAGCCACTTCAGCAAGCAGCTCCAATGTCTGAAAGAAGAAGGAAACCCAATGTTTGATCTCAGCTGCAATTTTTAATAATAAAATTTTGGAAGGAAAGAGTTGAGATACTGACATAAGGAGGGAGGTAAGGCGGCAAGCGAGGGAGAGCTCCAAGAGGTCTAGTGAAAGCTCTCTCCAATGCTCTATGCACATTCTCCTCGTGTCTAAGCTTCTTCTTCAACTTATCAACCTGCAAAAAAAAAAAAAAAAACTCAAATTGGAGAACTCTTTGGGGGAATAACTGAACTTGAAACTTGGAAGTTAGGAATTTGATTCCTTTTTTTACTTACATCTTCTAGCAATGCCAATTTCCTTTCCCTGTTCAATTTTCGCCTGTTGGTAATGGCTGCTGATTTCAGAGCAGCAATTGCTCTTATTCCTCCTCCGTGGCTCTGCATTTTCTCCTTCTATGCCAATTTTCAACATGGATGTCAGTAATCTGACTATAAGGGAATGAAGCATTAAATCCAGCGTGGAATTGCAGGAAACATTAATGTAAAAGCATATTCTTTCCTTGAGAAGAGTGGTAAAAGGAAAAGGAAGCCCCAATGGAGGATTGGATCTAAAGATCAATCCTTTCTCAGGTTTTAAAGTAAAAGGAACCAACCCCTTCATTCCTTCACTCTTTATCAAAAGTGGGCATTGCAGAAAATCAAAGGAACCCATCTCGCAAAATTTTCCCAGAAACCAATCGATCACTTAGCAAACGGAAAACAGAGCAAGAAGAGAATGACAAAGAAAGAAAGAAAAAAGTGACAATGGAACAGGGCAAGAACAGTTCATTGCTTACTTTGTGGTTCTTATTGTTATTCTCATTGGTATTATCAGGGTGCAACGGAGCTTTTAAGCCCTGAAGAGCAGAGCGAACTCTCGTGTTCATCTTCTTCCTTCCTTCCTTCCTTCCCCGACTGATCAATCCAAATTTTCGAATCAATTACTTATTGCAGAAACCCTGGAATCGGAGGTCAAGAGTAAGAAATGACAGCGGTCTCTAATTATCAGAAGAAAACAAAAATGGCGAGGGAAATGAAGAGAGGACAAAGGGAGGCAGCAGAGCAGCAGCAGCAGGAGAGAAAAGGAAAAAGAGATTGGCGGTAAGTAAGTAACCTCGGTATTTACAAAGAGCGGGAAACTTATAGAACCCCAAAAATAAAAGAAATTAAAACTGATTAAGAAAAGAAAATCACCACCGCAGAAACAAATAGGCTTTCTAGTTCCTCCACAGCCAGCAAGGTCTGTTTTGCTCTCACTCTTTGTTTATTCAAACTCGATTACTTTGCGGTTTAAAACGAACCCAATTGAAGAAGACGAAGAAGGAGATAGAGAAAGGATCTTTCTTTGTTAAACAAATGGAAGAATCTCGAGCTGCGTGAAGAGACAAGCTTAAGAAGAAAGCAAAAAAAAAAAATTTAAAAAAAGGGGGTAAAACAGAGTGTGGAAGAGTGAGACAGAGACAGCAGCGAAAAGGGAGAAAAACGACGAGGAATCGAGGCTAGAGGAAGGCTGAGAGAGAGCAACGAGAGTTTGATTTACAATCGAAACATATATAGTAATCAATTGAACTCGCTGGCTCCCCATTTCTGTCTTCACTCGGGGGATTTTTTTTTAAAACAGAGAGATGCCAAACTTACTTGAAAATGGCAATGGTGCGAGGGTTGTACTGGGTTTTTGGAGTTTTGGAACTTTGATGATGGGTCAAAATGGGGAATCTATAAGAGAAGCTTTCGTGCTATTAGCTTATTTTCATGGCTCGTTTCTGTGAATCCGCTAGCTACCAGAAGGAAGGGAAGAAAGAAATGGGGAGTGGAAGTGGTTTGATAGTGGAAAATGGCCAGGGCAGGGGAGTTTTTACTTTTTAGTATAAAGCTACTGTTTTTGCATTCTGGGGTTTACTAGTCTGTGGGCGGGCGCACGGTAAGACTCGGTGCACCGCCTTTTACCGTCGCCGTTCAGCTTCGCCGGACGGGGAAAGGCTTGCCGGAGTTCAACGGTGAAACTGTGGTCTTCTTTAGTTATCTCGTACAGCACATGCCACGTATATATAAAGCTGAGTGTACTTTTAGGGGTTAAGATCAGGTGACTAAGGGGTACCCTTAGTCACTTGGCTAAGTTAATCTCAGCCTTCCATGCTCATTAAAATCCTAAGGTTACAATTAATTTATTTTGAGGAAGGACAACATGGTAATTATACATTTTAATTTTGTAAAAAAAAAAAAAAGAGTCCTTCCCTCACCTGTTTGTCGCACGCGGAGATGAATCCACAGAGACGGCGGCGGCCATGGACGACGGCGGCGAAGGACGACGGTGGCCAGGGACGACGACGGTGAAGGACGACGGCGGGTCGATGGCGTTCTGTGTTCGGGGGAGGGAGAGAGAGGCGGAGGTAGAGGAGAAGAGAGAGAGGCGATGGCGACCGTAGAGGAGAGAGAGCGGCGGCGGTAGAGGAGAAGAGAGAGAGACGGCGGTGGCGGCGAGGAACAACGACGACGACGGCGAGGAACGACGGCGGCGGCGAGGAACAACGACGACAAGAGAAGACGAGAGGGACGACGACCGTGGAGGAGAGAGAGGCAGCGGCGGTTGAGGAGGAGAGAGACACCGACATCGCCAATTTGTTGGCGGCGACGATTTCGTAATTTCATCATTCCAGTTTGTATACTTTATGTTATGATTTGTACTGTTTGTATGTTTTGTATTGTTTTGTACGTTTAGTATGCTTTGTACTGTTTGTCGGGTTATTTTGTAATGTTTGTACGCTTTGTTATTTTGTAATGTTTGTTGGTTTCTTTTGTATTGTTTGTAATCTTTGTATGACTATTTTGTATATATTGTAATTTGTAATTTTTGTTGCTCTAGTTTGTATACTTTTATGTTAAGATTTGTATACTTTGTATTCATTTGTTTGTAATACAAGTTTATCAATCTGTATTGTAAGTAGTGATATTTTGTACGTTTAGTATGTTTTGTACTGTTTGTCGAGTTATTTTGTAATGTTTGTACGCTTTGTAATGTTTGTAATGTTTGTTGGTTTCTTTTGTATTGTTGTAATCTTTGTATGACTATTTTGTATATATTGTAATTTGTAATTTTTGTTGCTCTAGTTTGTATACTTTTATGTTAAGATTTGTATACTTTGTATTCATTTGTTTGTAATACAAGTTTATCAATCTGTATTGTTAGTAGTGATATTTTGTACGTTTAGTATGCTTTGTACTGTTTCTTTTGTAATGTTTGTAATGTTTGTTGGTTTCTTTTGTATTGTTTGTAATGTTTGTTATTTTTGTCCACATGTTTGTCATTTTTGTCAACCATGTTTGTAATGTTTTTTGCATCACAAATCAATACATATAAAGTATACAAATTATTAGTACTTACAATACAAAGCGAAACATACTAATAATACAAGCAAAACATACTAAGAGTACAAACTGTCAAAGAAAAACATACTAAGAGTACAAACTGTCAAAGAAAAACATACAAACCATACTGACATTTTGTACAAAAATACTAACAATACAAACTAATGTTACAAAACATACAAACTATACAAATCACTGTTCTTCCTTCAGACGACGATACGATCTCTCTCCACCGCTGCCGCCGCCGTCGACTCTCTCTCCACCGATGCCGCCGCTGATTCAATCTACTGCCATCGCAACCTCTCTCTCTCACTCTCTCCATCGTCGCGCCGCCTCTCTCTCCTCCATTGTCGCCGACGCTCTCTCTCCGCCATTGCCTCTCTCTCCTCTGTTTTCCGATGATGAAGACCAGATCTGTTTTTCTCTCTCTTCAACGCCTTCGCCTCCGTCGCGATCTCCTTTCCCTCTTTCCATCGTCGCCGTCGCCGTCGCTATCGCCGTCGTGGTCGAGGTCTCCTTTCTCTCTCTTCATCGTCGCCGCCGGTCGCCTCTTTTCCATCGTCGCCTTCGTCTTTCTATCTCTCCCGTGGCTGGCAGCGCAGAAGAGAAGGTGGAGAAAAAAAAAATTATTGAATTTTTTCTAATTCCAGGATTGCCCTTCTTATTAATAAAATAGTCCTTCCATTATCTACACCATTAGATTGATCCAAGGGTTGAGGGGGGCTTAGCCAAGTGACTAAGCACCCCCTCTTAGTCACCAGATCCGCTCTCGTACTTTTAGTACAGAACAACAGCCTTAATTAAGCCAGTCAAATGATTCTATGGAACACACTACTTTGAAAATGTTGGTTAAAAATTAATTAAAATAATTAACTGTAGTTTTTTTTTTTTTTTTGTCTTGGCCGTTTCTGCTTAATGAGTTCCATCGGATGCCATGGACTCCTGATTTATTGTTGTTACATTGATTGATTAATTAAGTGTGTAATTAATTAAATATAGTTATTAAGTATAGTTTATAGATCCACACTTTCAAGATGCACGCTGCCTGCATAGTTTGTACTTTGTAGTCTTTCCTTTTCTACAACTCATTTGAAGCAATTCATGTGGCAATTGGCATCATTATCTTAATTAGGGAAATGAGGTTTTGCTTAAAAAGTGAACTTTGGAAGATCGGATTAAGAACTCACATTATGAAAGTGGGAAAAAAAGAGTTCTTAAGATGCATGGACTCGATGCTACTTTTAGATAAGTACATGCAATTATGATAATCCCCGTTCTTAATGCTAGCCCCTTCTGGTTTTGGCTTGGGTGGAGGGGGAAAAGCTACATTTCGAGGAAAAATCGTCTTGTGAAGAAATGAATATGAATATGATTCCTGCACCTATAAATTGTAATGACTGGTAATAAAGAGGGATGACAATTCTTTCTATAATCGTGATATATGATTCTCTCAACCCTTATCAATGAGAATAATTTGTGTATTAATCAGGTACCGCAAAAAAAAAAAGAGTAATGGGGATGGTTTGAGTGCTCAAGCCTATCTTCATATCTATCTCCTGCACGTGTAATATTCACGAAACAAAGTTTTCAATATCTAAAAATCAGC